AAGGCAATGGAGGTCGCCTTTAAACAACAAATTAAATATGAGAATATACTCCTGATGATGGGTAATTTCCATGTTATTTGTAATATGATGTCAATTATTGGGAAATTATTCAGAGATGCCGGACTTCGGGACCTAGCGGTCGAAGCTGGGGTAATAGCCGAGGGTTCAATAGATAAAGTTTTAGATGGAAAGCAGTATAATAGAGGTGTTCGTCTGCACAAACTAACTTACGAAGCGCTGATGAGACTTGTATGGAAGGGATTTGTTGAATGGTTAGAAAAATACGACCTGCCACATCTAGACGTAACAATGTGTGTTGTGATGGCTATGCATGAAGATACTAGTGCAGCCACTCTGAAATGTACTACAAATGACGACTCTTGCCAGAAGATACTCCATCTACTAGGTTGCTACCTGGATGTTTTGCGGCATGACAGTGGACATTTGGCAGCCTTTTGGATGATGTATCTTGACATGGTTGATATACTGCTGGGGCTCATTCGCGCAGATCGTGAAGGTGACTGGTACCTACATTTATCCAGTATTAGAAACATGATTCCTTGGTGCTTTGCATTAGACAAGACGAACTACGCTCGTTACTTACCAGTATAATATGCACAGATGACAAGATTAGAGGAGACATGCCCAGACCTCCATGCTCACTTTCTAAATGGTGGGTTCTTCGTTCAGCTTGGGAAAGCAAACCCTTTTGCGAAGATTGCCGTTGACCAGACTGTCGAGGAAACGGTTAACAAAGATACCCAAACTGCTGGTGGGACGAAAGGCTTCAGCTTAAAACCTAGTGCTCTGGCACGCTTTTACCTGACAGCTGAACACAGAGCTGAAGCTTTGAGGCAGCTTCGAGGCTTTGTATCATCGACGAACCAGAATCAGCAAGGACTTGGTCATACCGACTTACAGCCATCAAGGGTAAAGAGGGATGAGATTGATGTGATGTCTATTGTCGATATGCTTGAAAACAACTGGACAAACCCCTTTTCCAATCAACAATCAGATCTTATTAGCCTGTCTACTGGTGCAGCAGCTACATCAGCAATGATAAATGATATGTTGAAGGCTAACAGTAAAGGTGAAGAGGCTCTAAACAATCACATGGAAATGCTGGAGACAGGGTCAGGATTTCATGATCCAATCACGAAATTGAAATTAAAAACATTTAGTGCCTTGCAGAAAACGTCTGTCGTCAAAACTGGTGCCAACAGAGAGATCATCCTGAAAGCAGACAATCGTGCCTTTGGACAAATGTTACTGATCGCTCAAAACAGAAAGTTGGATATAAAAGAAGTACTTCAGTATCCACTGGGTCCAAAACCATGGGCATTAGCAAATCCTGATGGAACATTGAAAAAGACAGCAAAAGCAAAATTAGCAATACACCTTGAAAAGTCAGTTGCAAATGTTGAGTTATCACCTGGTTCTCGGGCATCTGTAGTTGATGCCATGACAATAGTGCTGGCGATTCAGGGAGAGAATCTTACGTTTGACGAATTATCCGATACGATCCTGAAGAAGGTACTCAATGAAGGTTGGGGGAGTGCACGAATTGATGTCGTTTTCGACCTCTACAAAGAACATTCCATCAAAAACGCTGAGAGAGTGAACCGTGGTTCACATAGTGGAATTCTGTTCAGTCAAATAAAACCTGGACATAGAATCAAGAACTGGAGAAGGATTTTAGCTAGTACAGAAAGCAAAGCCAAACTGACCCTTTTCCTAGCAGAAAATTGGAAACAGCAGCACAGTAGGGACAAACTTGGCAAGATAATACTGATGGTACCGTCGGGTGAAAAATGTTTCAAAATAACAAAGGATGTTGTGTTGGAGATTGAAAAGCTCAGATCAACACAGGAAGAGGCGGACACAAGGATGATGATCCACGTGCAACATGCAGCAGCAAACTATAACAAAGTTGTAGTGATTTCTGAAGACACCGATGTGTTCATAATTCTCCTTTCTCTCCACGCACAGATGGGTGCCAGAATCCTATTGAGAAGGGGTAAGAAGAATGCAGTGAGACTTATAGACATATCGCGGCTAGGCACAATTCTTGGGAAAAATGTATGCGCTGCGTTAATTGGTGTTCATGCCTATATTGCTTGTGATTCCATTAGTTCCTTTTCTGGGCAAGGCAAGGTAAAAGCTGTAAATTTGATCTGCAGGAACCAAGTGTACAGAGAAATGTTCACAGATTTTGGACAGGAATGGCACATAACGGAGGATATGTTCCAAGTCATACAGGCATTCACTTGTAGTATGTACTGTTTAAATACAAACATCAAAGAGGTCAACACACTCAGGTACGAAATGGTCCGGTCAAGAACAGGTGACATATCATCAGGACTGCTGCCTCCGTGTGAAGATGCACTAAGACAGCATACCAATCGTGCAAATTACCAGGCGGCGATCTGGAGAAGAAGTCTAGATTGTTCACCACAGATACCCAGTCCAACTGATGGACATGGATGGAATCTAATAGACATAGAACTTGGGATAAGCTGGCTGACAGGACCACCAGCACCGGATATTGTTCTTGAGTTGATGGCCTGTAAATGCCCTAGACGTTGCGATGAAAACTGTCCATGTGTAATGAATGGATTTCCCTGCACACCAGTATGCAAATTACAGGACTGTAGGAACATGCAGGATGAGAATGAGGTGCAGTCAGATGACATTGGTGACAGTGACGAAGGCTAAATTTTGTGTAAAGTAGGATAAATACACAAGCCGCAAAATTGAATCAAATAAAATCAATTATTTCAATGTAATGGTTGTTTCTGGTGTCTAGTAAATCACTTTAGTTGACCAAATAGATAATTCGGCTAATATGGGTCAGAACATGATTTTGTAGTTAACCCATACAATAAATATTGATAAAACATACCAAAAACGCTGTATTTTTTAGAATAATCTGTTGATTTGGAAAAAATATGATTTATTCAACAACATGTATCATATACCAGCAGATGTAGAATTGTTTTATGAACATTTTGAGCGATACTCCATATCAATAGGCCAATCGGTTGCGGAGTTATGAGGATTTCCCTGACTTGCACCATTTCAAACAAAAAATGGCGGCCATTTTTAAAGATGGCCGCCAAACTGACATTTGGCAAAGTGACCCGGAAGTCCATCAACCAATTTTAAACACTTTGGACACCAGGCTAACTGAAAATCATGGTTAAATGTATTCATCAAATTGGTAATGAAAATCTGTCTGTAACATGGACTATACCAGAAAATCATCATCTTACGTCATTGATCATTTGGAAATGTCATGAAGATGTCATGCATAATGGTGTACAAGAAACTCTATCTCAATTCAGAACCAAGTATTGGGTAGTTCGTGGTCGGCAAATCATTAAAAGTGTCATATCGAAATGTGTGATCTGTAGGAAATTAGAAGCTTAAGCATATGGAACTCCTATCGAACCTCCTTTACCATCGTTTCGATTAAGTGATGACTTTGCTTTTTCTCACATTGGAGTAGACTATGCAGGTCCTTTATTCGTGAAAGACATCTATTCAAAATCTGAGGACATGCATAAGGTTTATATCTCTCTCTATACGTGTGCTAGTAGTCGTGCTTTGCATCTAGATCTGGTTCCCGACGCTAGCTCAACCACATTTATTCGTAGTTTCCAGAGATTCATAGGGCGTCGAGGTATTCCCACTTCAGTAATATCAGACAATGGGAAAACCTTTAAAGGTGTTGAACTGAAATCATTTCTACAATCAAAAGGAGTCAAGTGGAGATATAACGTGGAACGCTCGCCATGGTGGGGAGGATTCTTTGAACGCATGGTTCGGTCAGTCAAAAGGTGTTTGAAGAAATCATTGGGGACGTCGCGCTTGACGTACGAAGAGCTACTAACTCTGATTATTCAAATTGAAGGTGTTCTAAACTCGAGACCGTTGACATATTTGTGTGATGATGGTGGTGAACCATTAACTCCATCGCAATTAGTGATCGGAAGGAGATTGTTATCAGAACCTACTCATACTGTAAAGTCAGAAGTTATTAATCAAAATTCGTATGCTCGTAGTAAATATTTGAAAACTGTATTAGATCATTTCTGGAATAGATGGAGACGCGAGTATGTAACTGATTTACGTGAACATCATAAATTCAATCAAACAAAAGGACAATCTGTACACGTTGGTGATGTCGTTATCGTATACGAGGATAAAGTACCGAGACATAATTGGAACATTGCGCGTATCGAACGAACTCTAGAAGGTCGCGATGGAAATATTCGTTCAGCTGTTGTTAGAGTGCTTAACAAATCTCGAAAACCTATTCTGATGAATAGACCTCTTCAGAAATTGTATCCTATCGAACAATGAGAATTAACTGGAGTTTGTGTTATCAATCATTCACTTTCGTTATAAATCAACCTGTTAAGTCAATCTTTAATTGCATCAATATGTTATTATGTTTTCAATTATTCAATTTTCATGTTCTATTATTGACTTACGTCAATAAGGGGGGAGTGTGTTATGAAAATCTTGTAATCTTTCATTGATTAGTTAATGGGAGATAACTACATTTAAGCTGTAATCAACTCTTTTGGGTTGGAGGTTTTGTAACCAGGAAAATTTGAGCTGTAAAAAGCATGCCATGTAAGCAATAAATGTGATCTATCTAACAACCTAATGTCTTCATAATCAATCCATCTATCTCTCTGGGAAATCGACGGGGCATCAAATGAAAAACTAAAATAGAACACATTACCATCTCAGAAGTCAGGTTGCGTTTTTGAGAACATTTCCTAGGTTCAATTCTGTGTTTGGGAAGGAGCCTTATTGATCAGGTTAAGTTGGAGATATGGTCACAAATTTTCAATAAAAACATTTGGCAAGTTTTAGGCAATGTGTCTATTTAAAGTAACATACCAACCTGACGTTTCTTTGCTGCTTAATATTAGTTCCATCTCCTTCCATTTATATGACACGACAGCTGCAAACAGCAATATTTTGTGTAAATTATCGTGACTGAGAACTAAACAACTGGAAAGGATTTATACATTTTAGATATTGGTGAAATCGGCTGATGGCCTTAATATTTTGATCTGACCCCTAATTAACAGGTTTTCTGGTGTGGTCTGCTACCTACCGAATATCGGAGTAATGAGAGTTATCCCCCCTTTTTCGTTTTCAGTTTCCTGCAGAGATATAAAACCAGAAGGTAACGATGAAATTGTTAAAAAGAACTTTTCGATTTATTTTAAACAGTTATATTAACGTTTCTGAACGTCATTTGTGGGATTGTTATTCGTTTGCATACTAAAATATCATGACCGTTTATGTAGGGAAACTACATCTAGCCGTCACTGACTAAAGTTCATGATATGGAATGGATTGGTCATTGGATGGAAAAAACTTGTTGTGTTGTTGCTTACAGTTATTATGTAGGGCCTAGTCCATGGTCCTATGCCTTAAGTGTAAAAATTGACCCAATTCAAAACTTTTCCATAAAATCAAACACTCTAAATGGTCTTTCATTGAAGCTAATTAGAAGAATTTTTTAAATATACAGGAGAAATATGGAAGAAGTTGTTGATGGTATGGAAAGAGTTGTTGACGCTGAACCAAATGTGACAGGAAGATTTGAATGTAATATCTGCCATAAAATTATTTTCTCAACTAAAGCTGTCACCTTACACAAACAGAAATACCATTCTACAAAAATAAAGAGAAAGAGGGGTGTTTCTTCTAAACAATGTGAACTTTGTTCAGCCAAGATTAGAGTATTAAATAATGAATTAAGTCAAGACAATTTCAACTTTCCAACAATCTGTTTGAGATGTAAGAAAATGTTACATGGGAAAGACAATGATGAAATGAATGAGATAATTGTCCAGAAAAGGGAAAGCCAAATTCCTGGTTTTGCCTGTGTAGAATGTGGTCGATGTTTCGACAAAAGTGTTGGGTTACAGTGCCATATCAGAAAAGCTCATTTAGACCCACAGTTAGTTTTTTATTGTGAGGCTTGTAAAGTAACTTGTGCAACAATTGATGGACTGGTACACCACTTGCAGGTACAGACACACAAGAAAACCAAAAGGAAAAAAGCTCTTCAATGTGAAGAGTGTGAAGCGTTCTTCTCCCGGGTGAGAAAATACAAGGAACACATTGCGGATGTCCACAAAGATAGAGAAAGTGTGGAAGGAAATAACAAGAATGATAATGGAAAGGATAGTACAGAAAGTAAATCATTGTTAAAGCTAACATGTTCTCTACCAAAATGTGGAGCAATATTTTATGAAGAAGACAAATTTAATAATCATCAACTTGTTCATATATATCAATATTATGTATGTAGGACTTGTCCGCAGCGTTTTAAATATGCTAAATCACTTCATAAACATGAAGAATCTGCACATTCAGATGATAAATAAAAATTATGATCTAGTTTAATTGGGATTTAAATGGCTTGTTCCCTGTATACTTAGGAACAATGTTTCAAACTTGAGTTATAGAAGCCAAAGTTTCACAAATTTTAAAAAATTAGAAAAGGAAAAAAACATAAGTGATTTTTCATTTTTTTTTTTGTGCCTCTTAGAGTAGTGTAGAGGGGCCTTTTCCCTGAAGGCGAATATTTTGCTCAATCCATTGGCAGATGGAGCCAGTCAGGCCCTGTATATACAAAATATCCAGGAAAGGGTAATTCCAGTTTTACTTGAATAGCATCGGTAAGATACAATGGTAAGATTAAATGAAATTTGACATTATGGAAGATCGGGGTGTATCGGCCCGAAAATTTCCTGATCTGAACTCTACGTTCCTACATACATATACATTTTGAGCAAATCAGTTATAATCATGGATTACATCAGAAGTCTACTTTCATTTGGTCACATATGCAATGGATGAAACTATTACAGTTATTGTAAATAATCAAGATAACCTGCAATGGGTTTTATCTTTTGGGATTATCTCTTCATGCTATAAGGTATTATGGCCCTTATAGCATTGGGTCATTCCATGTCAAGTGGACCAAATTTTGGCCAATAGGGTAATGATCACATCAAACGGATGTTTGTGTGAAGGTCGACAATCTGATGTATCATTCAAGACCAAAAACAAAACTATGGGTTTCCCGAGTTTTTGTAAACTAACAGTGAAGTTGGAGCAAAATTATACGCAAATTTGGGCTTTTTGGGAATAAAATGATCATTTTCTGTTTCTCTGCTCGTGGGCGGTCAGGGAAGAAATCACTTAAGCATAAAACTTCTAACCACCAGAGGGTTGCATACCATGATTTTGATTGAAAACTTCCAACTCCCACCTTAACATGTTTTATGATATATTTTGAAGATTGTATTGTTAATGATGACAATGGTCATCTTTTTGACTGCATAGGTTCCACCCACCCCCACCACACATTTTATGCACATATGAGAATTAATATCTTAGTCCCAAAGTGACATAGTTTTGTTGAGTGGAAAAAAAAACCTCTTTGAAATCTTTGACCTGTATAACATTCACAAGATTATACAAATTTGAAAGTAAATGGGACAACTCTGAACCATTAAATTATTATGAATTTCAAAATAAATCATCATTATTCCCCTATGAACAATCACATAAAGTTTTAAATCAATACAAGCTTTATCAGTCGAAATGTATACTGAAAGATAACCCTGCAATTTTATCAGGAATTTATTCCTGTATCTGATTCACTAATTTCACAAGGTCAAACAGGTTGACCATAATTTTGGGCGTAAAAAAATGGTTGTTTTAGTGATTACTCAACACTAACCAGGTCATTTCAGGACTAACATGGTATATTTTCATTTCAATAATTCAGTTTCACCCTGGATCTTTATTAGTGCCTTCACCACCTAACTTTCTCACCATATTATTATAAAGAAAACAAGTACCAAGCATTGATATATTTTGAATGTATATATTCAGGTGAAAAAAAACATTAATATATAAAATATAAATCTGTATATTTTTACAGATATCTGACCAACAAAAATGAAATACCATATAAACTTATGGTTTGATAGATTTGTAAATACTTTCAGTAACAAAACCTATTATATGTACATGAGAAGATGATACTATATGACCCTGCATGGAAATATGATAGCCTACATATTAGTTCAGTTCAGACAAAATACTGTATGCTATTTAGATAACATACAATTAAAAGTAGCATTTTTCATTAATTTCACTACAAAAATGAGTAACTGTAACTGGCCTCTTAACCATCATATGTTCAGGTTTAAATTTACCAAAATATTATGGTTATATCGAGAATGAATGATATAAATTAAATGTACGTCTATGAAATTATATATATATGTCTCTGTATACAGCACTTGCATGTATATAATATATATGAATATAAATGATATAAAGTTGAATAAATGTTTATGAATGACTAGAAAACATGATTCCCTGAAAAGGAATGAGGGACTACTCAGGTGTTTACGAAAAACAACCCAAAACAATTATAACTCAAATATTCCAAAACAACATTTTATGTCTTTAATTATTCTGAAGAAATTATAGCAGATTTGGAACTGTGATCAAAGTAAGTATTCATTAACATTATTACAACAAAGTGAAAACATTTACAAACATAACTATATTTCAATGGAATAACAACTAAATTTTACAAAAAAAAATAAACATGATTTATGATAATCATAAACAAAAGATCATATCTTCCAATGGTGAGTTTGTGAGGTAAATAAAGCAATATCTTATACCAATGTATTATATATGTACTCAACATGTAGTATCACACCAACCAGTAATCTTGTGTAGATACATTAACAAGCCACCACAGTACTCCAAACATAGTCTGTATTTAATTTGAAAACAGAGAACCATAGTTTGAATCTGACAAACACTCTTTGTTTAATATTTGGTTGGTAAACTTTTAGTTTGATAAAGTTATCACAGTTATTGGCGTTAAAGATGATCAATTACTGTACATACTAAATAAAGTATGTTCTTTATCGGTATGATTACGTGTCTGTAAATGTAAAGCTAATAATTGTGGTGTCTGACAGACTACATTACATAATAAACATTTCATACTTTCTCTCCGATGACTGAAATATAGAAAAAAAAATTACCATTATATAATTTATAAATAGCTACCTCTATCAATATCCAATGTGGGTCATTTTTCTTTCAAATATTTGATCAAAACTGGAAATGACCTCTTTATAAAACCATCCTCACCTTTTAGAGAATTCATGTAATTTTTCAACATGTTTTTTCAGTTCATCTGATTTTCTAGATTCTTCTTCAACTAAAGCTATAGCACAATGTGGATTTAACATAGAATAATCTTCATCTAATGGTAGAGCATGATCTAATACATAAAATGGATCCACCTGTGAATAATCGAAGAAAATATTTAAAAAAACACCAAAAATATATATTTTAACTGGCGACATGACAGAATGGCAATAACATATTTTCAGTTTAGCTGTCACGTTTCATTACCTCTCTCAATTAGAATTTACTGAAAATCGACAGGCTTCTTTGTTTCATGAACATTAACACTGTGTATAAATTCCAAATCAATCGGATTTATATCTTTATCACAAGTAGAACATAAACTAGCAATGGTGGATGATAGATGGGGTAACAATGGGAGCAGAACAGTTAATGGCGGACAACTGCCAGCAGGACAAAATAGGATCATGTGGGCAAATAAAAATTGAAAACAAATAGAGTAAATAAAGGTTTTTCAAGATATAACATGTAACACTACTAACCATATTCCAAGAGAATGCCCTGTTATAGTTACAGGGTTCGATTGGTTCTCTTCTTCTCTGTATTAATCTGAAATAAAAATTAAATATATATATACTACAGATTTTATGTTCAGAGCATTGGTTCCATATATGCCAGTGAAGACAGATTGTCTTAAAAATGGACAGTTTGTGTGATCCATCAGTCAGTTTAAATGCCAATTTGGCACAGCATCATCAAAGATACAGATGGAAATTGATACAGATTGTCCTAGAAATAGACAGAAAGTCCCTGTGACCCATTAGTCAGTTTTAATACCAATATGGCACATCATTAAAGGTACAGATGAAAATCCTTCCAAGAATGTGAACAACTTGATCTGCTGTATGACCTTGCAGTTCTTTCAATGTAGTGGGTTATAAGACCTGTGCACATTGATGATTATTTATTGCTGAAAACTTGCTTTCTCGCCAGTGTATTTTATTCGGATTGTATAAAAGTGCTAAATTATTGTATATGGAGGCCTACTCACTGTATGAGATTTTCTCTGGCTCTTTTTTGTAGTTTATAAACAGCATCAGGTCCCCAACCAGCTACAGTATTCTGACTACCAATAGCTATATTTATAGCCATTCTAATACCATTTATCTACAAACAAATATTACACATCTTTATATTATCATTCAATTTACAAATTAAATTTTTCTTAAAACTGCTGCTCTAAAATTGCCTAGGTGACTGTCACTTAAGACTAAAATCAAAATACTTGCAGTAGATAATCTCCTTTCTTATATTCCATCGTATTAAAAATAGGCCCATCACGTTCCGAAACAACCAAACAAATATTTTCTATAGGATGAGAAAACCATAGAAAGCTAATGAAGCAGTCGTTATACTGCCTGACTGACATGTTCAACTGCAATCTCCAAAATAGCTCTGTTAAACATGCATTATGCAAGAGCTAAATCTGCCTATTACATGTCCTTCTTTAGGCCTGAAATGTTATATAAACTATTGATTAGACAAGACCATAATCAACTCTCAATGGCATCGGATACTCGAGATCTTAACTAGATTAGAACGGTTCACCATTTAAAAATTTAATTTATAAATGGGAAAACGAGGCTAAGTCTCAAATATACCAGTGCCCTGGTTACCACAACGCACACATCTTGCCAAAACTACAAACAGTGATAACTTGGCTCAATATGAAGTAATTTGAATGAAAATTTTCATTTTACATAATCTATTTTTGCGCTATTATAGCAAGAATGGTCAGTGCTTTATCTAAATCTTACATAATGTATCTTTAACAAAGAAGTAAAACTAAACAAATAGGTGAACTCTAAATAAATTTTAGAGAATGGAAATTTTTATAATGATCAGCTTATTTCTGCTAAAAAAGGTGGAAACGATAAGATATATTCTCTAACATACACAGGCATGTGACATCTGTGTGGTGTAATCAGTTGTTAGAAGTAACTCCATATTTCACAACAAGTTCATTTCAAAGGAATTTGCTTAGCATCATATAGCCCTTTTAATGATCATATTTACTGAATATTTACAGGTAAGCCCCTGTGGACAATCATATCTAAGTATACCTTGACAATATCTTCATCATCTATTTTAGTGTCAAAGGTCAGTTCAATGTCATGGTCTGGTAATATAGCTTGACCAGTATGAGGGTCAAAACCCAGACCACAGATAGCACCAATATACCTCTCTCTTTTGCGATCTGTCCTGTAAGTAAGAAACGAGAGACATTCTAATTTGTATAAAAACCATTACAGAAAATCATTAAAATAGGAAATATAATCATTAAAATAGGAAATTTAATATCTCAGAAAATATGTGGGTGTAAATTTGGAAATAATAGTACAGTACTAATATGGTAAAATGCTGTAGCCTTTAAAAGGCTAATGGATTCATTTTTCATGTGAAAGTAATACTTCGATGTTATCGTTCCTGATATAAAATAAATATTACCTGAATTCAGCAACAGGAGTAAATAATAATGTTAATAATGACGGTAAGCCATTTATAAGAGGCATGATAGTTGTATCTCTAGCTATCATTGATTGTCCAGTTGGATTTAATCCAACAAATGAAGCCACCATCATTCTACCTTGTTTATTCTGAGGTTCATCATCAATAGCTACAGAGTTCACACTGTCTTGATCTATACGGGCTATTCTATAATTATATAGAAATATAATATATTTTAGTAAAAATAAATTAAGCCACGTAACCCAGTCTTAAGTTGAGACATAGAGCATACCGTGATGTTTTTAACTGAACTCCCTTGGGGTTTCATTTTCTGTAAAGCCCCCATCAGACCGGGGCTGCGTCCTTACTGCGCTGTTGCGACCATATGACAGCCAGATAAGGCACAAGGTCGCCGGCAGCAAACGTGAACACAATGCGGGAAAATGTCCCATAAAATTACAAACTTGAAAAAAGTCGCCTTCTCACAGCTTCCAAGGTCAGATCGCAGAACCTTGGCGTTTGTTTTGAACATGCTCAAAACAAACACAGTGACTTGGCGACCATTGGCAACCACAGCACGACATCTGGCGTTTCCATCACGCTTTTACCACGCTAATGACGATCTTGACGCGCTCTGGAACCATTTTCCGTTGCCGTAGCAGCGCAGTAAGGACGCCACCCCGGTCTGATGGGGGTATAACATACAGTAGTGATTGGTGTTAGCATGAAGCAAGCTGCACCTTCTAGAACACCTAATATCTCATTATCAGAGTTCATATGGCTGACAAACTGTTGTACTTTTGTATCCATATCTTTACTATTATTTTTAAGCCATGTACTTAATTTACAGTGATCACTTGTTTTATTCCAAGACACAAGAATGCAACAAACTGAAATGAATAATTGTTTAAAGAAGAGATATAACAACTTATATATAAACCTTGTTCCCAAGCGTGAAGTTCTTATATATTTTATAAGAGAAATCGTCATATACTAACCTTAATCTACCTAATGCTGTCATACTGTAGAATGAGATTTCTAGAGGACTAGTAGGGCCAACTAACTTCATCTATCAATAGAAATACATGTATTTAGCTTGCATAAGGCCAGGTATACCTACTCCTTCACAAACACTTGATATCACTTATCATTTAGCTTGTACAAGGCAGGGTATACCTACTCCTACAACACATGATACCATTTATCGTATGATTAGGAAGTCCGTTGATGCTATTTCGCCCGTATATTCCGGACATGTCCTATGGTATGTTCCAAATGTCCGACAAGGAATATGCCCAATCAGACATCAGGATATGGTGAATGATATTCAAAATTCCAAAATTAATTGACTGTACTGAGTTTTGTAACTACTACTCATCTTGATTATCGTTGATAATATGCTGGATTGATTAGGTAAATAAGTGATCAACATATTTATCGTGTTATACACCTACCTTGATTAACTACTTAATTCTGAAGTACATATTTTTTGTAATATTTAAATCCTAATAATTATTAGTTCTAAGGAAAGAAACATCAATCTCAAATAAAAAAGAATTAAGTCTAAAAATAATTCAATAGTTACATAGCCTTGACTTACTTTTTTACCACGCTTACGAACAACTTTATCTGGTGCCAGATGAACTGAGAGAAAACCTTGTTTAGCTGCTATATCTTTATCTAATGTAGTATTAGATGCTAAAGTTATACTTTCTAATTCACGTTGGTCATGGCTTTGCTATTAATAATAGACAATATCAGAGGGATAATGTAGGTTTCATCTAAGTCAACTTTTAAAGAGAACAATATTTCACTAATATTGAAATTAAAATATAACATATATGGAAGAACAATCACTTATTTACTTGGGCAACATTTCAAGGAGTATTCTCTCAATGTTTTCAAGCAAGTACAGTTACAAATATGTAGAGCAAATCTGTATAGGCAAGGACTAACAACATAACAGAAACCACAAAAGATCAAAAATAGGGAAATTAGACCTTTGGAGATGATGTGGTCTCTTTGTGCAAGAAAGTTTGTAATCTTTATACCTATCCATATTTTCTTCTACTGAAGTCAGACAAGTGAATATGCATTTGTAAATTTCCTACCTTTGATAAAAACGGTTCTTCTGCATGATCAGCAAATCCTCTTCTAATTAAATCTTGATTAATACTGTATTCCAAGCCATTTTGTTGTTTCTCTAAAAGTTCCACTCTAATCGTATCTCTAACTACTGAATAAATCTATAAATATTTCTTAATACATTATTTGTAAGTAATAATAGCTCTGCACTACATTTACAGTGAATATACATGGTGAAATAAAAACAATTAACTCATTTTCAAGACGATTATTAAAGGGGCATTATGTAAGATTTAGATAAAGAGCTGGCCCTTCTCACTTTAATATTTCAAAAAAAGATAATGCAAAATGAATATATTGAAAATTTCATTCAAATTACTTTGTTTTGAGGAAGTTATCAATGGTTGTAGTTTTTACAAGATGTGTGCATTGATCATAACCACTGTACTGGTCATTCAAATTTTAGCCTCGCTTCTCCATTTTTAAATTAAATCATTAAATGGCATCGAAAGTTGATTATGGTCTTGTCATGTTAATAAATGTCTAATTAATAATTTATATAACATTTCTGGTCTAAACAAAAACCTGCAATAGGCAGATTTAGCTTTTACACATTGCCTGTTTAATGGCACATTTATCAACCTATCAAATTGCTTTCAATTGTAACAAGTATGAATGTTTATTTTTCCGCAATGCTATCTTGATATGTGTGATTCATATCACCAAATTGAATGTCATTGCATTATGATCATTTGCTCATAATTGTTTACCATTTGGGTTGGATAAAAATCATTTAATTTGAAATAATTTCATAAACTGGTGCTTATAAAATGTTCACTTTCAGGATCTGCCAATTGGATTACCCAAATTGATTGATCTTTATCACATTGCTAAACCACTGACCTGAATAAACAGATTTTTGCCAAGAACCTTGTCTCTAAACTTTGAATTTGCTTCTCGACTCCACACTCCATCTGGACATTTAACAGTAGACGGACGGATACCACTCAAAAAACATTCAACAGCCTGAAATCATATATAAAACAGTTATTATTTAGCAGCACAATTTGAGGTAGCCAACGAAATTTGAAGCTTAACCTGTGGGAGACATGTGGGTCATCAACATTATAGAAATATTTTGTGTTGTATATAGCGTTCTGCACTATAAAGCATATAAAGTCATGTAAACAAAAGTTGTCCCTATATAGCTGTCTTTAAAATTTGTCACAAGCCATTGTTTTACCTGGAATGGAATACTAGCAAAATCATCCGGTAGAGCTCTTAATGAAGATCTAGGTGTCCACTCTGAATTACCATAATCCACAAAAAATACCTGAAATGTTTAATAAAAGCTAAAATATCTTTAAAGAAATCATTCCAGTTATATTTGACATACTGTCAATTAAAACAAGATTAGTCATCAACATCCCACGCCCTTGCACTTGTTTGGAAGGCATAAGGAAAAACAACTTATTAAATCAGAGAAATTCCAATAATAATTCTATACCATAAACTAATTCAAAACACAAAAATTATTTAATCTGAGAAATTCCAAATTAGCATAAGGCACAAATACTATCACAGGTTAATGTTTATACAAAGTTTCATGAAGATATCTTGAATGGTTTAAGAGATATGCTCCGAAAATAAAATTGTACACATTATAACATTCTACAGCCCAACTAAATAGGATATATTTGTTCTATACTGTGTTTTCAATTCTTGAATTAAGCTGTCGATATTTCTTTACCACCGAATAATATCTGGGAGATGGTGATTGTTCTTGTTTGATCAAGTTGATGAATATGTAAATATGATGGCATGCTGTCATTTTGTTTAACTTAGAATATTAACCTTAATATGGAGAATTGAATTCATGTTTGAAGGCATAAAGCTGGCATAAACTGTGTTCAGACTGTCATTAATTATATTAAGCTTTATTAAAAAGGATCAAGCTCATTAAAACTGAACAGTCCTCACTATACCTGAGTGATAAGTTTTAAAGAGAGTATAGATTTCTGATTAACTAACGAATTTACAGACTGCCGCCATTCCGGGAACAAATGAACTAGTCCTGTGCAAATGTCTTCCAGCTTCTTTCAACAAAAAAACCCTACTTTTTAACAATATGTTAGATAATCAACTATAAAACACACCATAATACAGTGAGTCTGATTCGAAAAAGGTTTTCGTGTCATTGTGAATTAATTGATTGCTATCAACTTACATGAACTTTTTGAGTCCTTGGATCAGAATCATTTGTGATACCTTCTATTCTTCCTCTATAAAAAGCAACACTATCATTTTCCTTAAAGGCAGCAGCACAATATGTTCCTAGGCGTAGCTGTCCAGAAAGAGGCTGCAAACATACAGAATACAAATTATGATACTATTTAGATGTTCTTTTTAAATTCTATTTACCTAATCATGAATGTCTCAGGATGAATTACACAAACTCCTAAAATATATTTAATCCAAAATTAAGTTTGAAACTTTTGAAGTGAAATGTAAACAAAAGTAGGACAAAACCCCTTCACAGTATTCCAGCCCTGTGCAAAAGACACTCTAGAAAGAGCAATCACAACCCAGTCCTATGCACTATGAATAGCAAACCGAATCAGATCATACTAACATCATGTTATTTGTATCATTTAATAGGCAATTGACTCAAAATCAACATCTGTTAAATGAACACCTATTAGTATTCGGCTACATAAGTATTTATTAGTTACCGATAGTCGAGAGCCTTGATTATAATTTAGATTATCTTGAATGAACTTCAGTTCCTGGAATCTTTCAGCATTTACATATTGAGACCAAAAATGCCCACACTCAACAACCTGGAAATGTTTTAACAATACAGAAATTTAAGCATCAAAGTAAATTCTTTTCGAGTATGACAATACATTCAATCTATTATCTTACTTTGTATTGGGGGTGGGGGGGGGGGGTGGGGGTGGGGGTAACTTCCATTCAACACAAACTAGGTCATTTCTTGTCTAACATATGGTACAATTTTATTTCAATGATTCGCTTGCCCATAGGGTTCTTTTGCGGTGGAAGGAAACATGGGAAAACCCACGAGGTTGGGCAGATAGATATACTCCTTTTCACATATAAACGTGGGATTTAAACCCCTCGTGTTGACTCAATGACAGACCTTATAATACAAAGCACACACATTAAACCATTTAGCAACCAACCCACTCCAGATTAATGAAGACTATATTTTCTAATACTGACCTCAGTAACACAGATTATGGAGAAGGGACTTTCTGGACCAGGTGCAGGTACTACCATTGATTCTGTTACTACTTGTTCTCCCATAGTTGTTTCTGTAGCCATTACTCTACAGGAAAAAACATAATATTTAACACATTTAAAATAACATCATTGTCTACGATATCACCCTTGGTGGAAGTGGACGTAAAACTCCAGGAATAAATCAACAATAATAACATCACAATTATATCATTCTTACTTATTGCAACATATGGTAAGGATTAAATAACTATAATGATAACTGTAAGTACCTGTTAGTTCTTAATCTACCACTTTCTATAGCACTATCTTTAGCTTTCTGTAACTGATTCATCAGTTGGCTGGCATCTTCACGACTATAAACTTCTATCTCCAGGGGAATACGAAGATACCTGTAGAAGATGTGTACAAAACACAGTTTTTTGTCATCTTTGTAAGTCTCATATACACAGTGGGTCTTTTCAAGTTTCAGGTTGGCCACAATTGAATTTGTTTCAGCTAGGTGTTGTAACGAGTAGAAACCAGTTAACAGTGTCTTTTGCAAACTTTTACGAAATTGAAAGTCATTTTCCCTATTAACCAATTGTAATCCAAACTTCTTTATGACTGACAGTGTGTAATAAGCATTCAGAACTATTTTGTCCATACCAACATTTTTTGCAGTCAAAAGAAAAACACTTGAGACCAGGCAAAACTCTAAATGGAATTGGGTTTCTTAATGATAAAAATATCAATTGAAGTATTCTCTGTTTCTTAAGAAAGGCATAATAAAATAATAATCAAAGACTGGATGAAAGACCTTGATATTACTCATCACTATAAGGCTACACAAAATAAATGTCTTGTTTCTTGGGCAACTGACAGCTGAAAATGTAGGAGGAGAGGGTGGCTTCTTTTTTTTTTTACCCCATTGCTGGAGAGGATAGTGCAAAATAAAATTAGGCTATTGCAGAAAATTTTACGGGTGGAGAGAACATTACAGAAAGTCATCCCCCAAAATCAAGTCTAGTCAAGCACTGAACACTGACTGAAGGGGAATAATTTTCCATATTTAATTCACGTATTGGCTTCAAGTTCACGTCAGTAATATTCCTAAATAAAGTACTGATTTAATCTACTATGGCCAGTATTAGAAAATGCCATAGCCAAAATAAGCTGATACGGCACCATGGCATTGCTTCATATTTAACATTGTAACACAAATTGTTGTTTTTGTCTATCATGTAACTTGCAAAAGTTTTTATTCATTTGCAGATGATAGTATTCTAATTTCTATAAACAAACGCTGGTTTATATTGGCCTAATTCCAACCAATTAAATGCAGGTCATGTGTCATCGGTCCATAGATTGTCTGAAATATATTATTATGACTGTTTCTTGGGATATTCAGTGTTCTATCAGGGGATTATTTAATAATTATTTAAATTTAACTAACAACTGGTCAGTATTATTTTAATATCTACCTGGAATTGGTACGGAGCGTCGCAGACAACGCGATTCACAATTCATGCCGGTGTCTTCTTCTGCTCTTCATTTCATTCGCCATGTGGCTTATTGTCACGAAGGCAACTTATCGGACCTGTCATGTAGGCCTGTAATCAGCGAGCTTGTTTTGGTTTTTTTTTACCGGATTATCAAAACTAAGGTTAAAGACTCAGATTATAAATGAACCAAATCGCCAATTCTCACTTAGGTATAACTATTATTGTAGCCGCAAGAAAGTTGATTAACTTCTTAATCAACAAGTAATAATTAACCTGTTCTAATTTAGCCGAAAGTAGATTGATTTATGATACCATAGTGGCCGGTTCATTGTTTTAATCAAAAGGATTCAAATATTGTTGTCAACGAGTTTCTGTTTAAACAATCTGATTAAAATACAGATCAATATTTCTATGGCCTACACTACATGAAGATTCTGACCAGTTGTACAGGAAGGTCATGTCAAGGGTCGTACGAGTGGCTTTTGACCCTATGTCAGACATTGATTAAACATACATTATGCAAGAGTTAAATCTGCCTATTGCAAATCTTTATTTAGGCTTCAGATGTTATAGAAATTATTAATTAGACCTTTATTTACACTACAAGCTTAAGATCAACTCTGTAGACCCACGGATGGCTTGGATACGGTTTGGATTTAAACAGCCTCGTCCATTTAAAATTAAATCAATAAATGGCGGACCGAGCTAACGTTAACGGTTACTCGCTGATGTCACAATCGGAAACTGGTGATGAAAAGCCTGCCAAGCGAGGCTACCATAGCCTTTGAGCATGTTACTTGATAATCGAGAATTTGTGGGTGGAGTTATCGCTTGTCAATCAAATGATCGTCAATTCTCAGAGACGGTGAAGACAGAATTGATGCCAATTTCTAGTCCAAACTTCTAACAGTGACAATTCCGTTCAGAACAAAGTAATTTGACTGAAATTTTCAACATTTTCTTTTTTTATCATCTATTTTTGAATTATTATAGAAAGAATGGCCAACTCTTTATAAAACTCTTAACTAATGTATCTTTAATCAATCAGCATTGACGTTTTTAGTGGTTTATCCAAAGTTCCCAGCATCGCACAAAGAGACATTACGTATTTTTTTTTTTTCATTAAGACCAATAAAAAGATTGCACACGCAACCATTTTTGCGTGCGGCCTGTGCCCGAGAAACAACTTATTTTATTTGTGTTGCCTAATTGTTAAATTGTTTACCTTAACTTGATAGCTGTATAAACACCTTGATGAACTTTATGGTCATATGTGGTGTTATTCTTCCAAGGGAAACTAATAAAAGCTCTGTAGAAAAAAAAAATAGTTAAATTCTTATAGTAAACAAAATGGTAGATAAGGGGGTTTTTTTTGGTGGTTACATGTGCCATATTCTTTGGATTTCAAAAAAATGAATTTAAACAGAATTAATCATGGCCATAATAGAAAACTAAGAGTGACAGCTACAACTAAATATGTCATCACAAATGATTTAATAGAAAGATGGAAAACCCATATGAATGAAGAAGCTGTTTGATTGTTCAATAAACTGTGCGCAGACTAGTTATACACAATCCCTCCTTTGGTACAGAAGAGAATATATTAATTAAAGGAAATACAACAAAGCGTATGCTAAAATACATGAGTCATTCACACAAATTAATGCTAACATTTAGTCATCAAAATTATGATTTGTGTAAAAAAGATCCTTATTTACATGCAAGTTTCCTACTTACTTAGTTTCTTCAAAGCTTATAACGGGTGTTTCAGTAGCATAACATTTACGAAACATGGTCTCTAATGTCTCTCTATATAACATTCCTTGATTAGCTGGAAGACCTTTAACCTAAAAAATATATACATGTTTGTACGATTAATAAGGTAAATAAGTGTCAAGTGGATTTCAACTGCATATTATTGCAATTTAAATGATTTTGAGATTTTAGTTAAATACTGATATAAGTTTTATCAATCAGATCCTCAACTTGATACTAAAAAGTTCAACTATTAAAAATGTAGAAGCTGGACATTCAGTCCTTAATCTCTCACAACTGAAAAAGAACATACAATACGTAGAATTAACTTATTATGTTGTAATAGCATTTAGTGTTAAAGTAAATTTCTGACTACTAACCATGACAGTATTCATAGCATCATTGTTGGATAGTTGTTTAATGGCTTCAGTTTCATCACTTTCTGTTTTCATGAAATAATTAGGATAGAAAGCTCCGGCTATAACAATCTGTAATTAAACAAGTATACAACAATACGATACTATGATTTGACTCGGGAGTCAAACTAGTGTTCAAACAAATTTGGTTGTAGCTACAATGATCACTTCTTTCTGTAAAATGTTTTTTGAGATAAACCGAGTTAGTTTAAGTCAAGTAAATCTTTATGAACCTCCTTTAAACAGACAAAGGGTCTGACAACGAAGAACCCCAAAATAAAATAAAATTGACAACATCTACATTTTCCATATTTAACATGGTACTTGGGAATTACAAGTCTTCAAACCAAACAACAAAAACAATCCACCTTCAATAATAGTCTCTCTTGTGGATCTTTGATATCTTTCTTAAAATTAGGTCGTTGTCTAGATTTTTCAATACTGAATCTCTGAAGTCTCTGTTCTATTTCTTTGACAAGTTCGGACACCTATAAATAAAAAATACAATCTTCTGACGTAAAACTAGTAAGATTAACAATACTATAGAAAAATCAATATTAAACACACAGACCTCTAGTATATTGCAGAACATAAGGATAGGTTGTCAAGCAATGAAACATACATTCTCAAGACTGTCCACAAGCGTTGTCAGATATTTGTTCTTAGTAGGGAATGGGGACATTTACAGGACACTAAAAACGGATCAAGAGTAATAATCCACGAATTAATTATCATAAATTAAAATTTGATTGGGTTTTAGTGTTTCCTAGTGCTTATTACAGTATTATTATTCAAAATATGTACCAGTAATCAGATGGTAACTTTAGCTGTAGAGTTATTTGTCTCATGAATAAAAGTATAAAAGTAAATTCAATTTGATGATAACTTTAGCCTCCTATAGTCCACAAGAAATTTTGAGAACGCGGTCAGTCGGACGAACAGGGTGACAACAATGTGAGCATATCAAAGTCAAAACCACTATAAATAAATAAGACTTAATTATGATAAAATAACAACTTACCTCATTCATCCGTCTAATCTGAATAAAATTCAATTCTCCCCACTTTCTTTCACCTTGACCTGCACGCTTGAATTCATGCATTTTTCTTTTTTCATCCCAAACCTATATTTCCATTTGAGTAAGAAACAAAGCAAAATATGGTTCAACACGTCAATGTTTAATATATCCTGAGTAGTATCTGTATATTTTAAACTAACTAAATCTAAATCTATCATGATAAAAATTATAAGCATTATGTAATATATTTGTGAACCGCGGAATTCTTAACATAAATTGTTATCATGGTACAGACCAGTACATAAAAAATATGCGACATTCAAAGTGATGCTTACCTTGTAGGCATTTAATATTGCAAGACAGTCACTTAATGATGAATCGGACCAACCTTGCTTGTGTCTGAAATTATCAATCATGATAAATAAATAAATATATTTATCAAGTAAACCTCACAAATATCTCAGAAATGAGTGAGAGAAATAAGTTTAATATCAACTCAACACAAACTAGGTTATTGTGGGACTAACATGATTTATTGCAATAATATGCTCATGTGTAGTATAAGTATTAGGAGGACCTGCAGAAAACTCATTAGATTAGTGTTAGCAACCCTACTCCTTGTTACAATCAAGCCTGTGATCGAACCTATGATTGACTCAATAGTAGTCTGTAAGATCTATAAATTTAAACATAGTTTATTGATCATAAATCATCAAAGGGATGAGAGACCAGTGAATTCACTTACAGTTTATATTATTCAATTATATTCATAACTATATTTTATATTCTAACTATACTTCTATAATTATAGCTACAAACTTGATAATTATAGCTACAATTTTATATTTATAACTGCAATTTTATTATTTATAACTACAACTTCAATAATATCAACTATGGTTTACCCCATAGTTGTGTTTATTTTAGGAACGGGATCCCGTTTGGTCATGTGATCGATCACGTGATCATACCGGAGGTAAATTGACTATGTTTGGGCAATAGTACGTTACGTGACATGACCGTATTTGGAAAATAAATGACGTAGTTCACACGTTGACTGGGACGTAATACAGACGACGTCTGCCCAGCCCCACTTTCACTGTTATCGTTTTTAAGAAGACCCAGTCAAATTTTTGCTTGATTTAACTCATCAATTTTTCATTGTAATTTAATCATCGATTGATTAAAATCATCCGACAGAAATCTGTATTTCAAGATGTCGAAGAGACCTACTTTGCGAGATGTTCAGCTAAATAGGCCGATCGGGAAAAACGGAAAAGTTGGAAAAAATTCGGATGTTTTAGGCCTATCGAAGAAAGGGAAAAGACCTGTCGGCAGACCGTCTAGGGCCAAGTCATCAACGACAACTATACCGAGGCCTGAAACTGCTTCAGATAGGCCTATTGAATATGTACAATTATGCCCTCCGCTCCCCGAAGATGCCTTAGAGTCCGGTGATAGGCCTACAGATATGGACGTGTCACAAGAATTGCCATCCTGTTCTGGATATCAAGCCACCGGAGGCAGGCTTACAAACAATGAGACGCATACTCCGGGTGAGTACGGTTTTGTAGATTTTGAGCAGGCATTAAGATCAACAAATTTCTTTCAAAATCAACGCGCTACTGCGAGTACTGTAGCTTCAAACTCAAACGGGCCTAGGCCTAATTACCAGGCCCAGAATCAGTCAAATCTTGCTCCAACTCAAAAACAGGGCCTTACAGTTTTAAACAATGACACTTATCATTATGTTGCTAGGCCTAATAATCCTAGGACTATTGATTTGTCTAATGACTGTCCAATAGTAGCCGAGTCAGCAGAGCAGGCTAACGTAGTTGGCACAGAGTTTAACGCCTATGATTTGGAAGAGCCGCCACGTGTAATATCTGCGGCGGACGATTCGCTCTATTTACACGTACCCGTTGCAATAAGAAATAAAATTTGGTCGTGTCAATACATAAATTTAGCACATTTACTTAAGGTGGGTACTGAGTATCAAGATAACTTGACAACGGTCCTACATTTGGAAAAAGGAGCCATCGTAACTAAGCCGAAGCCTACGGAGAAGATTTTGGACATCGATCGATGGACAAATGCGTTCATAATTTTTGCCAGAATATATTGGGAGAAATTTCCTGAAAGAATAGGGGATTTATTGCAGTATATGTCCGTAATAAGAGAAGCTTCCACGAGGTATCCTGTTGCGGCGTGGCGCTCGTATGATGAGCAATTTCGATTGAGGCAACAGAGGCATACATGTGAGTCTTGGGCAAGAGTAAACCCAGATCTCTGGATGCGCCTCATGGTAACTAGGCCAAAGAATCATTCGGAGTACGGTGCACAAATTAGCTATAAACAGAAAGAAGGCATTAAACCTTTTCTCTGTTTTGATTTCAATAAACAAGGTTATTGTTCATATAATCCATGTAAATATCAGCATTCTTGTGGGAATTGCGGGTCCCATGGTCATGGTAAGAGCAGTTGCTTGAAGCAAACCACAGCTGTTGATAATCGTGGAACTGGATCTGATTTTCAGGATCCCAGGTCAACAAATAAACAATTCAATCAAACAGCAAATAGGGGTTTTCAGCGGGGTTCATTTCGTAGGGGAAAGTCGTCCAGATATTAGTTCTTCTGGTGGTTTCGTTCGTTCAAGTTCTTGCTATAATGTGTTTCAAAGTTCTGTTGATTCGTTAGATAATTCCAGTTGGTTTTCTTTTTCACTTGCTAAGTCTCCAATCAACATTGATCATCTGCGGTTTAAGTTGAATAATTATCCGAATAGGCTAGAGGCGGAGGAAATATTGCAGGGGTTTTCTGATGGTTTTCCGCTCCATTATACTGGGCCACGTGAACCTTCAGATGTTAAGAATTTGAAATCAGCTTTAAAAAATTCTGAAGTGGTTCAGGAGAAAATAAAAGCTGAGTTAGCTGCCGGGAGAATCGAAGGGCCTTTTAGTGAGCGACCTATTCCTACTTTAAGATTATCGCCCATTGGATTAGTCCCAAAAAAGGAAGCTGGTCAATTTCGTCTGATTCACCATCTTTCGTATCCAGCTGGTCAGTCAGTTAATGATTTTATTAGCCCGGAAATGGCTTCTGTACAATATACGCCTTTCGATACAGCACTAGGCATGGTGCAATCATTAGGGAAGGGTTGTCTTTTGGGTAAATCTGACATTAAAAGTGCATTTAGACTACTTCCAGTTCGTAGGCAAGATTTTGATCAGCTAGGTTTTACTTTCAACAATTTGTATTATTTTGACAAATGTATGCCATTTGGTTGTTCTATAAGTTGTTCAACATTTGAAAAATTTGCTAGATTTTTAGAATATTGTGTTCGTTCGGAAGCTGGCAGTGATCAATTGCTACATTATCTTGACGACTTTATGTTTGGGGGTTCTCCACATTCTAATGAATGCTCATTATTGATGAACACTTTCAAGGATTGTCTAACAAGCTTAGGTGTTCCGATTGCCGAGGAAAAAACTGTTGGTCCGGTAACAGCTTTAACTTTTTTGGGCATTCATATTGATACGCTTAATATGACACTAAGCATTCCACATGATAAGATTCAGGATATTTTGGACAAAATCGAATCAATGCTAAGGTGTAATAAGTGCACTCTTAAACAGGTACAGTCGTTGATAGGCTCGCTTAATTTTGTGTGTCGAGTAATTGTCCCTGGCCGTCCATTTTGTCGGAGATTGATCGACTCGACATGCGGATTATCAAAGCCTCATCATCACATTCGACTAAAAACTGGTATAAAAAGCAACCTAAGGATGTGGCAAACGTTCTTGTCGGGATATAATGGTATTTCCTTGTTTCATGATCGTTTCTGGTCGACGGACGCACAATTGCATCTATTTACTGATAGTTCGGCACAGAAAAATTTAGGTTGCGGTGCATACTTTAACAGACAGTGGTTTAACCTTGCATGGCCACGAACGTGGGAAGCGATTGGTCTGTTAGATGACATAACGCTACTTGAATTATTCCCAATTTTTGTATCATTTTTCATTTGGACTCCTAATTTTAGAAATAAAAAGATTCTTTTGCATTCAGATAACAAAGCAGTTGTACAAATTCTCAATTCCATGACATCAAAATCTGAACATGTTATGAAACTTGTGCGCGAAATAACCTTAATTTGTTTTTCAAATAATATAATCATCAGAGCTGAGCACGTTGAGGGCATTCATAACGGTATTGCAGACAGTCTCTCTCGTTTTCAGATGGATCGATTTCGTGTGTTGGCACCAGACGCACAGCTAGAACCCAGTCCAGTACCCAACCATGTCTTGCAGATATTCAGCGAACCACATTAAAGTTACTTGAATCAAGCTTGGCTCCTAACACCAGAATATTATATGTGCAAGCTATCACACATTTTAATAAATTCCGTAAAGGAAACTCATTGTCTGAGGCGTCATTGCAGGATTTAATATGTTATATCTCCTCATGCTTCCATCAGGGTTATGCTCCTGCAACAATCACGTCTTACTTGTCGGCAATCAGTTTTTTCAACAAAATTCAGAACTTTAATGATTATACATCACATTTTTTGGTTAAAAAGATTTTGGTTGGTTATAGAAGACAACGAGTCACTAAGGATATAAGGGCACCGTTAACTCTAAATATTTTAGGAGCTGTTTGTTCGATTTTACCTTCTATTTGTTATACTTCCTTTGAGGCAACTTTGTTTGAATCTGCATTTAAGTTGGCTTATTATGGTTTGATGCGTATTGGTGAGTTGGTGTATTCTGATCCGACATATGCTGATCGCCCTCTTCGTCAAGGCGATGTCACTATCGAGGGAATTGGTAGCGAACGTAGTTTGCTGATCAGAATAACATCATCAAAAACCAATCAGTCAGGGCCACCGACTACTTTACGTATACCAGCGTTGAATCACTCTACGTGCCCCGTTAGAGCTATCATCTCTTTTGATCGAATGAGACCCCAAGACGCTCAATATTACTTTTCTCATGCTGATCAGAAACCATTAACAAGAAGTCAATTTTGTGCAATTCTATTCAAAGCAACTAAATCTTTGGATCTCCCAGCATGTCGATTCAAATCGCATTCATTCAGGATAGGTAGGGCAACGGACCTTGCTAGCCGCGGTTACAAGGAGGAGGATATCATGAGAATGGGCAGGTGGAAATCCAGCGCGTATAAAAATTATATTCGCTTGTAATTGTACTCTATAGTGTAGGTATAACACGCCATATTTCTAATTGTAGATACATGTAACACTGTTTGGTTTGTGGGAAGTTCCATTATTTTCTGGGCTAAACACAGAGCTGAAGCTACTGGTGTGCTGCAGGAAACATGGCAGATGAAGGGAGAAAGAGGTGGGGTCTGGGCTGGGTTATTACCAAACATACAGTTTTTGATGCTACAAGCTAAGCGACCTCCTGATATGCTTATATTACATTTAGGAGGGAACGACTTAACTGATAAGTCTATTTTTGATTTGACCAAGTCAATAGCAAAGGATGTGGCTTACTTGAGGGAGATATTTCCTCAAACTTCTTTAATATGGTCGGATATACTCCCTCGTTTCACGTGGCGGGGAGTTAACGATAAAACTTGTAATTTAAGTGAGGGAGAGGTAAATCATGCTCTTAGAGCTTTGGACATTAAACGAAAGAGGATTAATCGTGAAGGCCGTAGGGCCGTAGTTAATAATCCCCCTGGTCATATTATATCTCACAGTATCACACGTTTCACTCCACATTTTTTTTCGAGGCGATGGTGTTCACTTGACGAATTCTGGCAAGGATCGCTTGATTGCAAGTTTCATACAGGCTATAAATGCTTTTACAGCCCACCCCACCTCTGTAAAATTTGATGCCGCTGTCGATCTCAAAGAAGATTAAACAGCAGGTTGGTAATTTTAAATCGTGTTGACGTTTAGGTTTGCTATGTCCGTGGTACGGTGGGCTGTCTTAAACTTATGTTCATACGCTGCGTGCTCGGGGTACGATGCGCACGCACGGTGTTATGCCCGTGGTTTGGTGGGCTTTATGTATGTATTGTTGAGCACGTGGTATGGTGTGCTCACGTTTTTATGCCCGTGGTTCGGTGGGCTATGTTTTAACTAAGCTGTGTGCACGTGGTACGGTGTGCACTCTGTGTTATGCCCGTGGTTCGGTGGGCTTTATGAACGTTAAGTTCGTATAGTTGAGCACGTGGTATGGTGTGCTCTCGGTTTTCATGCCCGTGGTACGGTGGGCTATGTTTTAACCAAGCGGTGTGCTCGTGGTACGATGTGCACACAGTGTTATGCCCGTGGTACGGTGGGCTTTTTGAACTTTTAGTTCGTATTGTTTAGCACGTGGTATGGCGTGCTCACGGTTTCATGCCCGTGGTACTGTGGGCTTTATGAACTTTTAGTTCGTATATTTGAGCACGTGGTATGGTGTGTTCACGGTTTCATGCCCGTGGTGGGTTGCACGAATTTCGATAGAATTGGGGGACAAATTCACTGTGGTTAATTTGCTTGTGGCGGAATTCTATATTCTCTGAAGAGGTCGTAGAGATTTGGTTCATTTCTTAACTTGGTTTAACCAGTGAGAATTCATGAACATTTTCTACAATTTGGGTACTCTGGTTATACTATGGTTAAACCTAGATAATCTTATACATTTTACCCTCAAACCTCATGAAGATAGACCGCGGCCACAAAATTCCACATTAATTGATACTATCTATATTAATAAACTAAATTTCTGTCATATCATTAAGACTTGTGATTTGAATAGATCTCGTTCTCTTTAAATAATATCAACTATGGTTTACCCCATAGTTGTGTTTATTTTAGGAACGGGATCCCGTTTGGTCATGTGATCGATCACGTGATCATACCGGAGGTAAATTGACTATGTTTGGGCAATAGTACGTTACGTGACATGACCGTATTTGGAAAATAAATGACGTAGTTCACACGTTGACTGGGACGTAATACAGACGACGTCTGCCCAGCCCCACTTTCACTGTTATCGTTTTTAAGAAGACCCAGTCAAATTTTTGCTTGATTTAACTCATCAATTTTCCCGCCCAAATCCCGCCCTCTTTTTGCCTTGCGATACTTTGTCGGGTTTTATTTTTCTCTTTTCAGGCTTGGTATGTTTAATGGTTATGAAAGCTTAATTGGTTATGTTCCTGTTTGATTCCTGATTGGTTATATGTTCATTATCTTTTCATCATTAGTATTGTTGGTCATTAGTATTTATGCTGTTATTTTAATGTTCAATTTGTAGCTGTTATTATTATTTTATTCTTTTCTTCAAATTATTATGTCGGCGGAATTCTATATTCTCTGAAGAGGTCGTAGAGATTTGGTTCATTTCTTAACTTGGTTTAACCAGTGAGAATTCATGAACATTTTCTACAATTTGGGTACTCTGGTTATACTATGGTTAAACCTAGATAATCTTATACATTTTACCCTCAAACCTCATGAAGATAGACCGCGGCCACAAAATTCCACATTAATTGATACTATCTATATTAATAAACTAAATTTCTGTCATATCATTAAGACTTGTGATTTGAATAGATCTCGTTCTCTTTAAATAACCATAATTACAATATTAATAATTATATCTACAATTTAAATAATTCTAATTGCAATTTTAATAATTCTAATTGCAATTTTAATAATTCTAATTGCAATTTTGCAATTTTAATAATTATAATTGCAATTTTAATAATTATAATTGCAATTTTAATAATTATAATTGCAATTTTAATAATTATAATTGCAATTTTAATAATTATAATTGCAATTTTAATAATTATAATTGCAATTTAATCATAATTAAATTCATATTTATAAAATTACAATTTTTTTTTATAATTTACTTGTGCATGGATACTTATATTTATGTTTTATTTTTGATTATTATAATGCCTGTTTATTTTCTACATTTCAAATATACTATTTACAGTAGGGTGGGTTTTCTCTGGGTCCTCTGGTTTCCTCCCACTGCTAAAGACCCCCACGCACAAGCGAATTATTGAAATAAAATTGAACCATGTGTTAGTCCTGAAATGACTTAGTTCGGGTCGAGTGGACGTTAAACCCCATTTCTCCCCATTTCTCTCTCTCTCACAATATAATTGTTACAATATGCTATTTACAATCTAAACTATATACAAATGCTGCTACCTCTTTCTATTTAATATATAGCAATATTAGTATTAGATAAATCTGTTGCTTAATTTTATTTAAATATGGAGACGTTTGCGTTTTCCGAAATATTCGTATCCCCATTTAAAATTGTTTTCAAATCTACTTTTCCTCCATATTTTTTAACATCCTTAAACAGATGTTCACATTCATGGAAATAATAAAAATTATTTTTACATGGGTTACCACATTGACATTCAAAACCGTTTGATAAATAAGCTCTTGCAAGATCCGAATTAAAGTTACTGCTCTCATGATGAAGTCTTGTATGGAGAATACCCAGTTTTCTGTCGTGTACATGATAATAGCCAGATGCATTGCACGTTGTGAGATCTATATTTTGACCATTCTGTCACTCAACACCTTAATTCAAAAACACTATAAATTATTACAAAGAAAATTTCCTTAAAATGTTTCATTTATCTTATTTGATGTATACCAGTCAAATCTTATTACTTACTTGTAGGCTTCTAATTTAGCTTTAAAGGGTTTGGCAAAAATACTCTTCAATGATAAAGCAGCTCCTGAGAATAGACAATTATATTCATTCATCATTAATCTAAATGCACAAGTTTTATATATTGAAACAGGGATTGAAAAATGAAATGGGGTTTAACGTCCTACTGTTCTTCTCCAACTGGGTTTATGAAGACGGACATATGCTATACATTGAGGAAAATTTTATATCGAATTCCAAATGCCAAGGGATCTTTTACGTGCAGGCTAATATGTACACAGGACCTCGGTTTTTGTTCCATCCAAACGGCTAGACAACTGTCCTTGTCAGGCCCTCCGTCCTGCACCACTGACAAGGGGGAACTATGCCAGAAAATCTTGATGAACTTTCTCGGCCAACACCGATACAGGGATTGAATTATCTAAGATACGTAAATAGGAAGTATGTAGCTTGATGGATTTTTACTAGTCATTATTTACTATAACAGTAACTTGGTGAAGACTTAAATGTGTCAAGTTAGCAACAAATGAACAGGATGAATTGTTTGTGTTTTAATATTAAATAAGTATATCAACACAGATTGTTGGTAAAATGTTCCTGATACAGATAGATCAGAACTGGAGATATAACTACACTAACCTATAACAAGAAAATAATAACTGCAATTTATCAATTCAAGATATTTGTATACTTTTTGATAAATTAAAACAACTATATATATTTACCTATAATGATACATTCTTCTAATAAACCAAAAACATGACCCAATACCAGTAATTTACCAATTCTGATATCTAATGGTAAATCAGCTAGTACTCTACCAATATAAGTTAAATCACCATCATGTTTACTTGTTATACCATGTACACCGGTAGCAAGGGCACCAGCCTATACAAATATATAATATTCAATTATACAATATCTTTTAAAAAAATCTGAATTAGCAAGAAACAAACCTACCAAATTTTGTTCAAATCCATTCCGCATTTCAGAAAACATTACAGGTTATATTAGATCTTTGAATTTGGACACATGTTATGATTGCTAAACTCATTTAATCGAAAGCCTACTGCTGGAAATGGGATTTGGGGCTGAAATATTTTACGACTTGACAATCCATATTCTACAATCAGGTGAAATTCTAGTGAAACCATATCCATTTACTCACAGAATTAACGGTTTTAAAAATAGACTCAGAACAATCCCTGAACATTGAAAACAGAAACATCAACAGATAACAGATAGAATGATTAAATGGCACCAACCTCTTTCAGATTCAGTACAGTCCTTTCTATTTCATCTAGTCTAGGTGGAGAAAGTGCCAGACCTAATAGAGCTTTAGGTTCACCCATATCAAATATCTTTGTCTTCAACACAAGAGACTCTAATGGACAGCGCTGAAAAAGTAAAACAAAATCCATCAATTCAATATATAACCTATACTTACTTCAACTACCTGATTCATTTAGAAGAGATTATTTGTAACCACAGTGTTCAGAGTTGGGGTAACTTTTTATTGGGACACACTAGCTATATACCAAACAAGCACAAGATTTACAGCTAGGGTTAGCTCAATAATTGTCATTCTTTACAATGATTCTTCAATGTTTTCAAAGTATTTACGAGATTATTGTAATTCATAAATACAGTATTTATCTACACTGGTTATGAATAACCTCTTCCATTTCTCTAAATAATTATAAATCCCCAACAGGACAAGTTAAATAGAGTTTCTCATCACACACACTCGAATGAGTCAATTCTAACTTACGGCCATTTAAATTTACATTGGTTTCTAATGCTTTCACAATGACATCTTTGTGTGTCTTAAAGTTATAACAATTCTATCTTTTTCGTACAACCTAGTCAATTCTTCATGAAGGATTTTTTATATTATATTTGGTATTTACCTGCATTTCAGGTACACCATGATCTGGCAAAAAGTCCTCAAAAAATTTCTGTGTAACCATAAAATAAGCCCTACCATTTGATACACGACCAGCACGACCTAGAAAAAATAAAACAAATGTCTTAGTGTTCAAAAATAAGTATATATGCTGAAGAGCAGGGATGCTATTTCAGAAGTTATTTGTCAGCTTCAGGAAATCGGGTCAATAAGCTTCCATTCCTTGTAATAGACTTCAATTATAAATATTTTTATGTTACGTAGCATAGGTTATCATGTTCTGAATACTTGAGTACAGCATTGAAATTCATGTCAGTAATATTCCTACATAATTACATAATACGATTGAATGAAAGGCTGAAAAGGTATAGACTTTTACCTGCTCCAAATTCCTGCAGTAATATTCTTCCAAAATTACGTGTTTTTGTTTTATATGGCAGAAAATGAAAGCAAAACGTCTGTGATAAGAATAGTTTGTGATGTCGGAACATCATTTGTCTTCTTTATAAAAAACGTATTTTAAAGTTACAACAACCAGCGACTGCCAGGCAGGATACGCCCACATTTTCGAGAGATGGATAGAGAACAAGCAAAAAAGAAAGTGATTTTTCGTACAATCAAGGGCCATAATTCAGAAAATTACAATGCGCAAATATGGAAAGGAACCAAGATCTTTTGGTTATAAACTTACATTTCAAGTTTCAACAAAATCGGATAAAAAATTGTGACCTCTATAGGGTACATAACCTTGATATACCATATTTTTTACCTTATTTGAGAACGAGGGGCGGCCATTTTGTCTGTCAGTTTTAGGCTGATTTTCACGAAATTCAAACACAGCCGGCCTTAGGGTGTAACGGTGATATAATAATACGTTTTTTTAAATCGGATAAAAATTATGACCTCTATAGGGCCCACAAGCTAAAAACGCGATATTTTGTACAATCAGGGGCCATAATTCAGGAAGTTATGGTCCGATATGCGCCAATATCGAAAGGAACCGAGATCTTTGGGTTATAAACTTACATTTCAAGTTTCAACAAAATCGAATAAAAAATATGACCTCTATAGGGTCCACAACCTTGATATACCATATTTTTACGCTATTTGAGAACGAAGGGCGGCCATTTTGTCTGTCAATTTTAAGCTGATTTTCACAAAATTCAAACTCAGTCATCCTTAGTGTGTAATGATGATATAATAATACGTTTTTTTAAATCGGATAAAAATTAAGACCTCTATAGGGTCCACAAGCTAAAAACGTGATTTTTCGTACAATCAGGGGCCATAATTCAGGAAGTTACGTTCCGATATGTGCGAATATCGAAAGGAACCGAGATCTTTGGGTTATAAACTCACATTTCAAGGATCAACAAAATTGGATAAAAATTATGACCTCTATAGGGTCCACAACCTTGATATACCACATTTTTACGCTATTTGAGAATGAGGGGCGGACATTTTGTCTGTCAGTTTTGGGCCGATTTTCACGAAATTCGATCTCAGCCGTCCTTAGGGTGTAACGGTGATATAAAAATACATTTTTTTAAATCGGATAAAAATTATGACCTCTAGTGTGTAATGGTGATATAATAATACGTTTTTTTAAATCGGATAAAAATTAAGACCTCTATAGGGTCCACAAGCTAAAAACGCGATTTTTCGTACAATCAGGGGCCATAATTCAGGAAGTTACAGTCCGATATGCGCTAATATCGAAAGGAACCAAGATCTTTGGGTTATAAACTTACATTTCAAGTTTCAACAAAATCAGATAAAAATTGTGACCTCTATAGGGTCCACAACCATGATATACTATATTTTAACCCTATTTGAGAACGAAGGGCGGCCATTTTGTCTGTCAGTTTTGGGCAGTTATACACTAAGCAGTCAATATATCTTGGAATTTTGAATATTATTCCCCAAATCTTGATATCCGAAGGGCCATAATCCTGGTCGGATGTTTGGAAAATCGCAGACATTTCCAGAACTGGTATATGTAGGCAAAGTAGCATCCCTGCTGAAGGGTATTGTTCAAATGATTGCAATGTATCTAATATAAAGACGTTACCTTTTCTCTGTGTACAGTTTGATTTAGAAGCCCATTCCATCTGTAAATGTGTATAGTTAGTATCTTGATCACAAACAAGATTCTTAGTTAAACAGAAATCAATTACTGAAAATATTACAATAGTTTATTTGATTAGTACACGTACACAAAAATTCATTACATAATCTTACAACCGTGAAATGGAGTCGTCATACTTTTCTGCAACGACTGGGCTACTGAAAACATGATTTTACAACCAACTAAATCACAAGATACATGCATGACATATATTCCTATCCCCCACCCCCTCGAAATAACAATCTTACCATATTTAATATCAGTAACTGTGATAGAACTTTCTGCTATATTCGTTGACAAGATGATCTATAAGAAAAATTATACATTATTAATAAGGCCTCAAACAATATTGTGGCACCCCCCCCCCCCAAAAAAAAATAGGGTGTCGGAAATGCTGGAAGCAGGGTTTCCTAGCATAATCACTGTTATAATACCAAAATTTCAGTGTCTGTAGAAAGCCACGGCAAGACTGATTTATAGGCCCTCAGAAATGAGAAATAAACTTTAGGTCCATTTTCCATATACACATTTTCACTGGTTACATGAAAACGGTCCCATTACATTTGCATTAGCCCAACTTTTTTGCCGACGAAAACACGTACAATCAGGGGTCATATGCTTGAATATCGAAAGGAAACAAGATCTTTGGGTTATAAACATACATACACAAGCTAAAAACATTTTCCGTACAATCAGGGGCCATAATCTATGAAGTTACGGTCTGATACATGCCAATTTCAAAAGGAAACAAGATCTTTGAGAGATAAACCTATTAATAAAGTTTTGTCAAAATCTGATAAAAATTGTGACCTGTAGATTGTCCACAAACAAATTGTGGATGGAAGGGACTCACGGACGTCCACACGGACAGGGGTGATGACAATATACGTCCACATCAAAATGTGGGTGTATAAAAATTCAGAGATTGATTACAGTAGAGCACAAAATAAGTTTATTGTTGTCCTGTAACATCCAATACCACTTTGATTTTTATAACAAATACCTTTTGTTGTCTATTTTAAGAAATGAATATTGATCTTGTTTTGATAGTGTGACCCCCCCCCCCCCAAAAAAAACCCCAATTAACTGTATGCATAACAAAATATTTTGATTTACCGGGCTAATATAAATTTTAAAGCTATCAATACAAATATATGTATTTAGGATTCACAATTACTAATAGACAATACAAATCAGTAATAATTACAGAGAATATTTTCTTTTTCAGTTGGTGCGTGCTTTGTAGTTATACAATACAAATCAGTAATAATTACAGAGAATATTTTCTTTTTCAGTTGGTGCATGCTTTGTAGTTATTTGATTGTTATAGTCCATGAGATCATGAAAATTCAATTCTAGAATGTTCACTGAATGTTTAAAGCCATTATATTATAAATCTAGGAGTAAATACTACATGTACATACCTTTCTGTAACCTTTATGCGGTGGTTCAAACACTCTATTTTGTTCTTCACTAGTTATTGAAGAATGAAGAGGTATTATCTTTAAACTACAAAACAAGATTTTGATTTATATGTAATAACTTATAATAACTGATAATATACAGTTCATCTATAGACTAAAGGTTCTGTTTACCTTTAGGCTCCCAGTATACATAAGGCAGGGAGTTGACACTGTTTTCTGTATCAATTATTGCTTAATAATCCCATGCATTCAGCAAGATATATTAGCATTAAATGTTCAATATATAACAGTGTATCTGCTTTTCTATTTGAAATCCATGTGAATAATTTGAAAGATAATTGCTAATCGAGATCAGTCAGGCATCAACTTCAGCAGATCATGCACTGAATATAAGGCATGTAGAAGTGATTACCGGTATACTATGCTAGCATTTAGGTATTTGTTGTATATAAGCACCTCGGCGGCCAACCACCTCAGCCTTTTGTTAGCTATTATTATTGTATTGGGAGTCAAGACCAAACTGGACTGGAAGAAATATTGGAGATTGTTATGAAGCTGTTGATACACAGTAATACACTAGTCATAGGCTGATTATTACAAAACGAAGTTAACTATTGACAAGATGTATGTTCTTTAATCATTTTCAAATCAAAACTCTTTCATTCTTTAACAGTATTTTATATTTATCCTCATCAATATTTGTGTTAAAATTAACATCTTACCAATGTTTGGATTCAAATGGACATAATTTATCAAAAACATCTGTTATTTCACCATAACCTGAAACAAAACATCTTTTACATATTTATCTTGAGATGAAAGTGAAAATTCGAATTTTACTTGGCCCATAGCATACATATAGCTCAGACGTATAAAGATAGTGTATTGCATGTTGACTATACAATGCCAGATTTAGATGACAAGAGGCTATTCTACTTATGAGGCCCCTTCCAATCAAACACCATCACAACTAGATGAAGATGAAAGTGATTTTAAAACACAATTGAACAAGGCCTTACGACAGTGTCAACAAACAGTTGTGGTGCAAGAATCAGGGGCCATTAATCGAGGATGTTACGATCCGATATGCGTCAATATTTTAAGCAGTGGGCACACCAGATGAATCCTCCACCAAATTCACCAGGCGATTGCATCTCTTTTCATATCACATGATTAAACATGGCAGCAACCATGTCTTCAAACAATCACTTGACTTCTAGATATCAGTGGCGATTGGCTAATTAATTCTACAATAGGGCGAATGCTTAATCAAAGCAGATACATTAGGCAAATTTCGATGGCAACTGATTCAGCTGAACAATTCAGCAGGTGTATCCAGTGCTGAAAGGAATCAAAATTTTGGGCTATCAATTTATATTTTATGTTTCATCAAAATCTGATAAAAATTGTGACTTCTAGAGGGTCCACAACCTTGGTATTGAGTCATTCTATATCAACTGGAACAATAGTGGGAACATGACCCCCTCCCAAAAAACTATAAAAAATATATACTCTTCAAAAAAAGTAGGGGATATTGAAATGCAAATACCTATGCAGGTTGTGATATGATAAATAGTCATGGACACTTGACTTGCTTTGAACCACTGAGCTGCATGTGCGACACGCAATAGTGCCATACACGTAGGAGGGGTTCAAATTTGCTACTTGCTGGTTTATCCTATCCATATATCCATATGAAAATGTGGGTGTATAAAAACTAAAAACTTTAATATTGTGAACGGCCGCCTGGACGGACAGGGGCGACGACAATATACATCCACATGAAAATGGGGGCGTATAAAAATATCATGCACATTGGTAATTGGTGGAGGCCCCCTGATCTTCGGGCCATAGGTAAATCTGCAATGACTGTATGAAAGCAGTCCAAGATTTATAGCAGAAATATTTATGGGATGTCACGATAGTAGATGATAAATAGGACAGCAGTGAACAATATATAGTAGCAGAGAAGCAGATATTTTACCTGGTAGAAAAACTAAAACTGATCCACGTACAGGAGCAAAACCAGTTAAATTATCTTTCCTGTAGTAAAAATAAATAAATATGACATTCAGTTTATATAAATATAGATATATATAACTTGGATGGCATTTTGATTCCACAAATACATGTATTACATTTGTAAGCAGGGTTGGTTTCTACAGCAATGTAACAAAATAAATAAATTTAAATGAAGTATTAAAATTGACTAGACAGGCTACAATAATGGAATTATGATAACTAATCAATACTAACCCAAGTTCTTTAATCTCCAAAACGTCAAGTTCTTGTATAAGTTTCACAGCCATATCTAAAGCTTCATCTGTTAAACAGGCTTTTCTATCATCTAGGTCTGGTAACTAAATTTAACAAAAAATATATATGCAAAAAGCGGCTGCAATGCAAGATACGCCCACATTTTGCAAGAGATGGTCCAAGAACAAGTTTGGGTCTCTCAATCCGTTTTTTAAAAATACAATGTCTGCGCGTCCGCAAACAGTCCGCTCAAAAAAACATGGCGCCATTAACTGGGGTTCGTTGAAAAATTGACTTAGATCGTTCTTCCCCGGGGCTCTTCATATTTTTACAGTGTTTGTGTACAAAGCGCGGCCATTTTGTCCGGCAGTTTTGGTACGATTTTCACGAAATTCGAACTCAACCTTCATTAAGGTGTAACAGTGATATATTCACACATTTTTTTAAATCTGAATAAAATTGTGACCTCCATAGGGCCCACAAGCTAAAAGAACGTGATTTTTCGTACAATCAGGGGCCATAATTCCGGAAGTTGCGAATATCTAAAGGAACCAAGATCTTTGGGTTATAAACTTACATTTCAAATTTCAACAAAATCAGACAAAAATTGTGATCTCTACAGGGTCCACAAGCTAAAAACGCGATTTTTCGTACAATCAGGGGCCATAATCCATGAAGTTACCGTCCGATACATGCCAATACCGAAAGAAACTGAGATCTTTGTTTCCCCGAGGTAAAATAGTACCAGGCATTTCCTGATTAACAAATGACATGTCACTACATCGATTATCATGACATTCGAGACATTTTAATGTGTAATAGTTTTATATCCACCACTATCGTTAATTGTATCTGTATCGGCTGATATATTTCGCTGTCAATATCTGATATTGTTAAAACTGATAGTAGCCACATCGGACCATCACTATTCTAAATCTTGTATTCTCCTTATTTACTGAATCCCTCACATTGTTCAAATAGGGAGACCTCTTTCAAGAGAGTGATTCCTGACTTTTTTCAGCTCACCAGCCAAATATAGAAAAGAATGATAGATTTCTTTACTCTAGTCCATCTAACTCTATATGGATACCAACTACCAATAGGCCTACTATACAAAAGAAAAATCCCAGATAGATTTCAGAAGCTCTTTGATACTTTTGATATTAATCTAGCCAAAAATAATAGATGCCATAATGAAATGACTTCCCAAAAATACCACGTAAGATCTGCTGGTACATACTTTAAAGCCAGGTTACGATGCTCAGAGAGATTAGGTTTAGCTCCATAATTGAGAATACTATACTGTACTATACTAAATTGTAATCTCATCGAAACTTGAAAACTATTAAATGTCAAAAATACAATAGCTTACTGGTCCAAGAGCTGGAGACAGATCATTGGCATAAAACTCTGATACACGGAACACACGACCCTCCACATTAATCACTGGTGCTGGTTCAAGACGATCACGTATTGGTAAGGCAAAATACTCAGCGAACTGTTTCGAATCTAAGGTAGCAGACATTAGCACAACCTGTTTAAAATAAATATCATAATGATACATAACCAACTTACTAAATTCATCAGCACCTTTTAGAAACACAATCGATAATTGTGTGATTGTTAACTGATATTTCAGAAAAACTATGGTGAATGTACGATAAGTATCCATAGTAAAAAATAAATAATGAAATGGCAATATAGACTTCACCATAATTAATGTACCGTACTTGATCATTTTATGTGTAATGGGGAGAATTTGCATAAAAATTTCAATTTTAGTCCTCTAAAAAAGATTGGACAGACAATAATAGTCTAATTAACAACATTGGAGTAAAACAAAATAAACTATAGGGTTATCTTACCTTGACATTTCTAGAATTCGTTCTCAGAAGTTTACGAACCATCAGAAGTGCAAAATCAGATTCTTGATCTCGTTCATGTATCTACAAATAATATGTAGAATCATGATTTCAATATTACTATTCTAACAGTAGGGATAAAGGGGATTAATTTCAGAATTAATGACAGAACAACAAATTAATCATGTACCTTAATAGATCTCAGTTTATCTTCAGAAGACTGGTCACTTTTGTATATCCACTCCACATATATTACTACAAGCACTATAAACAAGATACCACTACCAGGCAATGATATGTTTTAAACTTTTTAATATAAGTGTATTTATACCTACCTCATCTAGTATAACATGTGTAAACTGAGCCATACTCTTCTCTCCTACTATCTTTTCTCTTAATACACCAGTAGTACAATACAATATACGGGTATCTTCTGATGCTTTACGATCTAATCCCACCTATACACATAAAATTGGTTACATTTCTAACATTTTAAATTTATAAAGCTTTGTCAGATTATTATTAATCCTGATCTGTGTGACACAATAATAATACAAACAACACTGAGATAATATATGTATGACAGAATATTCACAATTTTAACATGTTTTAATCATGTAGTAAAAGATTTATTATTATTTAAATAGTAAGTAAAGTGGGTCCACATTGAGAACATTCCACATTTCCAAATATATATTGATTGAGGTTCTGCCAGTTCCAAATTTATTTGGTAAAAACAAAGGAAAATACCTGATATCCACAAACAGTACCAAGAGCCCAGCTTCTTTCATTACAGACACGCTTAGCAATGCTCATAGCAGCAATTCGTCTTGGTTGTGTTACTACTATATTACAGTACCGGTTCTCTTTAGCATAATGATCTAATAAATATTGTGGTACTTGAGTTGTTTTACCAGAACCTGTGGAACCTTGTATAACTGTTACTTGATTACTTTCTATTGTAGCTATGATCTAAAATAAAGTACAAGAGATGAAACAGATAAAAGGGTGTTCCAGGAAGTAAAAACCAAATCTATCAGGTTGATGACTTTACAACAAATATCTATGTTATTTATTTGTATTTGCTTGTGGCTGCAAAGTGCACATGGCTTGTAAAGCCATGAGAAGAAACTAGAGAATCCTAAGAAAACTGCTTCAATACTAATGTTGCCACCATTTTTAATTTTAGCATTAGTACAGGTAATCATTTTTGGGTATTTCTTTTCCTTAATCAAGTGGCTTAACAATAGAAGCCAAAAGATCAGTATTTTCCTCTATAATTCAATAAAATAGTTCTAAATGGCTGGAAAGACTGGTTAAGAAGAAATGGGATTTCTGATGTAGTTACATGACCTAGTTTTTTAGTCATCAATGTCAATTCAATGCAGCATTCTCAAACATGGTCTATATATAAGTTTGATTATTAGACTTATATACCTCATCTCTATGATTTGATATAGGTAAATCTATCTTAGTTTGTTGTGTAAACTGGTAGTTTCTATATACATCTGTAGCATTTGCTGGAATCAAATCATCTGGCATAGCTACTGAACCAGATACAGATCCTGCTATTGTGCTGTCTAATTCCAGTTGTTCCATTATTCCAGTGACACTTTCAACATTCTCCTGTCTAGTAGGCTAAAATATATAATCAACTAGTTTATCACCTACAAAACATCGGTACTGAAAGAACTGATATAATTCTACCGAAGTTTAAAATTTAATTGACATTGATAAAAGGTTTCGGTTGTGAAAGTTGGGTGTTGATCTGAGATCAAAAGGATTTCACGCAGTATATTCTATATTATGTGTCATACTTACCATTGTATGTCTGAGTAGATTTTGTTCTTCTTCTTCTTGGTAAACTTTGGCATAATCTCTTTGATTAATATACGCAGTTCTAGATAAATATAGAAATGCAAAATATTTTTATAAGTTTATCAATGATCTCATTGTTTTATAAAAATTATATAGTTTTTATTTATTGTTATTAATTGAGAGAATGACATTTTCCCCCATGGTACATTTAAATGCAAGAAGGATTAATACTATTAACAGGGGATATTCGTAAATGTACGCTAATATCATTATGAAGTAAAAGCAAGTTGCTGTTATTTTTAATACAACTGGGATATCTTGACCACTACTAGCTTTAAGAGCTCCAAATTGCGAAGTTTGTCATTTAAGGGAAAAGAATTGACTGGAATTTTTCTTACCCATGCAATAAGCCAAGGTGACTCAAGGAAGGGTAAGACGTTGGCTCACTAACCTGGAGGTCCTGTGTTTGATCCTTGCATTGGCCGAGAAAGGTCATAAGGATTTTCCAGCATGCTTCCCCCTTGTCAGATATGCAGGACAGAGGGCCTGACATGGGACGACATATAGTAGTTTGGATGGGCAGGAAAACCAAGGTTGCGTGTACACATCGGCCTGCATGTAAAAGATCCCTTGGCATTTGGAATTCGACATAAGAGAAGGCCGTAGCGTTGCTGTCCAGGCCAAATTTTCCTTGTAGCACGCTCTTCATTAGCCCAGTAGCGGAGCAGATCGAAAAGTAGGATGTTAAACCCCATACAATTTCATTTCTAATTCATGCTGAGCCATTGTTGGAGAACAAGTTATTTTGTCCAAGGTAGTTCGGAATTTAGAAAGAGAAAGAAATGAATGTTTGACGTTAACTTTACACAAGCTACATGTAGGTCATTTCGAGAGTATCATATGGTTCAATTTCATTTAAATATTTCGCTTTTAATAGTTAGCAGTGGGAGAAAGCACACAGGGTTGGACACGCAACCCTCCTCCTTGTCCAGTACAAGACCTTCTGATTTCACACGCACTAGACCCCACCCCCATAGCCCAAGCTCGGGATTTCCATTGCCGATGGGCTAACTTAGGGTTAGGGTTATGGATGATAGTTTAAAAAGAGTTGTTATATTAATGATAAGAATGTAAAGTTTTATTAGATGATATATACACCTTTTATCAGGATACAGAACGGCGTAACCTGGTGCTTTGGCGACACGCGCTTCACCGGTTTTTCCATCAAAAATCCGGCCACCTGTTTTGCTTTTAGGTACTGATTTTACTGGAGCTGACGGTTTCTTTCCTACGACAAACCAGTCGTCAATCTGATCAAGGGTAACTTCTGCTATGCTACTCATTCTGTATCATTATACAGAAATAACTGTCAAACCTCTTTCATAACTCTCTTTTCTAGTAGAAATGATTTTTTTAGTGGATTACTGAAGACGAAAGTGAAAGATGTGATAACTACAAATAACGGATTGCATAAATATACGAAACGAAGTAGGAAAAAAAAAAAGAACGAAACGAAAATAAATTTCTTTGGCACTACTTTAAGTACATTTTTGATTTATTTTTCTATAGCCGTACGTTACTGTTTGTATTAGCTACAGGCATCCAATCGTAGCTAATACAAACACATCACAGTATCTCAACGTTTTTTAGCTACTTTCTCGTAGCTAAGTAACGTACGGCTATAGAAAAATAAATCAAAAATGTACTCGTAGTGCCAAAGAAATTTATTTTCGTTTCGTTCTTTTATTTTTTCATACTTCGTTTCGTATATTTATATATATGGACACAGATCACTAAAGATTTCCCCATTGACTCCAATGTTAATTCTCGTATCTTAAACCGGCTCTAACTTTTTCCCACATTTTCGTTGGGTAGAACGCTTTCTACCACAGATGGAGCAACATGTGGCAACCACTTGCCCAAAAGCACGTATGAGGTTCTTCATGAAAAACTTGAGATACACAAGCTGGAAGTAGAGACAAGTAAACATGCAATTTCAGGCCCTACATTTCAACGTAACCAACCTCTCAACTCTTGTATCCTTCCGCATCAAAATTATGAATATTCACCAAAACCTGGCAGAAAATGTATTTTCAAACCCTTTTCCTCAATTCTACACCAAAACGTCAACAAAAATCGCCATGCAAAAGGGGGAAAAAGGAAAAGGGAGAGGAAGACTAAATAGCTTTGGCCCTACGGCGTAGGAATATTTGGGGGTGACGGCGTAGGAATATTTGGTGATCCGTGTCTTATATAGTTTCACCTGGCAAACTTATTCATCTAGTATTAAAGGACAATATTGGTGCCAGTCATTATCACATGTGATAGAACTGGTTAAACACATTCCAAATGTTATTTTATCACAGAGATCATTGCTACGACAGAGGCGTAAACAATGCTTCAACAATCGGAAATGACGAACGCAAAAGGAAAACACGAGTTATCCCTCTATATAACTGACTGAAGTGACGAGTGATAACAGACACATGGGCGCATTTCTTCTGCTCTCTAATAATTCCTTCGAAGACCAAAAGTTGTTATATGAGACTGTAAGAGTATATCTGACAATTCAAAAAAGTAATTGAATGTCATTAGATAAGAGAACACGAGAAAAATAGAAACAGTCCGTACATTCGCGGGTGTTTATTCATTCTATACTTATAAAGTGTTTAACCAGTTTTATCACATATGTGATAATGTCTGGCACCAATATTGTCCTTTAAGACTAATTAAACAGGAGTAGATTAATCACCGGAATCACCGAAATTCACTTACAAACATCGGAATTCACTTACACACACCGGAATTCACCAGAATTTATATTGAAGATATCAGAATTCGCCCGCAAGACTTCCTATTTATTTATATTTTGCATAAATGTTAATACTGAATTCCTTAAAAACACCTAAAATCACCGAAATTTACTTTGAAATATAAACACCGAAATTCACTTACATTTAATATCGGAATTCGCACTCAAGACCTTAATAATAATACTAATAATAATCTATTTATAAAGCGCTGAATATCCAATAATTTATAATTCCTGCTCACCAATATTTTGCATTAAAAATAAATTACTTTAAAACTTCTAAAATCACCGGAATTCACACCGAAAACGTATGAACACTGGAATTCACTTTCATAATATCGGAATTCGCACTTCAGACCTCCCTAATTATTAATATTTCACATTAATAATAAATTGCTTTAAAACACCGAAAAGCACCGGGCTTCAATATTAAAACATATAAGCATCGGAATTCACTTTTAAAATATCGGAATTCACACTTAAGACCTTCCTATTTACTAATAGTTTGCATTAATAATAAATTACTTTAAACACCGGAATTCACTTTGAGAAAATCGGAATTCGGCCCCAAGACAATTGTAATTACTTATATTTTGCATTAATATTAATACTATAATACTTGAATGTGTCTATTGTAACAAATAGAACGAAATAAAAAAAATCCCATAAAAACAATTCAAGAACTCGATCATTAATACGTCTAGCGAGGCGGTTAAAAAGATATTTCCTGGTGGTCAACTGGGTAAAACAATATGATTAGAACACAGCGGTATTCTATGTAAAATGTCAAACCAAACATTTCTCGAATGCGGAGCAAAACTTCCCCAGTGTAGATGACCTAAGTTTACTCGAAAATTAACTCGATAAACGATTTTTAAAATCGGATAAAAATTTTGACCACTACAGGGTCCACAAGCTAAATAACGTGATTTTTCGTACAATCAGAGCCACAATCCTGGAAGTTACGGTCCGATATGCGCGAATATCGAATGGAACCAAGATCGTTGGGATATAAACACATGTTTTAAGTTTCGTCAAAATCGAATAACAATTGTGACATGTAGAGCGTCCCTTGATATTACATATTATACTTTAACACTAATTATTTGCGTAAAGAGCGGCAGTTTCACGAAATTCGAACTCAACCCTCATTATAGTGTAACATGGTGATTATATTCGAACATTTTTTTTTTTTTTTAAATCTGATAAAAAAAAAATTGTGATCTCTAGAGGGGCCACAAGCTAATAATCATCTTCAAAAGCTAAACACGTGATTTTTAGTACAATCAGAGGCCATTATCCAGGAAGTTTATACAGTCCGATATGCGCAAATGAAATATCAAAAGGAACCGAGATCTTTCATCAAAACCGGATAAAAATTGTGACCTCTAGAGTGTCCATAAACTACATTAAAAACGTACAATCAGGCGGGTCAATTTCGAAAGGAAGCTAGATATCCTTGGAATATAAACCTATGCACTATATTTCAAGTTTCGTCAAAATCAAATAAAAATTGAGACCCGTAACGTGTGCCAACCTTGATATTACATACATGTACCTTAACACTACATGTATATACTTATTTGAAACAAAGATGTAGATATGAGTCGTCAGTATTTCAGCCGCTTTGAAATAAAGTGTTTATTATTATTATTATACATCAGCCGTAACTTAGATGTTTAATTAGGCGTGTCCCCCGCCGCCGAGATCTTTCTTCACAAATTGAAACTAAATAACAAATTATCTTCGGTCTACACTAAGTCAGGATAGGCTCGTCTTGGTGTAGTTGGTCTCTGAGAGTGATATAAATTTCGAAGAAACCATTGCAAATAGGCTGCAGTAGAAGAACTTCGGATTCACGTGAGCTATGAAAGGTCATTCCGAGTACCACCTCAGGAAAAAAAATCCAACAAAATCGGCTTTGGGCAAAAACGTTACATACCAGGGGCGGATCTAGGATTTTCAGAAAGCCCCCCCCCCCCCTTGGGAGAGCGAAGCACGACCCTCGGTGGGCGAACTGACGGGCAATCAACCAAGTTATCAACCGGCTCGTTTCGGACTAAATGGGGATCACTACCATTTTAAGTATATTTGTTCTCCTTTCCCGCGAGAATATATGGGGCAAAAAATTGTCCGCCACCACAAAAAATGGGGGGGGGGGGGCGTGCGGCGGGTGTGCCCCCCCCCCCTTGGATCCGCGCGCACAGCATACGTTTTGATTTACGTACCCATTCGACACCTAAATTCCATCCTTTTCTCACTTGGCACATTTTTCGGCATGCTGAGAATGTATTTGTGCATTATCGTCAGATTTGAGTAAATTCCCATGTTGGAAAATTCAATTGTCGAGACGCCCCACCACAACCCCAAAAGCTAAGCTATATCAGCGCATTTATAACTGCATGAAATTTATTGCACAATCTTAACATGTATCGACAGTGACAACTGCCAGAAATTTTCAGTGGTGGAGTAAACTTGTCAGGCGTCCCTAATTACCCGCTCGGAGTATTGGGTTAATATTCTGAAATACTAACATAATACTTCAATTATGTTGGGTAGTATTGAGTGATTCTTCCTGCCGTCCCATCCAGATCCCACACCAAGGTGAGCCCATTTTACTGACCGTACGAGACTTGATACCCCAACCAGATACCCCCACCCTCCCTGCTGGCGCAGAGAATATTTTTTCTCTCCAACATCCATTGAAACAACCCCATTTTGGCTCACTAAACTCTAATCCTATACATGTATACACCTAAATGAGCAGAAATATTGTCACAAAGCTTCTGATTTTATCAAATTCGCATGTATTTCCCCCGACCTAACGCCAAACTTGACTTTGTCTCCACCTTGAACCCCGCTGCTCAAATTCCTGGACACGCCGCTGCATTACAAACTAACCACACTTCCAACCGTTCCCTCAATATCTGTGAACATGATTTCCTCCATAATGGAATTTGAAACAAGTCTTTTCAATTAACATTTAACCCCAAACTGCTTATCTTCCCCACAAAGTCAAAATGGCGTTCATCCTACTAAGTCTCACAAGTATGGTGAATCTTAATAGTCAAAGCCCGTCAGCTCAGACCCATGCCTAAGCTGGGCTTTGTTAATAGTTGGGCTAATAATATCATGCATTAAATATATTAATTATGGTGTTCAGTGTGTTTATAGTTACTTGCAAATTGATAATGCATTTTGAGTGCGTAAAGTTGAGGATAACTTAAATAATGCGATTTTACAAGCATCATTCATATTGAGGTCAGATACCAAAACTAATTCGTCCATAAAAGGGTGCCCAAGGAGGAATGCGGTGGATTTTTTTCTTCAAGTACTATGTACACACATCCTTACAAATACAAAGATAGGTTACCAGGCAATGAAACATACGCCCACAGCAGCTAAGTCGTCCGTGCAGTCAACAAGAGTTGTAGCATATTTTTTTCTATTGTCGGTAATGAAACATTTTATAGTACACTAAAATCTGATTAAGAGTAACAACTGGGTTTGTTCCACTCAAAGAACGACGAAATCGACACGAAGTAAAATTGCTATACAAAATTATAAATAACCTTACTCCTCCCTATCTTAAGAATCTCATTAATCTGGAACCAACAAGTACATATTCATTTCGAAATACAGATAAAATAAAAGAAATTCGATGTCGTACTGAATTTTTTTCTAAATCATTTATCCCATCCAGTATAAGAGAGTGGAATAAACTCAGCCCCCATGTAAAAAACAATATTTTTAACCAAGTCAACAAGTTTATTGATATGTCAAACAGATTTTAATCTTGCTTACTAGTTGTTTAAAATACAATATTAATTTTAAATTTACGTAACAATGTAACATATAGTATATATTGTACATTCCCATCCATCTCATATGTATTTACACTTATAATATGTATGTGTTTGTCATTTTAACTGTGTGTATACACCCATTTTGTTCCTTTGTTTTAATACTGTGTAGGCCTATGTATATTATCTTGGGAAAGGGGTTTTACTTAGGCAAAGCCTGTTCCCAGATCCCATTCAGACATCCTGAATGAAAAAATATAGTTTATAAAAAAAAAAAAAAAATCATTAAGTAATTATCCGAAAATCATTAACCCCTAACAGACACGCCCAAAAATGCCACTCCCCCCATCTAGGATAGATTAGCGGGCACTGTTCCCGTGGTCCAAAAAATTAAAAATTGTGCCAGGATGCATAGAATACTAATACCTAGCACGTATGGGAGAGGCGATAAACTGCGGTTGCAGGAACCATTGTCAGGGGTAACCCACCACTAGACATGTCTGTCAGAGTGTTTTTGTAATACCTGAAGATGTACGGCACACAGCTGTACGATTTTCATGTGGTACACTTTTGAGTTAATCTAGCCTAGTTGGGGGGCATTGCATTTTGGGCGTGGAATACCACACCCACCACCAGAAACCTGGCTGACTTACATTCTGATGATACCAGATATACATGCATTAATATGATATAGGAGAAAATTGGTACACTTTTCAGCTAGGTTACCCCCCTGGGCTCCCGCTCTAATACGGCCTTCGCCGATACGACTCTCGGTATCAAGGGAGGGAAGGAAATGGGGTTTAAGGTCATTTCGGGAATAACACACGGTCGATTCTTTATTTCAATAATTCGCTTGCGCGTATGGGTCTTTAGTGGGAGGAAACCCACGAGGTTGGACAGGCGACCCTACTCCTTGCCACGTACAACCGGGGAATTGAGGGAATAACTCGCTTGTGCGTAGGAGTCTTTAGCATGGGAGGAAACCAGAGGACCCGTTATTTATCACTGACCGACTTTAAATTACGTTTGATATAGTTACATTCATATGTATGGATAATACTGCCCAAATCCTGGTCACTTGTGTTAGGTTGGGGGTCCACACATACTCATGGTCCCGCCCCATCATGGTTAATCCGACACTGTGAACCCATGTGGACCTATTGCAGCACCCGAACGGGATGCTGGCAGTGTGCGATCCCTTGGATGTTACCGGCTAATGTGCAGGGCTTGTCATACCTTGCCCACTTCAAGGTGTCAACCGTGGCATATTTCTGAGTCTTCCTAGATTTTTAGAAGCTACATTTTATAACCCATGTTTCCATTCTGTCAAACTCGATTTTTTGTGTTTGAGAGAATAGATCTGGGTGCGTTAACTCGATTGTGAAAACATCATTCTCAGTCTCACGTACGTGCCATCGTCGTGACCTGATGTTTTTACGTTTAGAATTGCAAGATTACCTTTTTATGAACAATATCTTTGTTCGGGATATCTGAATAGGAAAAGGCTTAGCCTATGTAAATTCCATCTCCCTAAGTTTATATAATACAAAGATTGAACAAACATTGCAAGATTCAAGTGTATCTCTTAAGTGAGATTTAAAATCATCATTTTCTAAACATAGCTTGCGTCACCTCGTATCATGTGATGGACGTTTTCATGGTTTCAATTAGATCAGATCGCCGTTTTCATAGTTTTATTTGTGTTGCATCATACAGTGTTTTCTAGGTGTTTGTGTTTCATCGTACAGACATTTTTATTGTTTGTGTTGCATCATACAGACGTTTTAATAGTTTGTGTTAATCATGCAGACGTCTTCATTGTTTGTGTTGCATAGTTATTTTATATCGAACGTATTCATTATTTATATTTTCATTGTTAGTTTTATTCAATACCAATGTACATTATATAAATCGCTCAATGACATAAGATTAATAAATTACATTTTCGCCCTAAGCTTACCAAGAACAAGCATTACAATTTAAAAATTCTAATACTCGTATTTACGGAATTTGTTTCATAGCCATTTTCCGGCAAAAAACGCCCCTAACCCTACACCTTAATTAAAGTAAGTACATTTTATAGTTTTCTATTTTTACAACTGTTACAATTATAATATACTTGTTCATAATTATATACAAGAAAGGAGGTAGGTATATTTTATTTCAATAATTCGGTGGTGGGCTAGGGTTTTTAGCATTGCGATGAAACCAAATAAACCCCACTAGGTTTACCAGCCGAGCCTAGAGAGAGAGAAATAGGGTACAAATACAAATCAAGTCATTTCATAACTAACATAATGGTATAATTTTATTTCAATAATTCGTGGGGGGGGGGGGAAGGGGTCTACAGCAGTAGAGGACAGCAGACGCCCATTCCGTTAAGTTTTAGGATTTATGATTCTAATTTTCAAATATTTAATTTCAGATCAATCCAGCTGGTCAGAGTGTTCTTGACCTATTTGAGAACCAATGGATGACCAAAGAATCTAAACTTGTCACTGAAGCTGGACAACCATTCACTGTTAGGGGTTTCCATGGTGACTATGAGGTCAAGGTTATATATAATGAAAAAGAAAGACCTAAAACAGACGACCTTCACCCTTGATCCCAATGATCAAACCATTAATATGTAGAATAAATGTATTCAGTATTTGACAGTAAATTAAATATATTCCCAAAGACACAATATAAAAATATAAGGCCAAACTTTCATATCCACATTACGACAGATGTCCAATTCTAGCAACAAAATATATCTATTGTACCCGTATCTTTTATCTTCCACTAATTATGTACAAGGGCTTTGTACATGCATTTTGGTTATAAACAAAATTATAGACCATATAAATTCCGGCAAAGGGTTTAAATCCCTATAATATTATCCCAAAAAGGACTTAAGGGAGTATACACAATGCCACTTTCCATTTACGGTAGATCATCTGGAGGAGATGGAGGGTTGGGGTCAGATCAACTTTAACCTGTTACTTTACTGTTTGTTTTACACTTTTTTACAGTATATAAAGATTTCATACCCATTCAAATTTCACACAATGAAGAGGCTCTGTAATCTTAATCAGCCAAAAAAGAAAAAAAAGACATATATTCCTTGAGATATTTTATACAAAGATGATTATGATGTGTAATTTATACAAAGATGATTCTGTGATGTATTTACAATGAATTTATTTTGATTTATATACAATGGCAGTTTGGCAATGATCCCCAAGGTGACAACATGATACAACTTAAATGCATGAAGAAGACATGAGATAGTTTATTGCATGTTTGATTGATTGAAATGAACAGCGACAAAAGACCCTGCAACGTATTCTCGAACTCAATCAACCTAAAGGCTATCATGACATAGATGTTAGTTTCGCCATCACCATATCAACTTTCTGTGAAAATGTTTTTCCATGTAATTTTTCTACATCTACAGCTTGAAATGTACCAATTATTTTCTGCCATTTAGGGTTTGTTACTGCTGGTGATGTGTCAACAACCTCGGAAGGATCTATCTCTTTTAAATACATCTGGATTTTGTTATAGGCTCCACTTCGAAATGCTAGAATTCTGTGAAAATAAGTTATTTTTTCTATCAATGACAGCACAGAATAAAGGAGAGAACCTTACAACATACTATTACCGGTACATCTGACCATAGTAGGATGGTCATTTAAAAACCTATGTGAGAAAATTATTGATTTCTTTTAAAACTGTTTGGAACATGATTAATGTGATGTCAAATTATATATAAATTTACACTACATATACTCAGATTGTATAAATAGCGGAATATTAATATTAATTGGAGGGGGGGGGGGGGTCTATAAAGGTATTATTTCAATTATATCAAAATGTTTCTTTACTGTTCACCATTAATTTTTCATGAGTTTGACAAATTAAGGAAGTCAACTAACAACTGCTTCAAATTTACATTTTTGCCCATTAGGTATAGTGGTAATATCAAATGCTGATTTACTATTCAAATATTCTGAAAAAAGCTGTTTGAATATTCATTACAGTTCAAAAATATTCAAATTAAAGTATTTATAAGAAGACTACTTTGGAAAGAAAGTTTATTTTTACTTACTTATCACCTTTAGGTGAAGCCATCATTAAGGAAGCAGCTGTACCATATAAATCTATATCACCAACACCTACGTTAAAATTAGTTGATACTACTGTCCATGCATGGAACTTGGCTAACTGCTGTACAACTTGTATATGATGCTGAGATATCTGTTAAACATTCAAATATAAACACAATTACATAACTAGATCAGATCATTGACATCATCAATGTGTTAATGTAATGCGAGAGGGTCAAATAAAGTTTTATAGCTCATTTCTGGACTAATAAATGGTAAATGTTTCTTTCAATATTTCATTTGGTGCACAGTGGTCTATAAAAGTGGGAAAACCTACAAAGTTAGACACTCCTTGTCATGTAGAAACTTGGGAGAGAATATGTGACTGGCAGAGATAACATGTATTAAGAATTAGTGTACTCCGACCACCGTTTCGTTCTTTACGGTTTAACATCCGCTTCCACCTTGAATTAGACCACCTGCCACCCACCCACCTGTAACCGTACAACAGAACTTTAAACAAATACTACACTAATCAAGCAAAAACAATCAAAACACTGTGTATTTTAAGGCATCGACTTGTCAGAATAAAGCTTAAATATAGAATTTAAGACAATACACAAGTACCGATTCTCATTCTATACATTGTAACATTCAAACATACAATTATAATTCAGTGAAATATATGACATGTAATTGTGGTTCTATACCTACCTGCCATAATATTAAATCTTGTAAAGCTTTATCTTCAAATGATAGAGTTATAGTACGACTATCTTTTAATATAGCTTGTATCGTATCAACTTCTATAATCAATACTAATGATGATCTGTAATTTGAAATAAAAAGAAATGAGTTCGGTTGCAGCAAACTTTGAATCCACATGCTAGGGGTATTTAATGTATATTTTTACCCCATACCCTGTTTTCTGACTATTTCCAGGGAACACTGGAACACATTCATTTTCAGGTCCACAGGTCTTACTCCTTTTAAGTCTAAACCATGAAATGCACATTTGGAAACACCCCTTTATTTAAAATCCAAGCCAGGACATGTATGTCTACAGCAATAGCTGTACACTCTAGCCAAATAAAGAGTATGTAAATCGTCCAAAGCAAATAAGAATTTTACCTTACAGCCTCATAGCCATATGCAGTTATATTGATACGAACACTGCATTCTAATGAACTATTTAAACAACTCCAATGTGCTGTTATCTGAGGATCTTGAATACATAAAGCCAATTCATCCAATACATGCATTGTCCTGTAATATACATTGTTCTTAAATGAAAAATTCTGATATTTTCAGTAAATTGTAATATCAATAATCCATAGATGAGATTCTAGATAACCTTTAGTTTTAATGAAAGGCTGATACAAAAATAGTCTTTCTATAATAGACAAACAACACACACACCCACAAAATTATTTGTTGATACCCAGGTGTACAACTAAATACTGTCAAAGATTCTCCCCCCTATTAGGTATAAATGATATTTTCTTACCTTAATCTAAGAACAGCATGTTTTGTCTGTTTAATAATCTGTTCTAATAATGTATCCCTGATAAAATAACAAACAACCATATCTCTATTAATTTTATAATTTAATGATAATTGGTTTGGAAGTAGAACCAGCAGTTGCCATGCAAGATACGCCCAAATTTTGCAAGAGATGGATATAGAGTACAAGCTAAAAAAATAAACCATGATTTTTCGTACAATCAGGGGCCATAGTCTAGGAAGTTATGGTCTGATATGCACAAATATCAAAAAGAACCAAGATCTTTGGGATATTTTAAGTTTCATCAAAACTTCACAACCTTGGTATAAAATACTTTTACACTATTTGCGTTCAAGGAGCGGCCATTTTCTCCGGCAGTTTCGATTAGATTCTTCTGACATTCGAACTCAACCATCATCAGTGTGTAACAATGATATATTTATTTAAGTTGGATGAAAATTGTGACCCCTGGAGGGTCCACATACTAAAATCGCGATTTGTTTGTACAATCAGGGGTCATAATCCAGGAAGTACAGGTCCAATATGCACGAAAATCAAAAGGAACAGTGATCTTTGTGATATAAACACGTTTCAAGTTTCATCAAAATTGGATAAAAATTGTGACCTCTGGACATTGAGGGGATTTCGCACGTATATTCCAGATATGTCCGACGCTATTTTCCAAATGTCCTAAGTTGTCCGACCAGGAATATGCCCAATTGGACATCAAGGTATGGTGAATAATATTCAAAATTCCAAAATTAATATAGTGGACTGAGTGTATATCTACCACTCAACCCGATTATCGTTGATAATAGGGTGGATTGATTAGGTAATTAAGTGATCAACATACTTATCGTACACCTACCTTGATAAACTAGTTAATCTGCTTTGGTTGGCTGACTTAATCCTTTATCGGACAATTCATCAATCAGAAGTCATTTCAAGTTTCGTCAAAATTGGATAAAAATTGTGACCTGTTGAGTGTCCATAAACAAATTGTGGGTGGACGGACGGACAGGGGCGACAACAATATACGTGGGCATATAAAAACATATTTCACCTATCAATCACTAAGTATTTACTCTTCTTTACATTTTGGAAAAAAGCATACCAACTAAAAGAATTTATTATGGATGTGATGTAATTTTTACAGCCGTATAAGATATAATAAATACTTTATATTTTATAGGTCTGCTTTGTTGACAAATCATGTGTAAAAGTATGCTAATGTATTCATCTGAATACAATAGTGGCACTTTTTGAGTGGAACAGGAGTTGCGGTAACAATGGCTATGAAATGAGAATAACCAACATATTCAGAAGAATATTTCACAACAAATTTACTAACCTGACATTCATTTCTACTAGTTCCCTCCGTGAGGTTCCTTGGGGTCCTGCAAGTCTGCGTCTTTTACTCATACCTAACATGGCATTGACTGGATGTGGTGCTACATAGTTGATGTTTTTAAAATGAACTTCGCGTAATAATTGGTGTAAGGAATGTTCTAATACATGATTATGTTCTAATTTCTGAGGTGCTTGTGGTATCTAAAAGAGGAAACAAAGTATGAAAAGCAAACTGTTATGAGTTAACCTATAAAAACTACCCTTAAAGATACGTTCCCACAAAAGTATTTATTGGGTGGTTATTTCCAATTAAAGTATGGCAATTTTGGTATATATGGAAAGTAGAAATATCCAATCTTACTAGAAAAATACTGGATTCCCTGGAAAACACTCATGGAGAGCATACAGGTAAAAAATGTAAGGGTTTCCCTAATCGACAGCCCGACGATTAGGAATGTCTGCTCGCATGACGTCAAAGGTTGCACACGGAGATTGAGCACTAGATGTACATGTTGATAAACTTTATGAAGAGTTAGACGTACAACACTTTCTGAGATAAAAATCACGGAAAAAGACGAGGGCAGTGGATAATCTGAGAATTTAATTAGGCTTCGATATTTATGATAAATGGATAGTGATTAAAGACAACCTCGTCTTGTGTATGCAATGAATTCTCCTCTGACTTTGCACTCGTTGCTAAGTAGTTCGTCAACGAAGTCATGTGACACAAACATGACCTCTTTTAATAGATTTTTTAATAGCTGGGTATTCCCTCGCATAATCAGTGATTTGAGAAGGATTTGATGCAAAATTTTGATAGATTAATTAGTTTGAATATCATCAAATCACCCAGTTTGTACACAGGAACAAATTTTTATTCAATTTTTAAATGCTATGAAAATGTATGTTAAAATAAGCTATATGTACCCAATATCCTCAAAACAAATAAACAATTGAGCCATAAGGTAAATACATGTATTTACTAAGCATAAAACCTACTTTTTTTTCTTTTCCTGTATAATGACAAAGAACAATGGACAGTTGAATACCAGGAAAAGCCTGAAAGTAAAGAACACAGATATTAGACTAAAAATGTACATAATGCTCCCTATGCATAACCTTGTATGCTATAAGTTTATTGCAAGTAGAGAGAGAGAGAGAAATGGGGTTTAACATCCACTCGACCCAAACAAGGTCATTTCGGGACTAACATCTGGTTTAATTTTATTTCAATAATTTGCTTGCGCGTAGGGGTCTTTAGCAGTGCGAGGAAACCGGAGGACTTGGAGAAAACCCACAAGGCTGGACAGGCGACCCTACTCCTTGTTACGTACAACCAGGGATTCGAAACCACACCAGTTGACTCAATGACAGGCCTTTTGATACAGAGCGCACATACTAACAACTCGACCATCCAACCCCCCTTATTGCAAGTAAACATTGCTATTATCCTATATCTCAATATATACATGGACATAAATATTATATTACTTACATTTGTTATGATTTGATTACCAACCACAATATGTGGTGTGGAACTTTTGATCTGGACTGCTTCTCTAGCAAGCTAAATAATAAAATCATTATTTCAAATATGGAATGACAACTAGTTAAAAATTTTGTTTAACATTTTCAAGTCTACATTAAAACAAAATTGATTACTGGTAGCAAGATACTATTCTAATTTAAGTTTCAATTATAACAAGATGACTAGTCATCACCATCCCATGCCCTTGCACGTGTTTGGAAGGCATAAGAAAAAACAACTTCTTGAAATATCGATGGGACTAGTCCGAAGACGAAGATTCATACTCTGTTCACAGTAGCTCGGCAAGGGATGGTTGCTACTCCCTGTAAGGTTTGCACAACAACCTCTGCCTACAGCAATCAGCCGCTGTATGTTAAACATTAAGCTTATACATCAGAAAATGAAATACTATAATAGGTTGATGTTTGTACAAAGTTTCAAAAAGATTTCTTGAACAGATAATGAAATATGCTCCGGAAACAAAATCAAGACAGAAGGGCAGTCATCAGAAATTAAAATAATAGGTTGATAAATGTAGAAGGGTTATAAAGGTATCTTGTTTCCATGGAAACACAAAAATTATCAAATCCAAGAAGTTTCTAATTAGCAAAAAGCTCAAATACTAAGTCAATTTTGTTTCCATGGACACACAAAAAATATGAATTCCAGAAATTTCTAAATAGCAAAAGGCACAACTACTGTAATAGGTTGATTTGATACAAAGTTTCAAAAAGATATCTTGAACGGTTTATGAGATATGCTCCGGAAACTAAATCGGGACAGACGGGCGGTCCCCATTTCAATATCCCTCCCCAACTTTGTTCGGCGCAGGATAATAATCAATTATCGATATGGAAATGTTGATTTAAAATATTGAAGGTAGAGGGTATATTTCCATTAGCCTACCTGTGCAAACAATTCTTTACAAAAGAGAACATTTTGAGCTACTTCTAATTTATTCTGCCAATAAGCATCAGATCTGATAACTCCTAACCCTGCTGGCATCTTTAATGTTACACTTGTCAAATCCATCATTTCTATATGAAAAGTTAAAAATAAATAAATTTTATTAGAAAATTCAATATATAAATGAACTTTATTCAGTGCATTCACCTACTTTCTTATGTTCACTTTCATATATTGAAAAGGCTAAGAACTTGGCCAATTAGATGTTTCATATTTGTTAAAGGTGAATTATGTAAGAGTTAAATCTGCACATTGCATGTCTTTAAATTATCATTTAGCCATTTACTCACATGACAAGCCCATAATCAACTCTCTAGACCATAGGATGCCGATGGCTAAGACACTGAGTGGATTAGAGATTGTCTGCGTTATCTTTGTTCAAACATACATTATGTAAGAGCTAAATCTGCCTATTGCAGGTCTTTCTTTAGGCCTGAATTGTTATCTAAATTATCAATTAGACATTAATTAACTTATCCAGCTAAATCTGCCTAATGCAGGTCTTTCTTTAGGCCTGGAATGTTATCTAAATTATTAATTAGACATTAATTAACTTATCCAGACCATAATCAACTCTCAATGTCAATGCTAGCCTGTGATGTTTACTGAATTAGGATACCATTTGCTGCTCCACTTTCATTCTTGATTAAATCATGAAATGGATAATCAAGAGTCAAGACTATGTTATTTATCGTACTGACTTTAGTAATGATGATCGAGGCTAGACAGAAAATTCAATCGCTAAAATCTTGGTTCAGAGTGGTTCAATCTGACTGAAATTTTCAGCACATTCCCTTTACATTATCTAGTTTTTAACTATTATAGTGAGAACTACCAGCTCTTTATCAAATCTAGCATAATGCATCTTTAATGTTTAAGTAATTTGAATTAAATTTTCAAAATATTCATTTTTCTTTATTTCAATATTTTGAAATTATTATTTATTTAAATCTTGCATAATGCATCTTTCTGATTGTCATTTGAGGGATTGTGAAACCATTGCAAACTACAATATTCTATTGTGAATGATGGTCTATCAGAAGAATAGCAGTCTAAAAATAGTTCAATTGTTTTCAGTATTTACAAATGATGAACTGAAACTTACACAACATTGGGCATCCGCTGAAGACGATATAAATGAAATATGGTTAAAACAAGCCAGCACCACCTATAATTGTCACTAAAATCTTTTTAATGTGACTGAATCCAAGCTAAGCGACTATCTATTACTAATATTTTGTTTTCTTAGTTAAATATCAAATAATCAATTTTAGCACATTTTAGCATGGATTAAGCTAGAAAAAAATAGAAATTGTCCAAAATTATGCAAATGATGAACACTGTCAAATGATTTGTAATATACAAGTACAGTAATTGATTTAGGTATTGAAATATTACCTGGTACAGATTTAACTTCAACTTGTATATAAGCTACCCCCTCTAATTCACTAGGTATAATAACTTCTAAAGAACCTCGCGAATGACTAGTACTTGTATCTGTCTTATCATCTACAATCTTAGTCACTTCAAATGTACCTCCTTGAAAAAATCTAGATCCAGCTGAAAAGAAAAGATATGCATTTGGTTACTTGCGTCCAAGTAACAAATTGTTTTATTTAAAGTCTTACACGTTGAAAACACGAATTATTTGTCAATTCAAATCAACATTGATGTTATCTTACTGGGAAAAGGTAGGCTTCTGATATCCAATATTTAAGACAAAATAAACATTTTACCATTGGCACACGAATCGTGTACCATAGTTCGTTTCATCGTCATTTGTAACAAGTGACCAGAAAGAGCGAGGCTTGACATATTCCACAACTCATGTCATACAGCGACGCCATAACTTATCTGGAGAGCATGCTTAATAGACTGGAATAACCAGGTGCAAGAAATTTCTATTCGGTTGAGACTCATGCCATATTTCGCTCGATCTAACTGATTTGAAATTAGAGTCAAATCGGAAACAATTGACTGTAAATCAGTTTATATACAATCAGATTACATTATTATATGTGTTGCGACCCATTTGGGTCAATTTCTAGGTCCCAAATATTAGTGATTTAGCTCCTTTAAATCAACCCTGGAAAGCTTGGCTGATAATTTAAGTCCAATGCATAGATTAGTGTTTAGCCAATAATATTAGTTTCCTTAAAATAATTAAGCTCAAATGAGGTATTAGTAAACAAGATCTGAATACTTACCAGTTTTATATGTAAGATCCCCAAGAATAGAGGCCCCTACTTTCTTTAACCTCCAATTTTGACGTATTTTTAACAGCTCAATAAAATAATCATCTTGTGCTCTATTTGAGTGTTCTGAATGGGATCGTTTTAATCTTTCAGCACCACTGATGAGTACTGACCCTGCCGACACCAAGCCCTAGCAAGATAAGAATAGTTGAAAAAGGTAAATTAAGTATCTATGAGAAAAAAAACCTGTTACAGATTTTCACCTTATTGTCGAACATTTAATAACAGGTACAGAAATGGAGGCCTTAGGAACCACCATAACTTTAAAGCTTATGCCAACTAGACATGACAGTGACAAGTTCAACACAATATAATTCATAGTTATAACCAGGGAACAAAATAACTGGGTTTGCATCACATTTTGCGATCCATTTCCAACGTTACTGCGAGTCAATGGAAAAATTGATTAGCAAAATTTTAGTTGGGAATTTATAAAGTTACGAATCATTTTTATCAGATATAGTACCGTTTATTTCAACATTTAGAACCTCAAAATTAAATTGGCAATAATAAATCCTTTCACGGTTACTCTAAAAGGGGAACCTGTCTTTTTTATTACATTTTACAACACAACGTTCATTTCAGGAGTCTGTCTGTTTTCGATTGCACTTATCCAGACATAATAAATGCATGGAAATATTGGTCATGCATCTGGAAAACGTGACTACAATGCCACATGTCTTCACTCTACTCTCTAATGCTTAGTCTGATTGTAATGTTAAATAACTTTTTTACAATGCTCACAGTTTGAGATATATTGCGTAATTATATTTTCCAAAATGACAATAACCATCAAAATTTAATAATCATAGCTGGTAACCATAATTAATATTGAGTATTCATAATAGATTTTAACTGCACCTCAAATGACCAAAACGGCTAATCAAAAGTTGAATTGATTAGCAAAATCCCTGGTTATAACACAGACTTGAATGGCCGTTGCATTGTCCCATTTCTACAATTAGGGTACAATATAATAAAGAATTAAATAGACTACGATGCAAAGCAAAATATCAAAATTATCATTTGTCAATCTAAACATCTTTTCCAGGCAGATTAATAGGCTTTGCAAGATGATATCCTGCAATTTTGATGTCATATGGGAAGTTGTCTCTCCTGGTGGACATACCTGGATGGGTGTGAATAATGCCACTGTTAAAATTAACTGCATTATGTACAGTATAGCCATAAATTATATATGGTTACCGTATTTTTCGGTGTATAAGGCGCACTTTTTTTACCAGGTATTTTATTTTCTAGAAGGGGTGCGCCTAATACATAGTATTAAGCAAATCTTGGCTTTTCTGTGTGTCAACATCGAGGTCTGAAGTTGATCATATCGACAACAGCAATAAAGATGGCGGCCATTTCCCATACCGATATCCCGTATACCGTTAGTCATAGACGACAGTGGCAACAATATGGGTCAATAGCGGTTTAGTGTTATTAAAATATCTGCAAAGATATCGTAAATAATTAGATGACATATTTTTCTGCTATTCCGACATTCCGATGTCGTCATTTTTCGTCCAATAAATATGGCGGCCATTTAAGATACGGTATCGGCTTTTCCGTATACCGTTAGTCATATTTCTATTATTCCGGCTTTTCCGTATACCGTTAGTCATAAACGACAGTGCTAACAATATCTGCAAAATTATCGTTAATATTTCTATTATTCCTGCGTATTTGATGACATATATTTCTGCTAATCCGTTTACCGGTACAGTTAGCCACTGTCGGCAATCCAAACAGTGTGTCGTCAACGGTGATATCAGTCAAGTTGACGAAAAGGCGGGGCTTACGACAGACAAAGAGTTTTCATTGGCTATTAGAAGGGTAATTTCCATTGAGCACACGCTCATTATACCATAGGCTATGGGTATTGTCTGTTACAATGACAGCGTTAATGGGCGGGATTACAGTTAAACTGACAGAATACCAATTTTCTCTCAATTTGAGGATAACGTGCGGCGCTCCACCTATTAGCTTCTTTACTAGGTTTCATGTCGGTAAGTTTCCCCTTCATCGCCCTCCAACGTCTCACGTTTGACTCCCCCAAACTAAATTCACGACCCGCGGCCCTATTACCGTGTGCTTCAGCGTAACTAATTACCCTCAACTTCTCCTTAGCGGTATAAGCGGTTCGTCTCGTAGCCATTCTGAATAAATAATTTTTAAGAATGATGGAATGTTCACTGGTGTTTTATATACATCGGGGTGTTTTCTTTGAGCAAGACTGTCTTTTAGTAACCGTTTTAAGTTACCGACGGTTTTCATTCAACATGGATTCAGTGATTGGCCCATTGTTATAATTTACCAGTATAGTTAATTATCTACCAGTGAGTTGTTATCGTTTTCTTTATGAAGTCGTTTGTAGTTGACAAAATCATTGTTTCTTTGATTGGTATTAAAAATGCTATTGTATTATTTTACCGGTATAGTTAATTATCTACCAGTGAGTTGTTTCCGTTTTCTTTATGAAGTTGTTTGTAGTTGACAAAATCATTGTTTTTTTGATTGGTATTAAAAATGCTATTGTATTATTTTACTGATAGATCTAAATGGCTACAATCTGGGTATTGTCATGACGCGTGGAGTGGGCGGGGCAACAGACGCTATCGTTTGTCAGTTGTTTGCATAACTTGGAGTAAACTGGAATTGTTGTTTCTCTTTTACCGGTAGTCAGGATTTAATTTGTGAGTAGCTGATCATGATATATTATTTCTACAGGTATTATTTAATTTGTTTATCATCAAAACCGATTCATTTATCACAGACAATTACTCACGAATTTAACACGATGTAATAGACGGCCATGTTTGTTGTGGGCGGGACTTGAATGACAATTTCACTACCGTACGAGCAACAGAATTACAGCTGAAAGTTATGCAATAATGCAATTGCGTGTTATAATTAATATAAACAAATGTAACAAAAGCAATTTATTTCATAAAGAAATATAATTATATAAAGCTTGATACGGCTAAATATCGGTAATTATTATAACTGTAAACAATAGAGTTTGACCTAGTTACTGGAGATCGCAGGTGGATTTGTGTCAAATATGTTATGGCACGAGTTTCACACGCGCTGGGAAAGGGTGCGCCTAAGCCACGCATATTTTTTTTTTCCTGAAACACCTCTGCCAAAGTCGCCCTGCGCCTTATCTACGCATGCGCCTTATACACTGAAAAATACGGTAACTAATTATCAGAAGTACTTTTCACACGACCATAACCACTGACATAACCTTCTTTTCAAAATATTTGCATCTATTTGAATGTTTTAACACATACATAATACTTACCCTTTTCTTAGCTAATAAAAGAACGGATGGTTTATTGTCCGGTTGATCTTGTGAAACTGGGTCAGCTACCATGTAGCGTTTCTCTTTAATAATATTCAACACATCAGTTAATACAGCCATTTCTGTAAAAGCAGCTCTGAAAAATAGAGAACAAAAGCCACAGACAGTTGAATAGAATGTGGTCTGACAGTCCATTAACACTTTACTTTGGTCATTTTGAGACTAACATATGGTAATATGAGGAGAGAATTATGTGCAATCGGTAACTCCCACAAGCCGCAAGAGAGAGAGAGATAGAGAGAGAGAGAGAGAGAGAGAGAGAGGTCCACAAGACACAAACTAGGTCATTTCAGGACTAACATATGGTTCAATTTTATTTCAATAATTCGCTTGAGCATTGGGGTTTTTAGCAGTGGGAGGAAACCGGAGGACCCATGGATAACCCACGAGGTTGGACAGGCGACCCTACTTCTTGTCACCTACAACCGGGGAATTCATCCACAACCAATTGGAACCTTGTTGTTTTCATAACATTCAAACAAGACAGATAAATGGAACTTGATTTGATAAATCAGAACTACTGAATGTTGATCTACATGTATTTAAATTTATGATGTGTGGCCATTCATCAAGACAACATATGGACATGGGGGTAATTCTCAAAATTACATTATTAGTTACTTTTTAATGTTAAGAAGTTATTTCTAAAATATATTTATGTGCAACTAAATTTTATACATACTTTAACTTGTTTCGAACTGAATCCCATACCCATGACGGCTGTTCGAATGATGTCAGCACCTTCTCCTCAGCTTCATCTTTTTCACCTTCTGAAGTAGGTTTACCCTTTTCATCACTTTCATCTTTGTAAAAATCTATTTTATGAGCAAGTTTGGTCAGGTTTTCTGACATAGACAAGGGGCTGAAGATAGAAAGCATGTTGATAGTATAGCATTAAACTTGGGCTTTTTAATGTTTCAGAACAGTTCAGTTAGGTTTGTCATTCACTAAGTGGAAAACATCTGTGGCAAAGTCACAGTGTACACTATCTTAATGAATTTTAGTCATTTAAATGAAAGAGAGTAATGTAACTTAATGTCCAGTTGTATACTCAACACAAAATTTGTCATTTTTGGACTAAAATATTTCACAATCCAAAAGATTAGGTAGGCAATCCTTCTCTTTGTCAGGTAATAGCCTGGGATGGAAACCATGTCACTTGACTAAATGACAGATCTTATGATCTAATATGCATGCATTTGACCACCAGGCCACCCAAACCTCTCTGTGAAATTTGTTGTAAGTTGTATGTAGTAATGATTTGAACACCACGTAAAATCAACTGCAATGCTCTTGTTGTGGCAAAAGGAAACACGTAGCAAAACTATTTTATGCCTATTTTGCAAGGGAACTTGGAAGGAATGAAAAGTGTAGGTAGTAGTAGTAGGCTAGTTCCTTTTAAAAAAAGAATAATATGCTGTAGAATTTATTTCAAAATGACCTACACAAAAAACAAAAGTAAATATTTGCTTAACATGCACTGCTTTTACAAGCCCCTAGAATGTTTTAACGATAATCTGGAAGCTACACGTTGACATGCGTTCCTCAAAAGCTTGCCATAGGTAGCAGTACCAATCGATAAATTAGTGCATACAAAGAAAACTATTTTTGGAAAATATTAGAAATGGCAACTATCATCCCTATGTTATTGTAGTATGCGCAAAGAAACCTTACAGTTCTTTAGTGAACGAGGAAAATTGTGAGTTGTCATTGTCAATCAGCGATAATGGCGGCTGTGTGTTGATTCGATTATTCCGACTCACGTAAAAGACATTTAGGCTTTCACAATTACAAAAAAATTTGCAGTATTATATACACAAATTTTCAACAATATTGTATTGTCAAGTTCAATACTCGCCGATGAAACAAAACAAAATAGAACAAGCAGTGTAAAATCAGTGTTATCTTTTTATTAGCAGTCTCAACAATCGCTGATCAATTAATAAAACAAAACAACTATCAGACTCACATAAAACGAAAAAGAAAAACCAGCTGTTACAAATATATCACACAAATGTTCAACAGTCGCCAGACCAAGTCCGAAAAGTCGTCAAGTAAAGTCCGAACCGTCGTCAAACTGAGTCCAAAAGGTTGTCTGTGTTGATTACGAAATGACGCGGAACTGAAATGACGTGCTACACTCAAGTAGACTCTAGAGAATATTTTGAGAGGATCGAGGATCTTTAAACAATATAACTCTTGATTATAGAGCAAAGTGTGGTGCTTGAGCAAAGCTCTTTTCCTGTAACACAGGAGTGTAACTGAAACTGTCACAGACTGTTGGTTTTAAAAAAATTCATACTGAGCACAATGGGCAAAACAGGCAATGTGCATGTCAACAGTTGGAGTTATCTCCCCTCTGTCAAATCTCACCCATCCGAGATTTACGCGTCTTACCAAATTAATCAATGACGTCACATATATGACATCAATGAAAATAATTCTCACATTTCAGTAATTTCAGTAATTTATCCAATAAAATCAATTTGGAAAAACAAAATTATTTAACATTTTTGCATCACTATTTTACTTTTAGAAGTTGATAAAAATTGTGCACTAAAGGTCTTATACATGTTTTAGACAACAATCAGCTTTGCTCTACTCAGGGGCAATGCCTTTAACACATTATATCTTATCTGGTCCTTTATGTAGTAGAGCAATGAATATAAATGTACACTTAAGAAGTTTTGTATTTTAATTGTTGAGCTTTTTTGTTACTTTTCACATAAAATTTCGGTTCAAAATAGGCGTACTTGCGGGTATAAGAGCTAACCCTGCATGACCAGAGCAACCAAATGAGATAAATTAAGAAAATGTATATTTACGGGACATATATTTCCTGTCCATCAAGCTTTACTTCTTGAATTTTACTTTCTAACACTGGCTCGACGCTAACAGTGACTGAAGAAACGGCCATTTTGAGGACGTTTGCGTCTTGATAATCAAATGTAAACTAGATGTTTTGTTTTCGAATTTCTTGAAACTCGTGTTTACGTTTTGATCTACTGTTCGAAATTATTCCAGATTTATACATTATGTTTCAGTTAATAATACACTTCCGTATCACTATAGAATTCCATAGCGGAAAGCTACGAAAAATAATTCGAAACCAAAACCACTAGCTCTGAAAATGCCATTAATGGTACCAAAATTGTAATCATTGTTTAGACACAAACAATGAAAACCAAAATATTTTTTTATTGGGTATGATTTTATCGGTGTAATTATGTTTCTAGATTGAATTATTATTTGCTAGGTATGATTTCATAATCTACAACGTGTTAAAGACCGATCAATATGTTAAAATACGAAGTAAACATATGCGACAATTTGGATTATATTGTTGTGAAGATGAAAATTGGAATGGTTCATCATGCATAGTCCTTAGTTATTATACCCACTAGCTACCACTCAGTGGACTGTCAGAATGATGATAAAGTTACATTTTTCTTTTAACCTTTGGCTTTAGCTTACTCCTTAATTATACCCTACATTTTTGACTGTCAAAAATTCATCATTTGCCTTTTTTAGAGAAAAATCCCACATTTTTATGACAATAATTGCTGTTGGAAGTTATGCTGAAAATAGTACTGGCCTATCAATATGTACATGATGGAATTTTATAACCTTAAGCCTTACAATTACATGTAAATGTCACATCTTAAGTGTACGGCCATTACTCTCTAATGTAAATCTACACAACAACACTAACTACATGCAGTACTAGTACTACATCTGACATCTATTTAACTGACATCTATTCCTTTTCAGATATCAGTACCATCTATGGAGTAAATCCACTAGTTAAGACTTATGATTAACTTCTGTTTTTTCTGGATTTGAGATTTACAACAATAGAATCAAAATATGGGGAGTGGAGTGCCACTCCTAAATGAATACAAGCAGGAATTTTTATGGAAAAGATTTCCCCAAACGGTGTTGGGAGGTCCCAAGCTGCGTTTAGGCTATGATGCTCCTGCCTATGTGTACTTGAATCAAATTTTCTTATGGATTATGCCATGGCTGATAGGTGGTATTTTTACATTAACAATAGAACTATCCTATAGTGATGACATGGTGAAGAATAATCTTGTCTTGTTCTGTAGTGTTTATGGAGCTTGCATGTCAATATTTGTTCTTTTGATACAGATCTTCAGCTCAATTCAGCATGCAAAACAGAAAACTGATGTCAAATTTATGAAGAAACATAATCTATTATCAGAAGAAGATGAAGTAGAATTTGATTCATGCTGTGGTTCAGAAACAGTTCATTTTGTAATTCCACCCAAAAGTTTTAAGATAAATATTTTGGTACATGCTCTGATATCAGGGACATTATGTGGACTATCATTGTGGTATTTGCTGCCATGGAGTTTAAACATACTCTTCTTTTATAACTATGGCGCGACTGCTGTTTTACACATGTTGGGTTGGTTAACTGTTTGTGTAGCTCAGTACCCATTGACAACTGGTTCACCACCAGAACCAGCTATGTATAGAACTATGGATGTATGGGAGTTATCTCCAATAACAAGACCCTTTTATGCACTTCTATGTATTGCATTTCATATTGTACATCTATATGGGTATGTATATATACTGGAATACAACAATCTAATTAAAATCTAATGCAGAATCATACTACTATGAAAAAAACATTACAGACTTATAAGATAAGGTACTGTACCAGTACTTTAGAAGTAAAAGCTTTAAGCTTATACATTATGGTTTGGTTTTATGCTTATACCAAATAGGTCTAGTATTTTAAACTACAAACTGTATATTATTTATTCATATTAACGATTGTGACTTACTGTTATTTCAAGACATTTTCAAGTGTTATTTCAAGACATATTCAAGTATGTTTAAATTGATAATTTTTATTTCAGGAATTACTCTGAGTTTTTGCTGACTAATCAGATATTACATGTTGTGTTTGTGTGTTTACCAGTATTGTGGATATGTGGAGTTTTACCACCAGTAGACTGTTTATTTCTATGGTTATTAGAACAAGTTCATATATTTCTATTAGGAGGATCTCCCATGGCTTCAGATGCAAGGTAGGACTACATGTACACGCAATCACAATTATGAAGTAGGCAGTTTTATTTCTGACCAAATGCACAAAATATGTTGAGGCCATTGACTTTTTTATTTTTAAAAAAATTTGAAAGCAATACTGGTCCTATAAAATTGTATATCTAAACAATAATGATAATATATTTTACTATTTATTTATTACAGACTACTATGTATGCTGGTATTATCTACTGGTGTGTATTTGGCAGCCTATTTTATTCCTGTCACTGTAGGAAACGTAGTTGTGTGTGCAAGCATGGGATACATTTTAAGTACTGATCTAGGTGGACTTGGTAGTCAGCTGTGGATATTCTATCAAACTCATACCAAGAACAAAGTTTCTATCAGCTCACAGAATAAAGCCATTAATTCTACTCCAAGTATTAAGGGTTTCTTATGGTCATGGAATTTATCTACAGTGTTCTATCACTTTATCATGATAGTAATCGTAGGTGTGGAAGCTGGTCTTTTAACCTATGATACTACTATTTTAAACAGTGATTTAAAAGGTGTTCTGGGTTATATTATCGTAGGACTTTGTATAGTAGAGAAGATATTTCGTGAATCTCAATCAGTCTATATATTTTTTGGTTTAGTTCGTAATTTTATATTTCCACCAACAGTTCAAAGAGGTAGAATTTTTGCTTATAGAAAGAAACAGTTAATTCCCCTTGGTTTGATAAGACGGCTTGTTGTGAATTGGGGTAAGTACATGTAGATCGCTTAATTTTGCTTTTGAAACTAAATTACTGACTGCACAAAACCTTGCTTAGACAATTGACAAAAAACATCCCTTTTATTGTGGGTTTTTTTTTCAGTTTAATTATCAAACGCCTTTCCAAGAAAGCAGTGGACTATTAAAATGGGTTTGTCTGTCTGCCGTCCGTCACACTTTTTGGGACACAATAACTCTCCTTCTAATTGAGCTAGAATGTTCAAACTTGGTGTAGAAGTTTATTAGGTCAATACCTTGATGGAGTTCGAAGATGAACATTTTCTGCTTAGGGTAAGCAGAGATAAGCAATTTGATTGGTTGATGCTTTGGGACATGATAACTTATTTGATTGGTCGAGACTTTGGAACACAATAACTCTCCTTCTAGTTGAGGTAGAATGTTCAAACTTGGTGTAGGTGTTCATTAGGTGAATGCCTTGATGGAGTTTGATGATGAACATTGTCTGCTTACGGTAAGCAGAGATAAGCAATCTGATTGGTTGATGCTTTGGGGAACGATAACTTTGGTTATAATGAAGTGACAGCGATGAAACTCTGAATATAGATTCATTATATCATTACTTTGACTAAGTTACATGGTGCGAATTTTCTGCTTAGGCTAAGGAGCGATAACCAATTTGATTGGTCAGCGGAGACTTTGATTCTATCTGATAGAGAGTGATGAAACTTGGTGTATAGTTTGATTACTTGATACTTTTGAAAAAGATAAATGTGCGATTAATTAATATGTGTTATCTATTTATTTGCGATTAATTAATATGTGTTATCTATTTATTTTGGGATTTCGGCGGGGGAAATCAGCCTCACTGTTGGCTTGTTTTACTTGAAACCAAATTGATTTACGTCTTCGAAAAAGATTACTGAATATTTGCTCTGTTGAAATAAATAAAACTTTAAATATGTTTATTTTTCAAGTTGGTCCATTTGTGATGGTGGCTTATTTGTCATTGACAGTAATACAAACTGATGTAAAAGGGTTACAGCTTTCTACTTCAATATGGTATATATTTGGAGTAGTTCGAGCATTTAGAGCGGTAAGTTTTCTAATTTGAGAATACTATATGCTTACTATAATATTGAAATAATAAAATTGTTATTATAAAATGTGTGTAAGAAATTTAACATTTATGAGTGAGATTTATTAATGAAATTATCTGTATCCGTAGAATCAATTAATAATACACTAAAACTTCACTATGGCTCTGTTTGCTGTAAAACAGGTTGTGTATAAGATGCAGTTGACTATAAGGCAGGTTTCTTATTGTGGAATCCACATGCCCTAAAAAGCATTACATTGAGTGTCTGTATTGGGTTTATTTTTCAGGTATGGCAGAGTACAGTTAATGCTTTATTAGAGATGTCTGCAGTTCATCTTATTGTGATAATGTTGCCAAATGACAGTACTATTATGTCACTTCACCCACCAATACTGTTACTAATAATAGGCATGAGCAGAGATCGCTGTTTTCAACTTCTCAATAAACTTTATTTCTTTTTCACACTCCTGCTTTCCTCTTGGCTTGATAAAAAGCAACGCCGTAAATCAACTGCTGTTGTTATTTTTCTCTCTTTTCTTTTCTTTCCCGTTGTCATGGTGATCCTATCTGCAGCAGCCATATTGTCTTCTCCTCTACTGCCTTTATTTACTTTGCCTCTGTTTTTCATTGCTTTTCCTCGGCCATCCAGATTTTGGCCTGAGTCAGTTGGTGCCTCAGCTAATGCCTGCTCTGATTCTGTCTATTATAAACAGTTTGCTCCTGTCTTCGCCAAAGCTCTAAGGAAAATGTTTGCAGATGGTAGTCTAGGTGAGAAATAAATTAATTTTTATACCCCCACATTTCTCAGCTTGCACTAAGCAGGAAGAATTGAGTGCTCCATAGGTGTTACATGTACTGCTATCTCTGAACACTTGTAAATACTCTACAAGTTAGAGTAATTGAGATTTGTTTTTCAAACTTACTAGGATTTTTTGGCTAAGGAGAAACCCTCTTCTGAATTATGCAATGTTAAGAGTAGGGTTTGGCGATATACCGGTTTTTTTTGGTATATGGTGATAAAATCATCAGCGATTTTATCATATCAGACTTATTTCAAAATATTGAAAAATCAGTATATCGTGATAACCAAAATTATCGCGTCCCAATATTGATGTTAATATATATGCTATATCACCATCTTATCGCGACAAGTGATGTACGAAGTTGAAATGGCAATGCGAGAGATCACGATTGATGCAAGGACTCGTAATCGAGGAACATTTGTTTGGTAAGGTCAAGGTTGGACAGTATTTACCCCAGTCGCAATTGTCACTGTCTTGTAAATATCAAAAAGTAGATTTTAGAACCCTACCAGTTCTGGTTACATACATGTATTATCGTTATATTAAAACTTAATATTTTACTTCAACTAACTTGTATGACATTCTATTGATAGAATTAAATTAATCAGTAATAATAGCATTATTAAGTACCAGCAGGTCTAGGGTAAATCTCCATCATGCATGGCATCTACCAACGTTAGCAACAATAAATTAACATGAAGCGACGATTTAGACACACATATAAATTATCACGGTAATATAATTTATTGTGATATTTGATAAATTATTATCACGATATTTTTGGGGATTATTGCCCAACCCTAGTTATTGCCTTACCAAAACATTGTGCATATAAATGTTCTACTGGTTGGGGGTTTTCAGATTTTTGTTTCCCATCATTATTCAGTGTTTCACATCATATTTTTGTAGAGTTACATCTACATGTACTGTCACTTATCCAAGGGTCTTTAAGGTTTTTAAAAGCTTGTCTGGTTATTTTAAAATTTTGAGCTTGATTCACCATGTCACCATTACCATAAGCAGAATAAAGTATTGTGTTAATGAGACATTTCATTCCTAAAAAATTGCAGAGATGAGAAAAATTATGAGTTTAATATAGGGTAATAATGACCAAATTAATTTAATAATGTATAATTTGATACTTTCAGGAGAGGCTAAACCTGGGAATCATTATATGGTACGATTTCAAGATCGCCTGGCATGGTTTACAGTATTAGAAAGAGGTGCCACGTATTGTACTGTAAACGTGAAAGGTCTAGAACTTCAAGAGACGTCATGTCATACAGCAGAGGCAGCGCGAATGGACGATATCTTTGAACTGGCCTTCGAGAGAGATAACATAGGATCATGTGGTCTTAATGCATATCCATTGCATTCTTTGACACCTGTTGATGCTATAGGTGTACAGACATATTCTGATGCCAGGAATGTACTTACAGGAATCATAGACTCCCCTGACAGTCTCGCAATAACAATGTCGTATTTTGTTAAAAGTTTAACTTGGATAATACTCCATCATGTTAATAAGCAAAAGATTAAAGAGAACAAAGAAACTGAAAGACAAAAGGAAAAGGCGGTGGCCAGGAAAGAGAAAGAATATTTAGGTATTGAAAAAAGAAGTTCTGCCAGGAAATCAAAGGGAGAAATAAATCATAATAATCAAAAATCTGATTTAAACAACCACAAGAGTCGACATACTTCTATCACTCAGATGCAAGAAGTAAAATCCACTATTAAAAATGATTTGACAATGGTTGACACAGATTCTAGACCCGTCTCTGCAGTTTCTGCTAAAAAGAAGCGTAAACCATCTCAAACCTCCTCTATTCACAGCTTTACAGACAGTATTTGGTCAGATGATTTTGAGGTAGAGAAAATAGAAAAAAAGAAAATAAATGTTATCAATTCGTCCAGAAATCTGAACACCCCAAACACAAGGAGCAAGATGTCTGCTACTTCTGTAACAGAAACACCCCGTCAAAAATCTAAGACAGTTTTTGATGATGAAATTGATGATTTGTTAGACGATAGGACTTTTGGAATGCCTGTCGTGGATGCACACAGATCAAGCAAAATGGCTGAACCCTTGTTTTCTAAGCCTGTCTCAAATAAGAGAACTCAATCTAACAACCATATCTATAAGCCAGTTACAAACTTAGCTGGATCACCTGATTTTAAATGTCAGTATTCTGCTCATATCAGTTTACCTATTAAATGGAGGGAATTACCTATAGAATACTCACAGTTATCTCGTCATATCAGTCAATTTCCTACAGATTGGTATAAACATGTTCTATCACAACTTGATTGGTCTGTTATAAGTTGTCCAGCAGAAAAAGTAGCACTAGAGGTGGCTGCCGATGATGCTTTAACTAATTGTTATTCTCAGTTAATTATGGCATGTTTTTCTGGATTTGATTTTCAAAGTAAGTAATGGATTGTGTTCTTGTCTGTTTGTTAAAATACCCATTCACCAAGATTATTAGATTGTGTTAAAGGAGGGGGTCCTTCAGTTTCTATATTCTAAAAATTCTATGAGCTGCCGTTCCAAGTGCTACCCTTGATTAAAGAATTCTTTAGTGCTGTCACCAATACTACAATTGCTTTCAGTATAGCTTAAAGCTATGTTCCCAGAAAATTATTTATCGTGTGGTTATTTCCAATAAAAGTATAGCAATTTTGGTATATATGGAAAGTAGAAATATCCAATCTTACTAGAAAAATACTGGATTCCCTAAAAAACACTCATGGAGCGCATACAGGACAAAAATGTACGGGTTTCCCTAATCGACAGCCCGACGATTAGGAGTGTCTGCATGCGTGACGTCAAAGGTTGCACGCGGAGATTGAGCGCGTGATGTACATGTTGATAAACTTTATGAAGAGTTAGACGTACAACACTTTCTGAGATAAAAATCACAGAAAAAAAATGCAGGCATTGGATAATCCGAGAATTTAATTACTCTTCGATATTTGTAATAAATAGTCAGCGATACTGACTTTACATGTACTTTACATGTATTTTGTTTATTTTATTAGTGTCTGCAGAAGACATAATTATTGGTTATGTTGGCATACTGTTTGTGGTTAATTAAACTCACTGTATCAATGACTAATGTTGTTCTTGAAAACACCCAAACAATTAGCTATTTACTGAGGCAGAACTACACGAATAAGACTAATATTATAGTTATAATTTTTGTCCAGAATGAAAATCTCTATTAATCATCCAACTAATATCATAAATGTCTTGTTTACTATCAGGTAAATATGGAGGAGCTAATAGTCTGTATAAAACATATATTGGTGATGTGCCGTGGAATGCTATGGTAGATTGGCTAGCCGAGGAAAAGGAACTTTATGGCTTAGTTATCAAGGCATTTAGGTACTAATTTTGTATATTTAAATTCCCGGTAAAAATGCAATGATGTAAAATGTAAACGAACTGTTCACAGAGAATTTACTGAAAAAGCACCTTTAGTCTTAAACCTTTCGCTGCGGCAATCAAAATGGGTTAATTATTGAACAGTGCAAAATGGCTGTTTTAATTAGAAATGCATTAATATGTTCAGGGCAAAAAAAAAAACCCAAAAAGAAATGGTTTTAGACCTTTTATGTAATAGGAAAAGTTGATAAACTCCGCTTCAGAATCATTGTCAGCAAATATGTCTTGCAGAACATACTCCAAAGTTCTTTCCACACAATTGTACATAGGAGGGAATATACTTAACTCAGTCAGCCAGCTTTCGTTGATAGTATAAAGTCGTATAAATGTGATGTTTCGCATGGAATGAAATATGAAGTCTGTCAAATTTTTGCGACTTGTCGCAGCGAAAACATAAACACCTCAGAAGAACTAATAGTAATAATTATAATGTAACAATAAATGAAAGAGAAATACATCACCAAATCAAGGATTTTAGATTAACAAAAAAAGTCAAACCCAGTCACACAAGTGAGTTGCAATTCGATTTTTCTGGTAAAATTTATTAATACATGTACCACTAGTATTAGAAATACCTTGATTTGATACATTTATTACATGTTGTAATTGTATTTTAAGATATGGGTTTAAGTTGATGATTGATCATATGATAATGGGCGACATTAGTAGTCATGAGGAATTAACTGAATATTTACAAGATTATGATGATAATTGGTACATTGGTTTAGAGACAGAAGATGATTGGAGAAATGGCATTGTTGATAACAAACATAATTTATTCTCACTTGGACATAACTCCATCCAGGTTAGAACTTATTTACATTCTCAATATTTTGTTATATATATTCTGATGGTATGCCGAACATCTATGAGGAACCATTAATCATTTGCTCTGTTTTACTTACATGTATGGGTGATACTCAACTTTATGTTCCATAATTGAGTTTCTCAATCCTGCAAATTGAGACAATTGCTTTAAAAATGTGATATTGGGCTATCAAGCCTGTTCTGACTGAATAAAATAATGTCAATCACCCACAACAGCTAAAACATTGTCGCCGTGTTTGATTACATCACAATTCTATTCAAACCAGGTCTTGGAACTAACAGAAATGAATAACATGTCAATTGATCGAATGCCATTCTGTCAGTGCAAAATGTCCCTGACTCACAGTCAAGTTCCCCCTGTCTGATATTTAAAACAGTATTATACATATGATGTAGTGGCTAACACATGTTACAAAGTTGAGCTTAGTGACTAACTACATGTATGTACAGGTCATTATATAAAGAATTTTGACTTGATGATCTACAGCTTACGTAACGAGAATCAGGCATGTAGTCTGAAATTAGACAAGGGGATCTCAGACATTATTGAATTTGAAAGACAATACATTGGTATTCTAAACTAAAATAAAACATACTGCATATTGACGGAACAACAAATTGACAGTTGACAAATCCAAGCAATGTTTTTTAGGCATCTTTAAGATTGCTGTACATTTTCCAGTTATTATGGGAGATTAGATAAAGAGCTGGTAGTTCTCACTATAATAGTTAAAAACTGGATAATGTAAAGGGAATTTGCTGAAAATTTCAATCAAATTGTCCCTGAACTGAGTATTGAGCGGTTGAATTTTGGGCCTAGCTTCGATCATCAGTACTAAAGTCGGTACGATAAAAAAACATAGTCTTGATTATCCAGTTTTTTATTTAATCAGAAGCGGCAGACTGGGTTCTAATCCAGTAAATATCGGAGGCTAGCGATGGCATCGAGAGATGATTATGGTCTAGATAAGTTAATTAATGTCTAATTAATAATTTAGATAACATTTCAGGCGTAAAGAAAGACCTGCAATTGGCAGATTTAGCTCTTGCATAATGTATGTTTAACTATTTAATGATAACATCTATTTTTGTAGGGAACATACAACAGTAGAGTGCTGTCACTTCAAGAAGTAATGGTTCACATTGGTCGTTTAAATGAAGAAGTAGTAAAAGGACAGTGGGCTAATCTCAGTATGGAACTATTATATCTTACCAATGATGATGAAGAACGTTACAGTATTCAAGCTCATCCAACCATATTAAGAAATCTGACAGTTCAAGCGGCTGATCCACCATTAGGTTATCCGATATTCTCTTCACGCCCAATCTCAGTTCCAACATTGTAACCATATTAAAGGTGAAAACAACAATATATTGGCCAGTTTAAGAAAAAATTAGTAGTATACCATACTGAATTCCACTAATATTGTATCTAAATTACATATATATGCTCAGAATTGGTACAGTGGTAAAAAAAGATTTTTACTGAACAACCGATTTAAATATTCATTAAATTTATCATAGAAAAAGAGCAAGAAAACAAAAATTCTGGCAAAAAACAATTGAAAATACAATGAATCAGCCTCTGTTGTATCATTAATCCATCTAGTTTTGCATTTATGCCTTTAACCATGATAATCTCGTAAATATACAAACTTGTTGATTATTCATATATCTAGTAAATAGATGAATAGTTTTCCCCCTAAATCACGTTGGTGACCTCTGTCATTCAATATATTAAACATATGCTATACATATGAAAATATGCAATCTATAAGCCATTATTAGCAATAGTAATCACTATTTAATTCAATACATAGCAATGAACACTCAGAACATTCTTGCAATACCCTGGATGTGTCAGTGGATGAGGGGTAAAGTTATCAATGTCGTACTTTTTAGAAAGACGATAAACAGTTTAGGCTTTGTGTATGGTCTGTATTCAGCACCGACATTAAAGCTTTTAATTTTTTATTGAACAAACAAAACAGATAATAATAGAATTATTACTGACTCAAGATGATATTGAAGCGGTGCATGTGGATATTATTGAGCGCATTATTCCCGATTGTATTGCCACTATCACAAAAATTATTTTAAAAATTTAAAATGACAATGTAGGATTATTTATTCTTTAAATAACTGTATTTGAATTCCCTGTTTGAATTTTCTCTTCATTAACAATGCAAAGATGTCTTACTGTAAAATCAATTTATGTAATTGCCTTAGTTTACAGTATAGTTATGAAATTGCTATTCATCCGCAAATTATTTCACTTTTCTATTTATTTATTTATGCTCAATTTATTTTTTACCGTCCATGTCAATTGTATGACAACAACTGCTGCTATTTATTCCCACCTGAAAACAATCAAAGAACAAATATTTATAAGCTAGAAAATGTTAAAGGAGAAGTCCCACATTTCACAGGGTCCTCTGGGATGAAAAGGGTTAGGGGGAAGAGGAAGTATGCAAATCAAAGGCCAAAAGGTAAAGAAATAGCCTTTTTACCTTTTCTTAGAGTTTGATCTTAAAATATGGTTGGAAATGATCTCCAAAACAGTTTATAGGAATTATGTAACCCTTTTTAGAGCACTATCTTCCAATTTTTATTTTGATACTATTAGTAGGCTTTGCCAAGGGTGAATGGTTAGCGTGCGCGCTGTATCATAAAGTCTATCATTGAGTCGACTGGCGTTTCGAATCCCCGGTTGTATGTGACAAGGAGTAGGGTTGCCTGTCCAACCTCGTGGGTTTTCTCCGGGTCCTCCGGTTTCCTCCCACTGCTAAAGACCCCTATGCGCAAGCGAATTATTGAAATAAAAATGAAAAACCATGTTAGTCCCAAAATGACCTAGTTTGTGTCGAGTGGACGTTAAACCCCATTTCTCTCTCTCTCTCTTTGCCAAGGGGTATTTAAGACACAATAATAACTTTAAAATTTAAAAAGTTTGTAACAACAGGAAGTTTGTGTTTATTTAAAAACTTATCATAAAACTTGAGGTTATAGCTTAGGACTGGGTTTTTAAGAACATTTCACACATAATTCGCCAGTTTCATTTATATATCTGGGATTTCTCCTTTAAACTTGAGCATCAACAACACCTTCTATGTAACATATAGAAGTCAACAATGAACAATGATCACATACATCATATCATCACATCTCATATTATTTAAATGAAAGTGCTTTGTTACATTTTTTTTTGTCATCCATCAGAAAGTTTCAGCCTGTGTACTTATTTTGTATTTATTTAAGTGTGAACTGTATATTTATATTGTTATATTACACAGAAGTTTTGAAGTGAATATGAATGTCTTAACACTTCTTTATTTGCTATTGGTAAATAGGTGATTTTATTTAAAATTTGGTATTTCACGTACTAAAAATAGACTGAAAAATTACTGTATGCATAAATTTTTGTGATGTTAAATCCAGTAATAAATTGATTATTATGTCATTTGTCTGCATGTTTGTAAATTGATTGTATACATTTCTATTAAGACCATAGATTAATTAAATAGTTATTGATTGAATACTTATAAATTGTACATATTGTGTACTTTAATTAATGCTGTCAGATAAAATACAATATATTATCTACAGTTAGAGAATAGAAATGGTTTATTTATGAAATGAAAGCTGTGAGGTTGTATTAGTAATTTTATGATCGTGCATAATTCTGAACAAGCATTATTTATTCAATTGAACAGCCTTTTTATAAAATGCATAGGCTACATGTTAGATTTCCAATAAAATTAGGTAGTTTATTTTAATAAGTAATTTCTAGCTGGATAAGACAATTTTAGACTGGAAAAGCCTCAATTCGCATTTTGGAAAAGATCTCTTCAGTTATTCTCTAGAAGTATTCAGAAGTTTTTTTGTGTAATTACTACTGTAAAAGAATTCATGTTGAACTACAAATCAACAAAGTTTTATATTATGCATATAACATATAATTTGATTAGGATGACTGGATTTAGGTTCAACATGTTTCAATAAAAATTGTACATTATATTGTGCATGTATCTGCATAGGACAAACAGCCTTCTTTCAAATTGTGCTTTTTAAATTTTGAGGTCAATTAAAGATAAGGGCATTCAGTAGTTAGTCTGTAATGTAGACATACCTTCAAGAAGATTATTCATTTGATATGTTCTATTGTGCACTTCATTATAAACTGTTTGTTTGAATTTAATAATCGAATGGAGGATTCCATTTAATGATCTGAAATAATATACTGAATATTGTCATTAAAGTACAATGTAATTGCAAATATTTTTGAAATATTGGTTTGGTTTGGCTTAATTTTAAAATGTGCCAAATTGTTAGATTTATAAGAAGCTGATTTCCAATTATTCTTGTCCTTGAACATTGTATTTGAATGTTAATATTCACTATAATAACTTGACTGTGATATAAATGTTTGTGTGTCTTCTATTTATTGTATTATAATATTGTAAAGACCGATTCCAACTGGCATTAATTGAAAGGAATATCACAACATTAGGTGACGCCTGTTAGATCCCTCAAACTATAGCATTTCTGCTTGTTTCGTCATATTTGAATGCTCATTCTTGATTGCAATTGTTAATTCAACTGAATGATTTATATGGGAACACTGAAAATGTTGATTGAAAGTTCTTTCGATTGAAAATTAATTTGATACGATTGATACCAGTAGGAATCGTGCTTAAATTTTTGTTCCTTTAAAACATAAGCTTACTTGTACATATATTTGTAATGTAAAACAATATTTAAGTCTATGTTGCTAATGGATTAAGATGGAGAAAAGTTTAACTATTCCATTGATCAATAATTAAAGAGATTTTGTTTAGTTTGTAAACTAATTAGTCCATTCAATCAATGGTTCAACGAAGAAATGGATGCAAATATTTGAGCCCTGAGTATATCACACCCGAAGAAAAAAAGTAGCCATTCTTTGACAGTGGTTGGGTTTTTGGAATTCTATGTATCCACTGTTAATTTATGCGGAAGTTGCATTGACCAGTGGGTCAATAATATTTCATATAAGTTAAGTAAGAACTGAGACAGTGTTGAAGAATGACAAATTTATATATTTGTTTTCCAGTTTGCTCCTTTTAAAGAAAAGGGATAATATCCATTTATTCGTTGATATACATGTACATGTATACAAACGCAAATAAATAGAGAAAATGTACCTTAGTCCCCCAAAAAAATAATAATAATTATGGTAATAAAATGTGTTGAATTCAGTTGATATTTTCGTTTTATAATTTTGTGTTTACTTGTAATTGATCTCTTAAGCCATGGACCTTATAATATTATAAGGTCCATGCTTAAGCTTGCATTGGGCCCCCCCCCCTCCCCGGCTAAAAATTCCATGGGGGCCCTTGCATCATCAACAGTGAAACGGTAAAACGGGATATATTCCGGCACAGACCCTAGGGCCTAGACTGGATAACCTGCTCTAATTAGTCTGATACGTCAGACTCGCTCCTACGTCACTCCTTTTCTGACTTGCACAGACCCCTGGCTGCCTTACTGTCCCCCTTGGCGGAGTGGGGGGGGGGGCTTTAGCCCCCCCCCCCCCAATCAAGAATTGCTTCCGTCGGCCCTGTTTTACCGTAACGTAACATGAAATATTTATTTATGTTCGAAAAGAAATAAATAGATATGGTAACACATTTATCGTTTTATAAAGCATCAATCAATCAGACTTATCCTAAGCAGTAAAATGCACGCGATTAAAACTAGACAAAGTAGTAAACAAATTAAAAGATGAAAAGGGGAAATCACTCTGATTATTTTCGTAGCAGACAAATACTTCCGGGTGAAGCAATTTTGCTGAAAGTGACAACATGGTCGGTCCGTTTCCCATCGTTAAACTTGGCTATTTAGCATTAAAACAAATTAGTAAGCCACTTGCCAATGCTTTAAAAAGTAGGGCCAAATCAAGCCCTTTCTTTAGAAACTATGTGTGTATGCCACCTGCCCAGAGTAAGTATTATACTGGCCATTAATGTTATAGTATTTTATATCATGTCGGTTGGTTTAGATTGAAAATGAAAGTCATCAACAAATGAAGAGGGACTCTTTACCCTTATGACAGTGTAGATGATCTAACGTACAGATAGATCTATCTAAAGTCTGGGTTTTATTTTTAAAATAATTTTTTATTTAGCTAATAATAAGTGGTGGGTGTTTTGCACCAGATTAGGCCTGGTTACTTATGGACGTTATTATAAGGTCCATGCTTAAGTTGAAGTAGCTAAATCTCTGACTCATTATCATCCAAAGTTTAAGACATTGAAAACACAAATTATTTGTCAATTTAAATCAACATTTGTGATGTGATCTTACCGCGGTAAAAGATGGGGCTTGATATCCAATTTTTAAGACAAAATAAACATATTACCATTGGTACACGAATCGTGTACCATACTGCGTTTCAGCGCCATTTGTAACGAGGGACTTGAAAAACGAGGCTAGACATAATCCATGAGTTATGTCATTCGGTGACGCCATTTTCTTATCTGGAGAGCATACCCAATAAATACTATCGGTGTAGACTGGAATGACCGGACGTTAGAGATTGCCACTCAATTGAGACTTCTTGCGAATTTCATCGAACATAATTGATTTGACAATAGAGTAAAAATGGAAACGATTGAATGTAAATCAGTTCATATACATTCATATTACATTATTATATGTGTTGCGACCCATTTGTGTTAATTTCTAGGAACCAAATATTAGCAATTTAGCTCCTTTAAGCCTTAACTCTTAAGCCCACTGAAGGGCGTACTATGCAACTTCAAACCAGTAACCATAAAGCCAAGTTCATACCCAAGCTTAAAGGAGGGAATCAGAACAGTGACAGAATCTACAACTAGACAATCCCAGTCAAATTATATCCTGAATAAATTGAATAAATGAAATGGGGTTTAACTTTAACATCCTACAGTTTGGCTTTTCTGCTCCAACTTGGCTAATGAAGACGGGCGTATGCCATACAGTGTGCTATGAAGGAAATTTTGCCCAGACATTGGAAAAACTGTGACACATGAAACACGGTTTTCGACAGAACAAAGGTGATGACAATGTAGGCCCATATCAGGTTTTAAGTCTCTGAACGTCATTTTAGAGATTGATGAATCCCTTGCAAGTTGCAAACTACAATATTGTGAAAGGTAAATCTCTAAAATGAATATCAGTCAAAAAAGCTCCAATTCTGTTCAATATTACAAAGATATGATGAACTGAAAATTTGCCAACATTTGACATTCTCTGCAAACAATATAAAAGGATATAGTCAAAACAAGCTGGCATGACATATAATCTTTGCTAGAATTTGTTGCTGAGCCATTCTGATTTTGTTTTTTGTTTTTATTAGATGTTAAATAATCAATTTTCAGTACATTTAGCATGGATTATAACCTTTGGAAAATGTGATATTTTGGGAAAAATGGAAATGACACACAGAGACTTTAGGTATTAAGGCATTAAAATGATAATATTAGTATAACGACTTGCTAATCAGAATTATGTGTCTATATATCAAACAATAGTTCTGTATTGCATATTTTATTTTTCATTTTCAGTATACCATTGGATGGATGTCAATGTAAGACTTAAATTAATGGGAATGGGTAAAGCAACACATGTTGATAAACTCAGTGACTCCATGGCAATAGAACTAGGAGCAGAGATGTTAGGAGAATTCATCTTATTTACTTCAGCATCAATAATACTTTATATGGAATATTCACGTTCTGCGGCAAAAGAAGAACTAAAAGAACAGGCAATGTTACAAAAAGACTTAGAATTAGAAAGACGTTTACAGGAATTAGGTTTAATAAGTGAAATGCAGGATGCTAAAATAAGGGAATTAGAAAGAACTGTTGGAGATTTAGATAGTAGAAATCTTAGTTTAGCCAGCAAATTATTTGGTAAATGAAAATATCGATAGTTTACAAGTGTGTATGTGTTGTAAGTATATAGATGATACTGCATTTATAAGTATTTTGAAATGGTTATGTGATTATTTTTTTTAAATAAAATACCCAAACAATCTCTTTTTTAATAAAATACCCAAACAATCTCTTTTTTAATAAAATACCCAAACAATCTCTTTTTTAAATCAAATAAAATGTGTTGTATAGACCATTGATAATTTATTAGTGAAACTGTCAATATAACATGGGCTGAAAATAACTTGCTACTAACTCTAGAAGCCATTTAGTCCTTTTACTAAACTCAAATTTTATCTTAACTCTTGTTTGGACAGGATTGATTGACATTGTATATATTTTAGATGGTTGGATGAGGAATTGAAATTTGAGCAAAAATGCAACTGAGTAAAAATTAATATGGCCCCAAATAAGTCATTGTAAAGTCTCAAAGGGCCCATTTCAAGAAGTACACATAAATCAAGTATTTTACTCTACAACTCCTTTATTGAACTTACATGTATGTAACTATGAAATAACAGATCAATGGCAAATAGATATTACAAGATCATGCATAATAAAAAAAAAAACTATATTGTTATGCTTAACCATGCAATAACTAGACATGTTCAATGTTATTGCACACTAGTTTTAGTAGAAATCATATAGAGAAGTGGGGTGGGTTTTCTGTGCAATAACAATAAGCATGTTGAGCAGTTGTCAATGTTACAAGTCATTTATAGCACGCTATAAATATAACTTGTAGGCATTTTATGTTTCTATTGAGTTTGTTTATAGAAATGTAAAACTTTATGCCATGTATAATACATTATATGGAATAACCTCTAGTTCCTAGATAAAAATTACTTCATACCAGTCTGTACAACTTGAAATTACTGCACCTGAGACTGCCTCAAACTACTGAATCAGACGATCTGGGGCAGTATATGGAACACTAGTAAATGATGGATTTTTTAATGGCTGTCATGTTTGGATTGATGATCATAGCCCTTCATTGACCACAGTCATGACTCTCAAGTATTATGCCATTTCCATTAATGCCTTTATCTAGTTCACTGCAAATGCTACTTGGGTTGGAAAATACTATATTTTCGAAAAGCTTCATAAATGCCTATTTGTAGCACATTTATGAGTTTATTATATACAGTAGTTAGTTTTTATATGCCCACATTTTCATGTGGAGGTATATTGTTGTCGCCCTTGTCCGTCTGTCCCTCCACAATTTGTTTGTGGACACTCTACAGGTAACAATTTTTATCCGATTTGACGAAACTTGAAACATAGGTCTATCTCCCAAAGATCTCGCTTCCTTTCGATATTGCCATGTATCAGACCTTAACTTCATGGATTATGACCCCTGATTGTACGAAAAATCACATTTTTAGCTTCTGGACACTCTAGAGGTCACAATTTGAACTAATTTTGATGAAACTTGAAATGCATGTTTATAACCCAAATATTGTGTTTCCTTTTGAAATTCGCGCACATCGGATCGTAACTTCTTGAATTATGGCCCCTGATTGTACGAAAAATTGTGTTTTTAGATTGTGGTCCCTTTAGAGGTCACAGTTTTTATCTGATTTAAAAAAACCTTTTAGTATATCACTGTTACACCCTAATGATGGTTGAGTTTGAATTTCGTGAAAATCAGACCAAAACTGCCGGACAAAATGGCCACCCCTCGTATGCAAACGGTGTAAATATATGGTATATTAAGGTTGTGGGGTATTGTTGACCCTCTAGAGGACACAATTTTGATCCGATTTTGAGAAAACTTGAAATATATCTTTATATTATAAAGTTTATAACCCAAAGATCTTGGTCCCTTTCTATATTCTCGCACATATCGGATCTTAACTTCTTGAATTATGGCCCTTGATTGTACAAAAAATCACTATCCATCTCTTGCTAAATGTGGTCGTATCCTGCCTGGCAGCCGCTGGTTATGAACTGGAATAAAAACACCAAAACATTTACCTGATATATTATACATGAAAGTAAACCATGTCACTAGACATGATGGTTATATTTTTTGAAAATTGTACGCCTCCATTAGCTTTCGTCTTAATTTTTACTTACCTATAAATAGATTTATTAACTGATGGAATATGTGCAAATGACAAAATATTTCTGCAGAATTTTCGTAACTCTTGGTTTTGATTACTGGTCAGCAAGTGTACTTAGTAGAAGAATAGACAAATCACCCAATCTATTAAATTAGAGTCCATAATGGCCACTTTATATGAATGAGTATTTTGGGAAATAATAACCCTAAGGGGTAAAAGGTAAATTGGATCCAAGGGTTAGGGTTATTATTCCCCAAAATACTCATTTATATAAAGCAGATATTTTGGGCTCCAGAAATTCCCGAACCTCCCTGGTACTGACCTACAATTTCCATCTTCCAATGGTCGGAAGGAATGCAAAATTGGATTTGTATTCACTTTTGTTAACAGTCCACCCAGAAAAGCTGCTTCACAATGTAACATATATATGCCCACCAGCAGCAGCTGACAAAACTACTGACCAATAGAGACAGTAACCCTTTGAAAAATCTTAGCGCAAGTCTGCATTTCCAAAAAACTCCTGAGCAGGTAATCTGACCTGTAGGGTGTATGCAAGATTTATAGACATATGGATGGACAACACTATATACTCCCACATAGAATGTGGGTGTATGTGGGGACAAAATAAAATGGGCCAACTGCATCTTTGTAGGCTACTAACGGTATTTGAGTTAAACATATATTATGCAAGAGCTAAATCTGCCTATTGCAGTCTTTCTTTAGGCCTGAAGTGTTATATAAATTATTAATTAGACATTAATTAACTTACCAAGACCATAATAAGCTCTTGATGTCATCGGATGGCTCCTATATTTAGTAGATTTGAAAATGTTTTGTGGTTGATGAAATAACTGTAAAATGGATAGTCGAGACTTTATTATCGTAACAGCGGTAGTAATCACAATCGATGCTAGACAATAATTTATATCCCCGATAGCTTGGCTCAGAGTGAAGTAATTTGACTGAAATTTTCAGCATATTCTCATTTCATTATCTTTTTTTTAACTATTATAGCGAGAACTGTCAGCTCTTTATCTAATCTTACAGCTTTAATAAAGCAAAAGCATAATAACTCAATCATTTATGACAGATAACGGATAAAACCTAGTGATGGAGAATTTCCAGAATCATAGTACCATACTAAACTACAACATATTTATCTATTTAAATTTATTTTGGCAGCTTATAGAATTTTATTTTGTAAGTACCTTGAAACAAATTTTGACATTCATAATATATAATTAAATATGTTTATGGATGATGTGACTGTGATTTATTATGTAGTTATATAAAATTATGTAATGTAGTATGGACTTTGTAAATAAATGAGACAGTTTAAAATTATTGTTGACTTACTTGTCATTGTTAAACAGGGATTAATCAGTGATCTATTGTATTCTGCCCCCCCATCACCATGGCAGGATGAAGCCTAGGGCCTCGAGATCTAGGTGTATACATGTACCAGGTAAAAGTTTTGACATTGTCATAAGCTTTTCTTACATGCACTGTAGTCTTAAACATCCATCATCATCCTCGGCTTTGTTCAAATGTGTTTAAACTTTCTCTAGTCATGGGGGTGGGGGATTGATATCAGTTGGGAAGGGGTCTGTTTTATTATGATTTAATGTCCATCAGAAAAGACAAATCACCCAATCTATTAAATTAGACAGTCATTACCTTCTGGTAATGTATATTATAATAGTATTTGATTTACATGTGTGTGCCAACTGACATTTATGGACCATATTAAAACATGTAGCAATCTCAACCATTAAATTTACAGACAGTATCTAGTGTTTCCAATATATATATCATGGGTTCCATGTCGGCAATATATACTGGTCATGACTGAGGGCTATGGCAAATGACCAAAATTAGATCTGATTGTTGTAAATTTTAATTTCACCCCTTCCAAGTACCCATGCCCTTTTTCACTGATTAGTGACTACATTTCTGCACTAACCGGGCTAATAAAGATCACCATGCAGTGTGCTTTAAGGGGGATTTTTTCCTAGCAGTGGCTTTTGCACCTAAAAATTTGAACTGTCAAGGGTTTTATGTGTATGCAAGACAATGTAAATGGTTGGATTTTTTTTTTCCGTACCATCCCAACGACTAGATCCTTTTTTCATGCCAGCCCTCTGCCTTTCAACACAGACAAGGGGAAACTAGGATGGAAAATTCTGAGTCATGTGCTTGGTCAATACAGAGCCACTGTTGCTCCCCAATGGTTCCCAATAGATTGTGTCAAGGTTCAGATAACATTTTGAAGTTTCTAAGGATATGGAAAAGTAAGTTATGTCTTAAATTGTATAACATTAGTGTCACAATGGGTTGTCTTGAAGAAAATAGATCAACTAGTCTGGTATCTGAGATAGCAACCATGGAATTCAGAGGAAAATTTCACAGGGTAAATCCATTTGTTAAAACCCACTACACTCAGTGACACCACCAGGTTAGAAACTTCAACCAGATCCTTTACGAGATTGTGAAATGGAGTTTGATGAGTTGTTTATGATTAATCAGGTGATTTCAGGACAAACATTTGTTATAGTTCCTTTTCAATTATCCATTTACACAAGGTGTCTTTAAAAGTTTGCCAGGCAACCCTTCTTCTTTTCACATACAAAGCCCTTATCGAACCCATGATTTGCATAGATAACTGGTGATCATTTTAAATCACTTGGTGATCCACAACCCACAAGTTACTAATGTAAAACGATATACATAAATTTCATCTTTAAATGCAATAATTACCTCATACATTCCTGCTGAAGAGAAAAACAAACATTGTTCATGTTGGAAAAAAATGTTTATTTTAATGCTCAAATAATTAAATATTGGATTTTAATAATATAAAAGCTGAACATTACCATATAATAATGACTAGTCCTTTAACACAAATAACAACCTTACAATAAAAGCAATATAACAGATTAAATAAAACCATTCCTAAATATTACATAATGTACTTCAATAGCTGTTTTAATCACATACAATCTGGGTTCTACTATTCTAATTCAGTTACCCTTTAACCTCAAATAAGATTTCTGATTTAATAATAGAATAACAGCATAGGATTCTACTTTTGATTACCTTCATGTGTCTTTTATAAAGCCTACATAATTACCTCTATCTATGCATGCTTTATTAAACCAACTATACTCTATAACTATAATATTGTATCAACACACATAAAACCAGTGGCATATTCAGGAGTGGGAGCATGAGGGCATGCCAAGCCACACCCCTCTTTGGAACATCACATGAAAATAATGCTTCTTTGGGGGTACACGGACCACCTGTTTATGGCAATATAAGTACTCAAAAAGATGTTGTGCCTCTTGTCTCCTTCCTTTTAAACACTCTGAATATACATCACTATATGGAACTGAAATAAAGCTTCAATACTCTATCCAGTTTTCTAATGTGAGATTTTGCTAATTTAGCAAGTATGCACATGTAAATATGTATATGAAATATTGTATGCTTTCTACTGACTTTGTTAGAGTGTAGTATCGTCATCACACTATTATTAATGTATTCAGCTATACAATATATAACCTTGGTATTAAATTACTTCATCTACATATCACATAAGATTAAATAGTTGGAGTATTTGGTTTATATAGTTTAATTCTTGTACAATAAAATAAATCTAATTTACATTAATTAAAACACTGTTACAATACAATTACAATAATTCACACTGATACTTGACAACAGTTACGCTAACTCTGTAAATTTTATGGTATAATGACAGATTTAAATATTTACAACAACATAACTATGGAAGACACATTAATACTGAATATATTATACAACTTATTACAATCACATAAAATTAAAATCTAGCAATATAATGCTATTTTGGCAAGAGGGATAGAATAATAAAGAAATATTTCAATTTTAAATATATTAAATAGACTATAAATGTAAGTACATGCACTCACTATATTATTTGGTTTATTCTGTTGATTATTTTGCCATAATTAATTTGGATTACAGGGGTTTAAAGATTATCACCATGAAGGCCCACATGCCTGAATTGGGATGAGAAAATAAATAATCTAAAATAAGAAATTTAGATTTGTTTAAAAAGTTGTTGTTTTGAGCTTTGATTACCGTATATAGTATATTTTTGAGTAACTTAAAACATTATTACCTGTATCGCCGGTATATATTCACAAATAAAATATTCTGAGCTTCAGTGGGTCTTTAGTTAGGCATACATTTTCATTAGAATGACAATATAAATACAACGATGAAATAAATATTCAATGAAAATCAATATACAGAGAATGTAATTGACCGAGGAAATTATATTTTTGATTTGATATTACGGAACAACATTGGAATATGGAATATAATTCACCATCATGGGTTTGGCTTTGACAATCATTACAAACTATATACAAATAAAATCAGACAGCATATATTTATAGATTTAAGCATGTAAAATGATTTATAAAATATCAATATCAATGGAAGCACATTGTGTATTTTCATTTATAATCTGGAAGTCCTATTCATTAAAATAATATTGAATAATTAAAAAAAATTCTTTAAAAATATTTATATAAACATAAATAACTGAAAGGTTGAGAAATAACAATGGGTCAAATGCTATTTCATTTTTTGTTTCTTATTGCACATAATCTAAATTCATTGCTGGATATGGATTTGGGAACAAGCAAAACCTGTTAGTCAATCTAAAACCACTTCCCATAGAAACTATGTGTATCTAATGGAATAAACACTGTAAAATGGCACAGACACTTTCTTAATCTCATCCTTTCAATTTGAATATTTATAATTGGAAAATATTTATAACATTAAAAAAAATTTTGATCAAGACATAAAAATTATTTTATAAAAATCATGATAAAAATAATGCTAAAGCTGATGAACATGATCCATTATTGTAAAAAAGATTTTGTTTTGATGTTATTTTAAATTTACTTTATGTTTTTTCTAAAGTAAATGAAAATTTCTGTGACTGCAAAGTAGTATCACAATCTTTTGCTATAATTCCACTTGAATCAACTTTTGAACTGTCTATACAGAAAGAAAATTCAGCATGTTTTATCATTGTGTTGTCATTATATCTTTCCCATTTCTGAAAGAGAACAGAAAAAAAGTGGTCATTATGGAAATGAAAATGATCAGTAGTATGATGAAAGAGGTCTGAAGAAACAGAAGCCTTACGATAAACCAATCATTTAGCCAAGCACCTTTAACCCTTGTCGGTTCACGTGGGGTCTCCGTGGACCCCATGCACATGTTTTATAGTGTTTTTTAACAACTACTGGGTACAACTTTCTGAAATTTAATGACTTTGTATCCAATACATTTTTACACATAGCAAGTACCCCTAACTTATAACTCACAGTAGTGATTTTGCTTATGTGTTTGCTGCCTGAAACCATATTGCGTATGCCAGAGTATTCCCTCTTTTAGCATCTGCATGTTACAAATACCAAAAATTAAATGATGAATTCCAAATATTGAATTGTTTTTGTATAAAGCGTGAATTGCCATTTAACCTCTTTATCACATAGTACACAAAGTAGCAATTTGGTGAGAATTATTAAATCTTTTCCATATGTCACTAAAATGTTTTTGGATAATAATTTACTTGTTTTTCAGATGTCAAATATGAATGCAAATAAAAACCAAAACGCTGCCTTTTAATTCAAATATATCTGTACGTAAAAACTTGAATTATAACTGGCGTTCATATGGACCCCATGATACCTGCTACGTGATTCTCACAACGTGAACCCACAAGGGTTAATAAACCAAATAACCATGTTTGTTCTGGTTTTTTAATTACTCATATATACTCTTCAAAAAAAAGTAGGGGATATTGAAATGCAAATACCTATGCAGGTTGGAATATGATAAATAGTCATGGACATTTGACAAGCTTTGAGAGTATGTTCACAGATGAAGAATTTATCGCCCCAACAGAACCACTGAGCTGCACATGCGAAACGCAATAGCGCCATACACGTGGGAGGGGTTCATTGTCAAATTTAACACTTCAAGGAAGAGTTGATGAAAACTGCCACGTGCTGGTTTATCTATTCATGTTTGCTTTCCTATCGGTTCTTGCATAAGATTTACAGTTTAGCGTATCTTTGCTTTAGTGTGTTACGTTTAATTTGATCGGGAGATGTGTTTGTCAACGTCAACTGACAACACTGCAAGAATTGGCCGTGGCACTGCAAGAGGAGTGGGTCAGATTGCCCCAAATCGTGATTGGACGGTTGATTAGGAGCATCACGACGAATTGCTGATTGTCTGAGGATTGGTGGAGCAATTACTCATTATTAAGACAAAAATCAAAAACGTCCATTTTTACTTTTGACGGTGTCTCTCTTTACGAGTGAAATGGGGCCGTCAGATAAGCCGCCCATATGAACTGTTTATGTTCATGTGTAGGCAATTGGCCTGTTATTAACATACACTGGTTACCTCTAATAAAAACAGCAGTGCATTTTCGAAGTTTTGTTTTGTTTCTGAATATCCCCTACTTTTTTTGAAGAGTATATATTGGCATTCATGGAATTAAAAATTGTATTTTAAAATATTTCTTCCTAACTTTCATAAACTTGTAGCATCAATCCATACAAAGACAATCTTTTTCAAAATCAGTTTGTAATATAAGCAGTTGCTGAAAAATAGGCAATTTTGCATGAGTCACTTTCCACGTTATTTTGTGTGCAAAAGAGTCAATTATAATATGATTTTCAATTTGTCTTCATCATTTGATGCCTAGTGCAATATCTGACTAGGCCAAACCAATTTCACAGTCACCAGAAATGGCGTAATTTTAACAAAAAGTATATTTTTAGCCTGCAATACAAATATTTTATTCAAAGTAGTCGTATTTGTTATGTGTTTAAAATCATGACATTTGATTCCGTTCAACAAATAAAATGAAATAATGCAGTCATATAGATATCACAAAATGATTCCTTACTTGTTCAGTTGTTGAGAAATAGCGGATTTGAATAGAAGTGAATAGAAATAGTCACTTTTCAAGGTTTTTGGTCAATAAGTGTAAATAATTATTTGATTTTCATAAATTTTTCATGATGTGATGCTTTATGCCATTTACAATTTCATAAAACTAATTTAAAACATTTTCATTATCACTGGAAGTAATGTCAATTTGGCAAAAACTGTATTTTAAGCTTCCAATACAAATATTTGTTTGAAGTAAAAGATGTTCATTATTCGTATAAAATTATGATATTTGATTTCAATGGACAAATAGTATGAATCAATACAATCATATAGATATCAAAAAAGTGTTTCTAGTGTCTTCCTTTGCCGAGATATAACCAATTTTGTCAGTATATAGTGACGTCAGTTCAAGAGTAACATCATCACTGCATCACAGTTCTAGTTAGAAATTGGAACTGTCCTACACTGTATGTCTTGTAACACAGTCTATTACATATAATGCAATTAAAGAGGGGCATAAAAAGTAAACATGTGTTTAAAATGTATGATATAAGGGTAATTGTATACATGTAAATGTCAGATATGTGATTACCTGTAGTGAATTGTTGGACTGACATTGAAACAGTTTTATAATATTACCAGATGTTATCCCTGTCATAGTTAAACAAAGGTCAAGGTGTTTTATACTTCCATCTTTAGTTAAAGAGAATTCCTAAAGAAAAAAATAATAAATATGTTACACATGTACATATAAATAATATGGTACTATCTTTACAAATACATGTATTTTACATGTAAAATATAATGATCTGGTTCTTTAAATGATGAAAATATGTCAAGTTGGGTCATATTATCATTAGTAAGGGAATATAAATTCTTTATAATAAAAAAAATTTCTATGAAAATCTTCTTGACACACTGATACATGAATATTCAATTTGTAAAAGAGTAAGATAAATGGGGCTTCAAGTTCACTTGACACAAACTAGACTAAGCTATTTCAATTTTATTTCAATTATTCACTTGCATTCTAAGGGGTTTTAGCAGTGGGCTGAAACCGGGGCAGTGGGATGAAACAGTGGGGGGGGGGGGGGCCTTGAAGAAAATTCTTGTGGCTGGGCAAGTGACCCTACTCCTTGTCACGTACAAGGATCGAAATCACACCACTTGTCTCAATGACCTTAAGCGCACACAATAGACCACTCCCCCCCAAAATATTTTCGATTTGAAATTATTCTTTAAAAGTATTACAGATTAATCTTTACCAGTATGTGTATAGGTGCATCACACTAGTCAACATGCAGTGCGTCAAGTGCGTGTATACACAAACTGGTGCTGGTCATGTAGAGTAAATAAAACATCAGGCCTAAATATTGATTGATTTTGACAAGAATCAACTTGGATTCTCCGTGACATAAAGGATCTTCTACTCGTCTTTTTTGATAAAAAAAATATGAACACTCGATAAAATAAAAAAATAATACGTCCACATGAAAATGTGGGCGTATAAAAACAACGCGGCTCTGTCGAGTTTTTTTTATACTTTATCGACGAGTGTTGATATATAGAGAATCTCCTACTCATCTTTTTTGATATCAAAAAAGATGAGCAGTAGATTTTATTTATCACCCAACCCTCTTTTACGTGCACAAATAAATAAATACAACTCTTTGGTATAGATTTATTTTACTGAACCTGATTATTTCCTTAATTAAATAAACAAACTAATCAGTTTCACTGTCTATAATTCTTGTACGTTTATAGGGAGTATTGTAATTGTTTATGGTAATTGAGAATTTTTCTCCAACAACATTACTGGATCCAAAAAGTAGTTCCTATTTAATAAAAAAGTAGTTCCTTTTTAATTGACCAATCAAATTCATGTAAAGCGGTATCTCCTTAGCGCTCAGTAGATTATGAAAGTTATCACACAAGTGATATCTACTGTAGAATGTGTTAGTTAATGTAATTGGATGATTTTGTTCCAGTTGTAGGGAACTGGGATTTTTTATTACCATAACTTATTGTGGAAAAAACTTCTGTTTATTTACTAAATATTGGTACAAATTCTTTCCAACTGTTAACAAATTTATACAGAATTATTGAATGAAAATTCTACATAAGTATTTAAAGATACATTATGGGAGATAAGATAATGAGATGGCAGTTCTCGCTATAATAGTTAAAAACTAGATAGTGTAAAGGTAATTTGCTGAAAATTTCAGTCCAATTGATCCACTATGAGCCGAGAAAGAAGCATGTGAAATTTTGGCATAGTCTTGGTCATCATTACTAAAATCATTAATATAAACAGCAAGTCTCGATTATCCACTTTTTTTGATTTAATTATCAACGGCCGTTAGCCGCATATAGGAATCTAATCCAGCCAAAATCGAAGGCTAGCCTTGACATCGAGAGTTTATTATGGTCTGGATAAGTTAATAAATGTCTAATTGATAATTAAGATAACATTTCAGGCCTAAAGAAAGACTTGTAATAAGCAGATTTTGCTCTTGCATAATGCATGTTTAAGCACGATGAGGTTGAAGTCTATGATAATCTGGCAGAATTCTAGGCCTGAACATAGCTGTTTTAAATACCTGATTTCCTCCTGAATGATGACATGGATAAAGACCTAGAACACCATCAGCAAAATGTCCCATAGTATCAATACATTTAGATTGTTGTTGTATACTACCAAATGATACATCTTGTCTATCTGGTACTCTGTATTAACAAACACATACCTTTTAGCAATCTTCCACAACAGTTTAAACCAGGCTATAGTATTCGAGACTTACCACTATATCTAAAGCATTTTGATCTTTAACACATCTAGATAAATGTTAAGCTAATTACCGTTCATATACAGTTAATATTCCTTTAAACAATATACAATGACCTACCTATACATGATCTACAAAAAATCATGATCAGATGACATAGATCAACTTTATTTAGATACATTGTTCTCAGTTTCAATTTTGAGTTAGAAACACTATTCTCATTGGCAAATTTTATTCATAATACACTATTCTCAGTGGCAAATTTTATTTAGAAGCACTATTCTCAGTGGCAAATTTTATAATAAACTGTTCTGAATGGCAAAATTTATTTAACTATAATTTCATTTAAGATACACTAGAAGCAATCTTTATAATTTCATTTAAGATACACTAGAAGCAAATTTCATTTAAGATACACTGTTCTCGGTGACAAATTTCATTTAGATACACAAGAGGCAAATTTTATTTAGATACCCTAGGGGCGAGGGGTATTGGGTATGTTATTTGTTTACAATCCCCTTTCAGAACCCCAGTGAATAATCTTTAGTTCATACAAACTACATTGGCCCAAACTAATGTTTGTTTCCATAAAAATTTGTTCCTTTTTTCAAATATTATGTCTTCTACATTGTGTCACTAAGCATTACTTCACATTTAACGTTTTTATGCATAACTATACAGGATCAATATTGTTCTAAACTCTGTTTTTACAAGTTTGAAAGGTATAAATGCAAGAAAATGTTTTGTCTCATACATGTACTTCAAATAAGGATTAAGTATGGTATTTTGCAGGGCCTTACATAGTATTTTTTGTACTTGAAAAGAACCTAGTTACACAGAGTATTTATGAATCATGGCATGTGCAGAAGAGAGTGCAACTCAGCTGTGAAAATAGGCCTATTACACAACACGTACATAGCAAAACAAATTGTGAATGTAAACTTACTTTAATTCTGGATAGACATTTTCAAGAAGCCATTTAAACGGTCTACAATTCAGTTGTTTTCTTAATTCTAATCTTTTGGTAATACTGAAAACAAAACAAAAATTGAATAGTCTAAAGCACACATAATGGTGACTATTATCTGTTCTAAGCTTATCTTCTGATACAAATACAAATTTGCTAATCTCACAATTTTTGTTTGTACTTTGTATACAGTAAATGAAATGCAAGTATACTCCAGTTTTGTTTGCACTTTTCATACGTAGTAAACAAAATGCAGATATGCTCAAGCTTTGTTTGTAGTTTTGTATACACAGTAAATAAAAAAATGTATATATATATACTCAAGAAAAATACCATAAAGTGATACAACTAAAATGATAACTCACTCTCCAAAATCGACATGTCTGGCCGACGGAACTGCTGCATAGTAAAACTGTTTATAATCATCCATCCATACTTCTGCTGCTCTACGCGTATTTCTAAAATACCAAAATAAAAACATGTTAAAGAGGCTTGTTTTCATAGTTATTTCTCTAAAGCAACATTAAGGGAAAACTAAGTCCAGTAGCTAATCCTTCAGGGACAATGTAACCAAACTTCTTAACAGAACACACACACAAGACAGCAGTACAAGGTGCCATATTGAATGAAGCAGGTAGTTACCAGTTACGGACACACCACATTACAACACTACACTCACAGATCAGCCACGTGGAAAATGTGACACAACTATGCATCCATTTAAATACTGTATTCAAAGGCCTTTAAATTTGTATATGATATAAGCATTCATCTTTTAAAACTGGTTGAGATATTTAGAGTGGAAGCTAGTATATCCCATAACATTACTTTAAATTTATATTAGTTTACAAAGGCAATATAACAATACAAGTTTACTTACCGTGTAAATATATTACCACTACCCCCAGGGAAAGTATATGGGTGTTGTTTACGGAAAACATGACCTACTCTACTACAAGGAATTATTTCTAAAGATCCATGACACTGCCACACACGGAATGATATCTCTACAAAAATGAAAATCACCAATCAAAGATTTACTGATATTTGTTTGCAGCAAAATTGCCTTTATATACTGTATACTACTAGGCTAAAACTATAGTGTTTGTGGCAGGTTTGGTATATTGCAGTAATGGCATTGCTGTATACTGTGGGTATAGTTAATGGACAAGTGTAATTTTCTCATTTTTAAGATAATAAATAGCATTTAAAATAAGAAAGGTCAATTCATTCATTCCTAAATGACTCTTCCCACAAAACACCTGAAAACTTACCAAGATTTTCTCCTCCCCAAACATCCATGGCAGGATCATATTGTCCTAATTTATTAAACCAGGATTTATCTATTACAAACAAACCTCCAGCTATCATAGGAGTTCTGTGGAATTAAAACATAATAAAACCTAAAGTTTTAAACATCAAACCATCAAAGCTTATCATTCTTAAAAGTGAGAGGCTTGGCTACAATGTTACTAGTAAGGCATTAAGTTCCAATATGTGCACTATACTAATGTCAAGACATAGATCCTTAAAAGGCCATTAAGGGTTTATCATGGCATAAATACAGATATTTAAATTTAAAGAAAACCTCACAGACATTTGATGAAAGTTTTACAATACCTTATTGGTGATACTGGATTAGATGATCTTTTATTTCTTTCTTCAGATGTCATATAATCCCATTTAAATACTAGATTCCAATCAAATCCTGTTAAATATAGTTGCATTAATTTAACATGTACCTTATGATTCTATATATTAACAACATAGCACAACAATTCATTGTTTTAAATGAAGTCAAATAATTTTAACTATACACTAAGAAGTAATTTAAATCACAAAAGTTCAGTCTGATAGTACATATTTATGGCACACTCCTGCAGTTGTGATATCGTCCTACATATTCATATATTTAAATCTACAGTGTTTTAATTTTTCATAGATGTGACCAACAAAATATTGGTTCACAATTGTTATTCACAGGACTTACCCCCCTTTAAATCCGCTGACGCTCCAATGTAGTCAAAGTTATCCATACTAATAACATCTATAATGGGACTAACAACACGAGTCTTATCCTATAATAATAATAATATACCTTTTTATAATAATTTATACATAATATCAACACTATAAACTGGGTGTTTTGTAGTTATGAGTATATGTACTAATGTAGGCTCTTTTAAATGTGCACGTATTATGTAAACCGGTTAAAGCATATTACAATATAAATCAGCCAAATTAAAGACTAAATTTCGCCACGCAATAATTCAAATTCTATTGGAGAAAGAATGTTTAAACTTGGCGTATGTGTTAATTAGGTGAATGTCTTGACTGCCTTCTATGATGAATATTTTCTGCTTTGCCTAAGTAGCAATAATCAATTTCAAGACTTTCAGAAGCAATAAGTTGAGTCTATTGGCCTAATTTAAATGTTATAAATTATTAATTATATTTTTTAAAAGATCAGGAGCATGCACATATCTCTAAACAATATGTACCACATTGTCAAGTTACGTGTAGTTAAATGTGATTACAAATTTGTATTGCTATGTTAAAGATATCACAGTTCGACATTTTACTCATCTAGAATTAACACTTTTTAAACAATAAATTTCCAATGAAATACTTGGCATGCAAAGGGTTAATGACAGTTGATTGGTTACATTCATCAAATGGCATATATGTCACCTTCCCAGTAAGGAGGTGACATCAATATTTTACATCAGGTAAGATGATTTATAGATTTAAATATGACCATAGCTTGGGATATATTGTAGCTATATAATGTTAAACCCACCTCGGCTACTCTTTCTAATAATGGTTCTAACCAATGTTTATTACATTCACAATGACTATCTAAAAATGTAAGAACATCTGCTTCTGCAGCATTGGCACCTTTAACTCGAGATCGTATAAGCCCTGAAATACATTATATGTTTTACGTTTACTTAAGTATTTATAGGGTAGTTATTTTTAATATAAGTATGGCATATTTTGTATATGTATATGGAAAGTAGAGAGATACCCCATTTTACTAGAAAAATACTGGGTTCCCTGAAATACAACCATGGGACACCTACAGGATAAAAGTGTAAAGCTGTCACTAACTGGCAGCTTGTCTGGTGGAATGACAGAAGTGTGCTTCTTATGTGTTGATGTTAAGGCTAATAGTTGTGAAAATATTACAACTCTGCAATTAAAGGGCAAAAAAAATAAGATAGTAGAGAATGATCTAAGAATTTACTTAGGCTTTGATATTTATTGTAAATGGTCAGCGATTAACAAATACAACCTAAAAATGAATTCTCTATCAAGTCAGGTGACAAACGTTTACAAGGCTCCTTAAAATAGATTCTTGTGGCATTGGGGTAGTTTCTTTTACGATTAAAGCAAACTTTGGATAAATTAGATTGAATATGTTTTTAGTCTAAATATATCATCACATCACACAGTGCTATCATCTTGATAATTAAAGTCAATCAGTAAAACAATTTCTAATTTTATGTGAATTTCATATCAGATTGGGCTGACCTTAAAAATATCTTTGTTTCGCCTAACGCGACCGACTAACTAAAACCACCCCCGACTTAAATTATTTTATTGCACTTTTCCGCGATCTTTTTATTTTATTTTGTGTGTCAACTTGAAATATATCACGAGAGTTATTTCCCTTTACTATGGCTATGGTTTGATTCATTATTGAAACTGGTTGATCAAGACGAAAGCGTCATAGGTGTCGCTTCTCAACAAAATGGTTGCAGACGAAAGCACAGCCATTCCCACGAAATGATTCTGCCTCTATGTCTGTGGGGCGTCGTTTTAAACATGACGATGATATTTTCAATATCTGTTTTCGAGAAAAATGAAGGCACAACCCGCACGATCGTTAAAAACGTGTTGAGGGAGTTTCAAACGTGAGTTTGTGGCAATTCGTGTGCGAGTCGTGCATCACGAAAAATCCCGACATCATTGATTTGTTTGCCAATAAAAGAAGACGAATGTTTGCACCCGGAAAATTATCAAGCTATCAAATTAGCTCTTAAAAAAAAAAATCTGAAAAAAACCCGACCTACCGACCCTTCTCCTCGATTGTGGGTCGGGTTTGGTGAAACAAAGATATTTTTAAGGTCAGCCTTGTGTGCAAAATTTAATTCACACATCCATTACTAAAGCTTTTCGAATAGGCTAGTGCATGGATTTTGGATAATTTTAGATCAGTCTACATAAGTATACTATAAAATTAATGCAACTGATCTTCTCGTTTGTTTTAGCTTCCTAAAATATGTCTGACAGAACTGACTGACATTAATGTCAAGTATTGGTCCATGCCCCCTATAATATTGTTGATTCAAATACATGTACCATGAAAAGTCAAGTACAGCAAATAGGTTAAATGCATGGTGTAGAATATAATTATAAATGTTTATAGAAACCTTCAATCATAATTTTACTGAAATTGTAAGTGTTTTTGTGTCATGTGCAACACAATGTGAGCCATTAACAATCAACCCAGGTAATATATGGCATAAGAAATACATGGAAAGTGGAAAGATTATATCCAACTATACTCTTTCCCTTTTGATTTTGCTGTTTCAACTTTCTAAATTAGGTAACATATTTTGTTTCATTTTATGACAGTGATGTTTAACTACAATTGTTGATGATTTGGATCATGTCTGACTACTGAAATCTGTTTTTAACATTTCTATTTATTATCTATACAACAATCAACATTCTTCTGGTTTCAAATAGCAGACTTTCAAATTACTTTTAATACTCTTTCTGATTGAAAATAAAAGACAAATATGCATATAAGGTTACTAATATGTACTCATGTGTGAAACTGATGATGGATAAGTCTACTGATAACACACGTGTTTACTCGCCTAATAATATGTGAAGATGGTAATTAGAGTTTGAGCTGTCTTATCAAAGTTATCTTTATTGTTGGTAAAGTCTGTGGGTACACATTTTCTAACAAACACTCTAGAGATTATAGAGTTTTAGAGATTTAAACTGGCTGTCATCCTTTAGTCAGGCATATGGAGAAATGGAAAGCCTAATGAAGTCTGGGTTTGTAGGGTGGACTGTGGACACCTGTGTTTTCCATACTCAACGTATATATATATTTTTATGTGATTTAATTGTCACTGTTCCTCTCTAAGAATGAGGAAATATCGGAATAACCTATCAATATTACTGGTAACTAGACAATTCACACAATGTTATTGTCCCTGCCTTCGAAAGTTTATGAACACTTTACAGGCTGTATCCCTTACTTGCAGGGATTGTTCAGCTACAATGTATGTAATGACATAATGTTAGCATTTACAGGACATTTAATACTTAGTTTCTGGCAGCTGAAAATTTGATGACAAAATGGTAGTTGGACATGTCTCTCTGCTGGGCAACCTACATGTTTACTAGTCAATATACTATCTAAGCAATAAATTAAGTGATGAAACTTTGAAATGTTCCAATGAAAATATGAAAAGTTAAACAGGTTTACATTGGTTATGTTTACTCAATCTAGAACACCTGATACCACTTCTCTTTTACTTGGGAAATTTGTGTTATTTTGGTTCTACATGTACTTAATGCAAAACAATTAATCAAATAAGATTCTGATCTTTTCAACAAATCTTTGTATGTCTTCATTAGCCCGGTTGGAGCAGGACAGTAGGATGTTAAACCCCATTCAATTTTTACATCTCTCTTTGCATGATTAAATAATGCCATTTAAATGTTTTACATTAAAGGAGCTAAATCACTATTTTTTGGCACCTAGAAATGGACACAAATCGGTCACAACGCATATAATATGAATGTATATAAACTGATTTACATTTAATCGTTTCTGTTTTTACTGTAATTTCTAATCAGTTATGTTCGGCGAAATACGCAAAGAGTTTGAATTGAATGGCAGTCTTTGGTGTCTGGTTATTCCAGTCTACACCAGTAGTATTCTCCTACATAGGTTATGTTTAGCCTCGTTCTTCGAGTCGCTTCATATAAATGGCGCTCGAAAGCATTCTGGCATGCGCTTCGTGTGCCAATTTAAAATTTTCATTTTGTCTTAAATATTGGATATCAGAAGCCCAACTTTTCACGGTAAGATAACAACATCAATGTTGATTTAAATTGACCAATAAGTTGTGTTTACAATGTAGAAGACAACTTGGCTCCTTTAAACCATACTGTTATTGTACATAAATGTTTAACATCGCAACGTTATTTTACATTTCTCTTCTTGTAAAATCTGCAGAGAATGTCATTTGGAAATAACTATTTTATCTATGTTTAAAGAACATCCACTTCAATCTTTATGAAAACAGGTTAAACTTGAAAAGCTTTCATTCCATATGTAATTTATTACATGTATAGACCTAGATTGTTTCTGTCTGTCTATCTCACTTTCATCATTCATAATTTTAGTTGTTTATGTAAACAGACTTCCGACACACCAGAAATACATTTTGTAAGGAAGACTTTAAATATAGTCACTATTCATGAGGTGAAAACTGTTCTCAATAACTGATGACTTCCTAGGCACATTTCCAAGTTTTTTAACAAGCAGACTCGAGTAAACATAACAAAACCTAAAATTAAAGTCAGGTGTGTTCTTAAAACAATTTTAAATTTTGGCACAGAACTTGTCAACAAAAAGTGCTAAACAGCATATTCTTAAATTTGATGGTTAAAGTCATGATATTAAATAGATGTTGTGGTTAATGAAGGTGTCTATTTAATTTATTCAGTATTTATTATAATTCTATTAATAACATATACCAGTACATTTCTTACTACTACTATAAATGACAATCTCTTTCTTAACTATATAACAATGATATATTTTTTACTAAAGATAAAAAGAAAAGTGTCTGATAATAAGTATTGACTTTTATTATAGACCTACCTGTAGAACCAGTTTTTAAATAAATATTATTTTCTATGAGAAATACCATATTCTCTCTTGGAAGAAATCTTCTTCATACTCTGAGTATGTCACTTTAATTCTGAGGACAAATAAATTTGCCCCTAATTCAAATTGGCAGCTTTAATCTAATGGGATTTTTGATGAATCAGTTATTTCAGTTATTTGAACTACAGGCAGTTGAATAAACTCATTAAATAATCATGCCATTTCCATCTATTAAAGTTTTCAAATTCCATACTGAACATTTCATTTCAATGCGTGTACAAAATAACTTCTATCAGAACATGATCACACGTTTTATAATTTACATTAAGCTTAATCATATTGACTACAAAGATTTAAAAACAAAATTCTAAATTGTTTTTGTTAGTGTTCTCTGATTGATATTGGCTTTGTGTAATGAACTCTAGGCAGCAAGCTACAATAAACAAACTGGTATATTTAGCCAACAGGCTAATATTGGTTCGTAAATTTCACTGCTTAGTTTTTTCATTAGTATTAGTGTGGAAAGACATTCATTCAGCTTAAGTTTTGTTGAAGTTATTTACTCTAGTCAGATAAAGATGTGCCTAAAGTGAGCCTCAAACCAAAGAACAAGTTGCTTTTCCTGTGGTTCTAACCAACATTAAAGAAAAAACATTTGTAGAATCCAATTGCAACAAATTACACATAATGGTGATAAAAACAACGCTCCTCAATTAAAGAATACGGAAATTTTTCAAATAGATCACTATTTGGATTAAATGGAATATCATTTATTACAATCAGTTATGATAAGCCATATCCTTATCTTCAATAAATAAATAAGATATCTTAGTAACCAAATCTGCAAGAGGCACTGACAATGTTGGGCACAAATTCAGGCTTTGACAGGGACAATCCCTCTAGAGCCTGTCTTTATGTCTTTTTTCTGGGGGATTTTTTAGGTTTTTTTTAGGAATTTTATACATTTTTAGGACAAAGTTTGTCAGATATCTAGGGCCTGTTATTTTGTCAGGTATAACTAAAATCATTATTTTCATGCAAAATACTGTGATATATACGAACAGGAATAACTTCTCCAAATATATATGTACGTAGTAGTACCGGGAACAACAACAAACATATCAACGTTATTCCTTGATCAATAGATTGTAATTTGTAACAACCCAAGGACAGCATCACACACCATAAAGAAGATAATATAATTAACAGAAAACAAAGAAATAACCACAATTTTTTTGTTTTTTTTGTTGGAATAATCCTAGTGATAAAGTATGAAGTGAAATGATTTTTGTCAATGGTATAAAAATGTTGTGTAACTTGTAGTGGATGTGATGTTAAATCAATAGACTAATATTTAACTTGTTAGAGGACGATATTGACTCTTTTACCAACATCAAACAACAAATATACCACATCAATATACTATGTATATATATTGGTCTAGTAGCTTTACCTCCTACCTTTTTATTTAACTTGAACATTTTCCCCCAAAATACTTTCAACATGTATGTGCTGACATCCCATATAAGGCACAAACATTTTATGATCTCCAAATACTTACAAAGAAATGATAAAGTGTCATGTTAGCAATGTTGAAACAAAACAGAATGGAAGTTATTTTGGCAATAACCCTTGTTGTTAAGCCATCAACCAATACATTTTTTTTGTTGAATTGTATTTTGATTTTGAGCTTTAGAACAAGACACTATATAGATTTTTCCTGGTGTCAATTCAATTAATGCAAACTTGTAAATTCTTAACAATATGCACACTGCCATTGACCAATAAAATATTTCTTATCTGGGTCTGAGCCAGTATCCAGAATCTTGAACAATGTTTTATCAAGAAATTGTACTCTGTGACCTATATGGAATACCTTTTTCACTTCAGTAAATCTCATAAAATCGTCACTTACCCACATTGCGGCTTGACTATGTGGCATTTGCATGGGACCTGGGTGAAATTGTATAGGTTACGTATTCGTTTCATACGAAACTAACAGCAGAGAAATGATTTATCATGTTGTTTCTCTTTTATTTTCGTTATCTTTCTGAAACACTCTGCTAGATAGCTTTTCAATAACCCAACAGTTTACTATTGGCCCAAACCTTTGATTTGATGTTGACATACATTTCTTTTTTACTTATTTACTTGAGTATGGTATTGTATATCATGTATGCAATTTCTTAACTTGTAAAAATGTCATGACCAAGGTTTAATTTATTTTTGGAACTATAAAAACTAATAAATTACCTCATCAAACTGTGTACCAACTCAAACTGCAACACCAAGTTAGGTGAGTGTCAATAAAGATTCTCTTTTTATTATTAAAACTGAGGACAACTACATGGCACTCAATAGTTCAAACATTATTTGTAATAGTTCTACCTACCTTCTCTTTTATCATTACGTATAAGTCTAACTCTTTCTATTTTAGTTAATTCTATTCCATCCAATTCTGAAATGTAAACAAAGAAAAATAGCTTAAAATCAAAAGTGCTGTAATTATTGTTGGGTCCAAAATGAAACTACATTCTTGACAACATGTGAATGCCTAGAATGAAAGTATATTACAGAAACAACCCAATACAATCACTAATGGGTGTTGTAATGTTATGTTTTTGTCAGTTATGCCGATGCTCTAGCTGAATACAACCATGAATGAGCAGTAGGTCCTGTAAGATATATTCTTGTTGTTATCAATTAATCCACTTATATATTATATTATTTATTTGATGTAAAAAGCAAACAACCAAATTCAGAAATAGGCCTACACTATGAATGATGATGTATCAAGATTATTACATGCAGTGTCCTCAATGCATTAGACTACACTAAAATATATAGTTAGTTTAATAATTGATATCATTCTTATTTCATTTCATTTTTAACTTTTTTTATGTTCTGAAAGCCAGAGAAAGCAATATTATGAGATTGCCCTTATAGTACAAGTACAATCTCATGCAGTATCATGTCAGAACACAATCAGCTTGGAATGTCGCATTGGTACCGCATAGAAAACATCTGTGTCTATAAAAACATTTTCAATATAATTATTTATGAATTTTGATTAATATATCGACAACTGGCGTGGATAAGATAAAATTTACAATCCTGTTATCTCATGGTATGGTAATGAATAATTATTACAAAGTTTTAGAACTGTTGACAACAATTTCCCACTATTTGTTTCAATTATAAACAAGTATAAATGTTTTACTTACGGTCATCACTAAAATCATCTACTAATATAATTTCTTCTATTAAATGATCAGGACTTCGTTGAAATACACTGCAAAATGAACAGTAAAATATGTGGTGAATGTTGATTAACCTTATTATTTAAAGAAAATAAGACTATAACAAAGACATGGTTGCCATGTAAGATAAGCCTACATTTTTCAAGAGATGGACAGAGAACAAGGTAAACAAGTCATCAGTGAGGCTGATGTCCACCGCTGAAATTCCAAAATAAATAGATGACACATATCAATTAATTGCACATTTATTTTTCACAAAAGTATTGAGCAATCAAACGGATTATCTATACTTAGTCTAGGCATAAAATGTTCACGATGAAACTCAGTCAATGTTTGGAAGTACCTGGTAAAACAAAGTTATCGACCAATGAAATTGCTTGGATCTGCTTGGCTTTAGAGGGAATTTTTTTTACACTCTACCGGGGTTGATCATCAAATTACACAGAATATTCTTTTTTCTTTTTTTTTTAAAAATGACCTAATTATATTCTTCTTTATGTATAAAATGCAGATCAGAGTATACATGTGCTGTACTTTGTTTGGAGAGGGGGGGGGGGGGGGTTGCTTTGTGTTGTGCCTTTATAATTAAATTTTATATTTCCATTTGTCTACGATTGTCTTGTTGCCAATAAACAAATCCAACTCTGTCTTTTACACAGTTCTCAGAAAGTTGAGGTACTGATCTTTATTTGGGAATTTATTTTTAATTTTACATTCATAGATGTAATATTTTGTAAGGAGGATGAGGTGATTTGCAAATAACTATTCATGTTTGTTGTTAAACATTTCTATATTATATACAGTACTCCTATATGTATTGATTCTTGACAGATTATGGTGTTAATATTGTTTATTTAATAAGATTTCAGACAAATTGGTTAATATTGTTTGTGTTACAGGACACAAGTAGAATAAGTGTTCCTGGGTTTCAAGGCATGAGTTACAGAGAGCACAAAGAGAACTCTCAGTAAATTTGAGTTTACATAGCTTTGTATTGGTGTATATTATTCTATGTATATACTTATAATGAAAGCACGCATTTTTGTGTTAAAGCATACAGTTTATGCTAACTTAAATATTTTTTAGGTTTCTATATTATTAATAGTGGTATTTAGAATGGTTTTCCACTGGTTTATGCATTTTGGTGTAACAAATGATTTTCCTACTCTTACATTATAGATATCCTTCGATTTTATGTCAAATAATGTTTTGCCATATATATATCCTTTAGATTATTGCTAATATCATCTGTTATTGTATTCCTTGTGAATCGTGTTATATTTTCATAGTTCACATTAGATTGCCTCTTTAATCATTTAACTCAGTCAAAACATTCACCTAATGAACATCTACATCAAGTTTAATTACTCTACCTCAATTAAAAGCAGAGTTATGTTCCAAAATCTTGACTAACAAATTAGTTTAGTTTAAACAATATTTTATTCAATAAACTGAAATGGATTGAACAACAGGCAAATGCCTATATAAGTTCTCTCCAAGTTGACTAACAAATTGCTTATCATTACTTAGCCAAAGCGGAAAATTTTCATTGTTGAACTTAGTCAAGATATTGATATAATGAATCTATCAAATTGCTTATCTCCTATCAGCTTTAGTGGAAAATGTACAAGATCAAACTCTGTCAAGGCATTCACGTAATAGACATCTACACCAAGTTTGAACATTCTACCTCAATTAGGAGAGTTAGTGTGTTTTAAAGTCTCGACCAATCAGACTGAAGTCTCTACATTACCTAAGCAGAAAATGCTCAGCATCGAACTTTGTTATGGTATTGAAGTAATGAAACTATACACAAAGTTTCACCACTATCACACAATTAGAATTAAAGTTGTCAAGCTCCAAAGTCTCGACCAATCAAATTGCTCCTTATCGAACTTAGTCAAGGTATTGATATTGATGTGATGAAACTATACTCAAAGTTTCATCACCTTAATTAGAACTAAAGTTATTATGTCCCAAAGCATCAACCAATCAAATTGCTTATCTCTGCTTACCCTAAGCAGAAAATGCTCATCTTCAAACTCCATCAAGACATTCCCCTAATAAATACCTACACCAAGTTTGAACATTCTAGCTCAATTAGAAGCAGAGTTATTGTATTCCAAAAAATGTGACAGACAGACGGGCCCATTATAATAGTCCACTGCTTTCTTCGAAAGGTGGAGGACAAAAAGCAATTTTTCGTACAATCAGGAGCTATAATCCAGGATGCTACAATTCGACATGCGTCAATATTGAAAGAAACCGATGTCGTAGGGATGTACATATATCTTAAGTTTCATCAAAATCAAATCAAAATATTTTTTCTATTGTCGGTAATGAAACATTTATAATACACTAAAATCTGATTAAGAGTAACAACTCATTAAGTAATTATATGAAACATTTAATATCATGGATTTAGCAGCACAAGTTATCAAAATTTTATTGGAAATCAATATTCTTGTTCGTCTCAAGACCTTAAACTATGTTTATCAATCTAAAGTCAATCGGATGATAACTTTGGTCTCTAGAGCATCCAGAAGGTTTTTTTTAAAGTGATCAAGGGCCATTACTCTGGTAGTAATTATTGGTAATCATTGAAAATCACTGGGCTTCTTCGTCTCACGACCTTAAACACTGTGTATAAATTTAAAGAGCGTCCACAAGATTTTTCAAAATGATCAAGGGCCATAACTCTGGCAGTAATTATCAGAAATCGTTGAAAATCAATAGGCTTCTTCGTCTAATGACCTTAAACACCGTGTATAAATTTAAAGTCAATCGGATATTAACTTTAGCCTCTAGAGCGCCCACAAGATTTTTCAAGGTGATCAAGGGCCATAACTCTGGTAGTAGTTATTAGGAATCATTAAAAATCACTGGGCTTTTTCGTCTCACAACCTTAAACACCGTGTAGAAATTTAAAGTCAATCGGATACTAACTTTAGCCTCTAGAGCGTCCACAAGATTTTTCAAAGTGATCAAGGGCCATAACTCTGGCAGTAATTATCGGAAATTGTTGAAAATCAATAGGCTTCTTCGTCTAATGACGTTAAATACTGTGTATAAATCTAAAGTCAATCGGATAATAACTTTAGCCTCTAGAGCATCCACAAGATATTTCAAAGTGATCAAGTACCATAACTCTGGCAGTAATTATCGCATATCGTTGAAAATCAATAGGATTCTTTGTCTCATGACCTTAAATTCTGTGTATAAATTTAAAGTCAATTGGATATTAACTTTAGCCTCTAGAGCGTCCACAAGATTTTTCAAATTGATCAAGGGCCATAACTCTGGCAGTAAATATCGGAATTCATTGACAATCAATAGGCTTCTTCGTCTCATGACCTTAAACACTGTGTATAAACTTAAAGTTAATCGGATATTACCTTTAGCCTCTAGAGTGCCCACAAGCAATTGTGGACGGCTGACCGACGGACGGACGGACGAACGGACGAACAGAGGCGATGATAAATACAGCCACATTTCAATGTGGTTGTATAAAAATCGTATAACAATTGTGACCTCTAGCTAGACTGTCCACAAGCTAAAAACGTTATTTTTCGTACAATCAGTGGCCATAATCCATGCAGTTACAGTCCGATACATACTAATATCTTAAGGAACTGAGATCTTTGGGATATAAACCTATATTTCAATTTCGTCAAAACTGGATAATTTGTTCATGCTCTAGTTCATACACTAATGTTTTCTATTAATATTTATAAAGATCAGAACATGGAAGGCAAGTAGACATACAATAATATTTTGAGACTGAATCTAAAGGTATCAACAACATTAAAAGGCTGTTCTCTGAATCATGGCAGTGGTAGTGGATCTCGAATTTATCTTTGCTAGCCTTATACATGTACATCTAATTGTGTTTAATATATATAGTAGATCTACACCTAGCCTATTATTATGTACTGGTACCAATAACCTAATACCATAAATGGTACATGTACTGATCCAGGTTATAAACTAATATAATACCGATAACTTAGTAATGTTTCTTGATGAAGTACATTGCTTACTACAACTTGATAACTGTTCTATATGAACTTCATCGCTTACACAACCTAGTAATTGTTTATGACAAGTAGATTTTGCTTACATGTACATGTATACTAACCTAATAACTGTTCTTAATAAAGTAGATCTAGCTTCATTGTGAAATGTTATAATAACACTTGTTGATGGTAAATTGGTTTGCCATGCTTTTTGACGACATCTGAAAATTAAAAGACAAAAGATTATGATACATGTAGTATTAGTAGTTGAGGTGGAACTGATCGATCCTGCAAATATGTACACAGACTTCCCTGTGTTTTCAAGCACAGAATGCATGTTGTTTAGTCATACATGTATTTGTAGATTACATGACAGGTAACATTAAATACTCATTTAGCCGTTAACTGTGTTAAACTAAACTTATTTTATCTTAAAATGAAACATAGCTATATTTAATTTGGAAAAAGTTATCAAGAATCTATTAACAATGTTTAAATTGGTTTTATTTTAACATCATTTCCAAGATAATTTAAGTTTCTGTAATTGAGTGAAATATTTTGTCAAGATTCTGTATAGCTACATGTACATGTATGAAGCATAAATTATACTTACAAATGATGCCTTGTATCTGGCACTGAGCGGTCCGATTTAATATTATCACTAGCAAGTTGATTAAATTTATTTTTTATATAACTATCCTCTCCTTTTTTCACACGCTTTTTATCAACATATCTTTTTTCATCAAATTCTGTCCATGAAACTTGATTAGCATTTTTCAGTTTATTAAAAGCAATTTTTGGTTTGCTAATAATCACTTTGTCTATAAGTTTTGGCACTTTTGGTTTTAATACTATGTCATTTGGTGGAATGGCTATGTCTTGAAATTCGTTGTTTTTATGTAAATATTCAACCCCCCCAGGCTTTTCGTTTTCTTGGCTGTTTCCATGGTCGATGACAATTCCATCATTTGGAAAAACATGCAAGTTCTTAACAACTGGTTCTTTGTTTTTCTGAAGAATATTAAAAAAAAAAAATGAGGAACATTAGTTTACAGTTCAGACAGGGGCATACATATCGATTTTGTTTGGGGTGATTTCAAATTGATCAAGGGACATACATGTAACTCTGACAGCAATTATCGGAAATCATAGAAAACCAATCCTAAAAGTAAATTTAATGTATTATTGCAAGTCAATTTGATCATAAATTTAGCCTATAGAGCGTCCACAAGCAATTATGGGCTTTGACAGGCATACTGCAACAGCTAAATATTTAACCTAGCTACCATTGTATTTAGTTCAATGAGATTAACTTTATCTCAAACTGTTGTTTATATAGATTTATTTATCTTTAATATGAAATTAATAACACAAGAAACAAACAAACTAAACAGACTTTATCCAACATATTAAATAGGTTTTGGTAAAATTTGACGGACATTTCTTATCAGACACATCTTGGTCGCACAACCAGAATTTGTAATCCAATTTATTAAATTATTTGAGATTTAAAATTGCTTTTTCTGTTTATAAATCATTGAATCTGAATTATTTGGATTGATATATGATAGTATGAATGAACAATATGGTCTAATGGCTGTTTCTCTATTATTGTCTATTGAGTATCATGAAATTCAATCAGATGATAATAGAGACAAGAAAATTATTGCCACCTGTTTAAGATAATTTAGCTAATATCTATAACACTGTTGGACATTTCGGGAATGTTGTTCATGGATGGATGTTCTTCTTACAGATTCTTGTAATGGATCTTCAACACTTTTATTCAGGAGAAAATAACCTCAACAATAATTAGACAATTTTTAATTTCCTAACAATCGGATCTTCAACTAAGTAATATACTTGATCTCTCAGTTTGTCTCTCCAACTAATAATTCATCATACATATTACATCTGTCTGTTTATCTCCCAATTACTTAATGTACTAAAGAAAGTGTGGCCATAAACATAAAATTATTGGGAGATTAAGTCTTAAGATATTTAAAAGAATAGTAAAAAAAAAAAACATTTAAAAGATGATCAGTTACTGGACAATTTGTCTTTAAGTTAATTACCTTCTGTCACTAATGGTTAATTAAGAATCAACATAGAATCTTTTAATGCAATGGAAAGGACATATTTTACTAATAGATGAATATTAAAAGGTATATTGAAAATAAAAACAGAATTTAAAGTAAGAAAATAAAATATGACCTAAACATCGGCCATATTTACTATTGTATTTAATACAGATAGTAGATCAAAGTATCAAGTAGATACATGTACATGCTTGAATTACAATACCACTAGCTACAAAGTGTTGATTACAATAGCATTCAGTCAAAGTTTAGTTTATATTGTTATAATAATGCAAACTCTATCTTGGATATACATGTATCTAAAAACATTGATGGGAAGTTACTACCTGTCTGTAATAGTTTGACACTTTTGAAAGGATCATGATTTCATTATAACAATGACAAAGCTTTAAGCAGTGTATTAAATTGATTGCCCTTTATTAGTCTGTCATTCTATGAACATATTAATACAATGGACTTTTTATTATAATTTCAATTCAACCTTAATATTAGATGAAATTAAGTGGTAACAAACAGCTACCATTGGTTGATAGACATTAAGTGGTAACAAACAGCTACCATTGGTTAATAAACTTGCAATAATACCAAGTTTAATCAAATTTGATGAAAGAATATTGCTGCAGGGTACAACACAAATTCATTATCTAAGATAGATAGATTTTCGGGCAGCATGTCAATTATACATTACAGTCAGCATGCTAAATACATTATAAAGTGGATGAAAAATATATAAAAAAGCAGATGAGAGATACATAAAAGTGGATGAAATGTACATTTATATACATTGAGGCAGTATGTGCAAAATATAAACCAAAGTTTTGAATATATGTCATAGTCGCTTAAACTAAACTGAAGAGGTCTTTGAATTGTTGATTGGTGTTTTTTTTGTTTTTTTTTATATAGAAGTGGGTGCCACATCCCTTATTTTGAAAGCCTGATGCACAAAGTTGCACACTGCTTTTGCCAGAGCATAAATAATTGACAATAAACACTACATGTATAACATATAATATAGATAACATAGCACTGCCAGGCAACAAATACATGTATATGCCCACCCGCAGTATTTTGAAAGGTACCTATCAAACTTCCCGGATTACAGTCAATAAATCTACAAAAATTTGTAGTGCAATTCTGAACTCTGGTAGGGTTCCATCTTGATAAATTAATCTAGGACTTTGCCCTGTATTGCTTTATAAATAAATATATGACAAAAATGTACAGTCCATTGCAACTTCAACTAGTAGTAGATTAGTAGTAGTATTCCGGCCAATAATTAATGAAACTTTGAAAGTCATCAGATGTCAAGTTTAGTAAATACATGATCATAAACATACATATTTCCATTCAAATTGGATGAAACTTGTAAATGAGTTTGTACATATAACAGAGTACAAACCTTTATATTACATATTATACATTTAGAAGCTTACTGGAACCAACCAATTATTCAAATGTCAATAATGATATAATTACATGACTTTAACAATTGATATAACAATTAACATATAATAATGCTTATAATATGTAATACAATGGTGGTTGAACATAAATATAAGTGTAGTTAAATATAACATTCATATTCCATTTCGTTTTCTGTTGTTTAATCCATTTCATATGGGTTTGAAGACAGATTGTGAAGGGTCGACTTAAGGATTAAACTGGTAGTTGAACAAAAATATAAGTGTAGTTAAATAAAACATTCATATTCCATTTCTTTTTCAGTTGTTTAATCCATTTCATATGGGTTTGAAGACAGAATGTGAATGGCTGACTTAAGATTAAACTACTTTGAAAGGCTCTGATTATCAAGACATTTCATTGGCTGTTTAATAAAGGTCACTGGACCAAAATGCTCTTTTAAAAACTGAAACAAGTCCTTTGAAATTAATGGAGATAGAAATAAAATGAAATGAAATGGGTTTAACGTCCTACTGTTCTGCTCCTAAAATGGGCTAATGAAGACGGTAATGGAGAGAGAGAGAAATGGGGTTTAACATTCACTCGACATAAACAATGTCATTTCCGGACTATTATAGCATTGAATTTTATTTCTAATTCACTTGTACTTTGGTTTTTAGCTGTGGGAGGCAACCTGAGGACCTGGAGAAACTTCACGATGTTGGACATGACCCCCCCCCCCTCCTTGTCATGTACCAGAGGGGAATCGAAACCATGCCAGATCTTATGATCTAACGCACATATATGTTAAACTACTCGGCCCCGATATTAATGGATTGATTAACTTACCCAAAACAAAAATAACAATTACTGGTTATCTTAATTAGACTGCAAATATACATTATCTTCATTGATGTAAATATTTAGAATTCCTTTCAGTACTAAAGAATACTGTAAATGCGTATTCACCAAGAAGGAATAACTTACAGGTCACTTTGGGATTAAAAATGTTTTAAAACTTCAGTAGAAACTAAATGTCCTAAGATCAAGTGCTTTCGAGATCTTTGCAGATCAGCAAAAGAAAACATTTTTCACTTCCCAATTACTTAAGGAGTATACAAAATTGAAACAAATCTGCCCATCTACTGCTGAAAAATGACAGTTTTATGGTTCATCAGGAGTTGTAAGACACTATACCTACATGTATAGTGGCTTTCAAACTGTTTAGCAGATGCCTGAGCAAAATGATTTGTTTTAAATAGGTCAGTGGTTGAATTTTCTTTACCTTATTGAGTCTCTAGTATTAGTTGGAACACATCATTTAAACTTTACCACCGGTACATTTATTTCCTTGCTGAAAGTAATACAACCTCTTTAAACTGAAGGAAACCAGTATATCTCTTACAGAAGCAGGCCTTCCACTTCGAAAATTTTGACTGTCGGCCATTTTTGATAACTCATACAAATTAAATTCCTATTACATGTAACCTTTACATGAAGCCTTTGTGGTTAATATGGATCATTACTTACCATATAAGGCATTGCTTACGGCACTAGTTAAATGGTTGATTTTGGCACAAATCAAGAAGGCCAATAACAGACGAAATGAAATGAAATGAAATGGGGTTTAACGTCCTACTGTTCTGCTTCGAACTTGGCTAATGAAGACGGGCAAACGCCATACAGTGTACTATGAGGGCACTACGGCCTACTCTTACATCGAATTCCAACTATCAAGGGATCTTTAAGGTGCACGGCAATTTGTACATGGGACCTGGTTTTTTCGTACCATCCAAACGACTAGACAGCAGTCCTTGTCAGGCTCTCAGTGCTGCATCACTGACAAGTGAGAACCACACTGGAAAATCTGGATGAACTTTCTCAGCCAATGCAGGGATCGAACACCAGACCTCCATGCCAGCGAGCCAGCGCCTTACCCACTTAGCCACCCCAATAACAGACATGATAATACGCGGAAGCTGGCTATGTCTTTTTATGAGTGATTAAACTACCAATGTAATTTCAAAATACCATTTTATATAGAAGAAAATGATGAATAGTTATCATGAACTATTCTTATCACAAACGTTTTGATTTCGTTTTCTATTGCAGTAGGAATGTTAATTATTGAGGAATATTACTGACATAATAAAGTTGAAGCCAGTACGGGAATTAAATATGAAAAATAGTGAGGATCACCTGTTTTTTTGTAATAAGCATAAACACCATTTAGAACAAATTAGAACAGATATGCTACATAACATAAGAAATATCTCTAGTTGAAATCCATAAGAGGGAATGGAAGCTTTACTGACCTTATTTCCTGAAGCGGATAATGACTTCTGGTGACCTACGAATTGTCTGTCCTGCAAAATTTTGAAATAGCAACCCTGATGCAAGGGTATACTATTGAACCCTGTATGACGGTCATGGTGACCTGGCTCTTGTCAATACTAATATTTAGTGAGTTACCATATTTAGCACTCAAATAATGTATCCAATATCTATTAG